ATAATCGTTTTATGGAATAAAACGATCTTTATTTCTGGCAGAAAGAAAAGCACCTGGACACTTCATAGTCATCCAATTTGTCACTTATTATCAGAACTTCGATCATCTTTTCTCAGTGGGCCAGGAGTGGAAAGACCCATAAAGCTCCTCATTCTTCATCCACTCATTGATATAGTGGATTTGTCTGGTCTTTTCTTTCTGAACTTAGTTTCATGAAAAACCCTCCATCTATCCCCTTTTCACCGCCGTGAAGTAGAAGCGAGGTAAGTAAGTTGTTGTCTTTGACTGCAGCTACCCTCCACTACTAGCTGCTGTGATGAGGTGCGCTTATAGAATAGACTTGCACGTAGCGGGTATAGTTGTCGTTCATCTCAGAAGCAGGCTTGGCTTTATATTAAGTTATGCTTATTGCAATGGCTAGCGTAATGAAAGCTGGCAGTGGATTTAGCGACCAATCTTCCTTGATGTTGCGCCATTGGCGAAGAGTATGAGTGAACTTTGTCAAAGTGCAAGTCGTTTGTGGTGCGAAAGCGCATCTTCAGCAGCTGTAGTGGAGTTCTGACATTTTCTATTCCATCCGTTTTTTATCTCGAAAAAAGTGCTCAAGTGTGTCCGAATTAGGAATATGTGAGCGTGTCTCAAATTGACTGAGAGTGAGTGAAGTGTGGGCCGAAGTGAGTTAGGTGTGCCGGATTGAAACTCGAAAAGCAAAGAAGGAAAAAATAGGAAAGAAAGAAAGTGGAATACTTCGAGAGTAATCGAAGGGAGCAATAGTGTACTCGTTGCTATTTTGTCAGCAATTGTTGACCGTTATTTGAGGATGTTTGACTATCCTTTATTAGGCTATTGCCCTAGTGAAACACGCTTGTGAAGAAGAGTGCCAAGTATCTTCTTGTTGGAGAAAAATGGCGAACGCTTATTCTAGTAAGTTGATTCGCCAGACAACGGAGGATGCGTCTATTTACATAGATCGCGTTCTTTCTGACGTGCAGGCCGCTTCTCTCCGAGAAAACTACAAACTCATCGAGGATTGTAGCCTCGATCTGATAATGCGTGGCCTCCCGACAGAGCAGTCTATCGACGAAGGACTGCGAAAGTTGGATGAGATGATTGCGCTGTCATTTAAGCCTGCGTTTTCACAGGACGAGGCTGCTTTCTTCCCTAGAGAGGATCATCGGACTATTGGGTCCAAAAACATTTGCTTACTGCGCATGCTTAACGAGGAGTTTCATCAAGAAGATAATACTGCATGGAAGTTAGCACTAGAAGGTGGCACAACTACTGGTAGTGTCTTCTGCCCCAAGTCGTGGGAAAATAGAATAGCAAAGTCATCAGATGACTTACGTGAGCACGTCACTCGGCGCTCGGCTGTGAGTGCGTTTAGGTCTAATAAACCACCGGCGTCAGACCCGGACGTGTTAAAATTAATTTGGGATACTTCGCTATTAGAGCACAAGAAAGGCTTGCTTTCTGCACCCATCGAATTAGATGCACTACCGGAGAACGTCGATTATTTGATCCCAAGATTTGCGATTTTACAAAAGTCGAAGTATCGAATGATCGACGACGCGCGCACTTTTAATTATGAGGCGGACCTAATTAAGAAAATCTCTTTGCCTTCGCCCCTTGAGGCGCTAGCAACTGCTACGGCAGTTGCTAGATTTAATTCAAACCCGGAGCTTAGTGCCCGAGATGTTTCGTCATTTATTACTCACCCGAGAAAGAGGAAGAGCAAGCTACTTTGTGGCTTTAACGAGAATGTGACGAAAGAGGAATTTTGGAGCAATTTAGTGTTTCGCGATTTCGTTGATCCTGATGCAAATTTGAAGGCGCCTGAGTGGGCCTCCTTCAATGTCGATGGCTTAGTCATCGACATTGAGGGAGCATATAAGACTCTTGGAATTAAGCGTGGTCATGAGCCTGGGAATTTTATCGCGGTGTGGGCCCCGCATTTGCAGAAATTCATGGCATTTGAAGCTTACTCGCTCCTTTTTGGAAACACGCACTCAGTAGTGTGTTGGGTGAGAGTAAGCCTTTTGATTAAGAAGATAATAATTAAGCTCTTTGGGATTCCTGCTTCGGTTTTCATAGATGATTTTCATTGCTTTACTCGGTCTGGCCTAGGCGTTAAGGCCATGCGTGCAATTTGTAAGTTATTATCTGCTTTGGGATGGGATTTTAAAGAAGAAAAATTAGAGTGCTCAGGTAGCGAGATTTTATTATTAGGTTTGCTTTTCAACCTCGAGGGCCGTCCTTCCGTAAGGATCTCGCCTGAAAGGGCTGAGTTGTACAGGAAACTTATTGTAAAGAGATTGGAGTCAGGGAGGCTTTCGCAAAGCCAGGCGGCCGAGCTGTGCGGGCGTTTAAGTTTTTCTTTTTGTGCAGTTTGCGATAGGCAGCTGCGCCCTATTCTTCGGCCGTTGGTAGGTCGTATGTTTTTGAAAAAGGGTTCTTTAGGCTTGAGCAGCGCGTTGGTGTCGTGTTTAAAATTATGCTACGAATTGTTGCCACAGATTCCACCTCGCAAGCTTTTCGCTGATCCTTGCAGGTGCATAGTATATACCGATGCCTCTTGGCAGAGAGGTCGAACGGGGACCATTGCCGGAGTGCTTATAGATCTTGAGCAGGTAACTGATGCTTCAACGCCTGAGGGTCTAGGCATTTTAAGTTATTGGAAATATGATGTGCATAAGCATATGACGCATGAGAAATTTGCTAGTTTCCCTATCAATGTTTTGGAGTCCATAGCTCCCACCGTGAGTGTTCAGGTGTGGGGTGAGTTATTTAGGAATTCGCGGGTAGAAATGTATATAGATAATTCAAGTGCGCAAGGATGTTTGATTCGAATGAACTCGGGCAAGCCCCATCTCGCTGTAATGAGTTTTGAATTTTGGCGGAGTTGTTCGCTTTTAAGTATTTCGCCATATATAGATAGAGTGCCTTCCGCCGATAACATAGCTGACCTTCCGACGAAGGTCAATCTTTTGTCTTTCTTTCGGGAATTTTTCAATACGCGAGAGGTTCCCCTTTCGGATAAAATTGTACAGGATTTGCATAGGTTGTTGATGCTTGATGTAAGATGGAAGGAGATTTTGATTGATGGAATTGCTCAGGCTTGACGATAGAACTTTGGCATTTACAATTTCGGTTTTAAATCTTATAGGCGGGCTGTGTAGCGAGGAAGGTGAGATGTTGCTTTTAAAGCGGTACTTGCAGAAAGCCAGAGAGTATTGACGAGTGTCAAAATTGGCGAGAGAACCTTGAAGTGAGTGAGTTGAGCTGTATGATAAACTGGCAAATTCTTGACTTGGGTCTGCCTTTGTCGAAATTGGTCCAAGTGAGGACTTTTGCAGAGTAGTAAGAAAAGTCCGTTGCTAGTAGTAGGATTCAAAGAGTGATAGCAAAGCGGGGCTCAAGCGTTGCAAGAATCATAGAAGTTCAATTTTCTCTGTACTCGCGTGCTTGCGGAACAAGATGGCTGACGGTGAGCAGGATCAGATCGAGAACGCCTTTGCGCGTTTGGTGCAGGCCAGTAACGCCGATAAACCGAACCAGATTCGTGCTAGAGCTATCAAGCAATGTTGTCAGACCCGCTTTGGTGTCACAATTGCCTCCACTTCGGAGAACGAAATAAAGACGATCGAGAAGGCCCGCATGAGTGGGTAGATGGTTGTTGGTTGTAGCTTTTCCGACTTGATTCTTTGTTCTTACACTTCTTCAATAAAAAGTAGAACTGTTTCTAATGATATGAACAATCGACATGCGCTTACACATTCCCTTGTTTAAAATTTAGGAATTTGCACGAGCGCCCGACTTCGTTTGCTGACAAGATCGAGTCCATGGTTGCTCGCGACGCTGTGGTGATGATTCTGTCCGGTGGTTATCACCCGCCGGCCATCGAGGTTCAGAACGAGGAGGGCGTTGCGATCGTGCCGGCTGCCGAGGCCTTCATCAACGAAAATGCGACTCAAGAAGCTAACCGTGTGGCGGCTGACATTTTTCAGGTCAAATAATTTGCATTTTGAAAATAAAGAAGTTGCAAAACTATGGTATTTGGGTTTTAAGAGAAAAACAGGCTGTTAGCTGAAGTTGAAGTGAAGGTTTAGACTGAGATGGTTTGGCTGATGGTGTCATCGTTTTGGTATTCCTCTCCAGATGTTTCTCAAGCCGACCTGGAAGGAGTTGTCGGCAGAATCTTTGAAGAAGGCCGTCTCTGAGACCTACGTTGGGAAAATGTCCCGTATTGCTGGCGCGATGCCGATTGGGGATCGCCACTACCACCAGAGAACTGCCGGCTTCTTTCAATTGGCGTTCGAGGATGCCATGGCAGGAAACATTTCCCAGTACATACGGGTTTGATTATTTAGAAAATTTAGATGATTGAACACAAGTGGTGAATTTATAAGGTGGGACCTATTTTCAAAACTTTTCATTCTTTTCAGAAGTCCAAAGGAGGCCACGTTGACTTTGATCGATCTCATTTCCCTCCAGGACTCGCATGGATGAATCCCGCAAGGATTTGGAGAAGATGAAGGCTGAGATGGAAAAGTCCACGCAGAAGGCTCAGTACGTTTCCCCGCAGAAGCAGGCGCATTCCAAGCCGAACCCTTATGGGTCAGGCTCTGGATCGAGCAGGAAGCCAGTTGGCCGCCGCTTCTGCTTTGCGTGGTTGAATACAGCCAAGGCTTCGCGTGTCTCTGGATGTTCGAATGCAGCGTGTCAGTTCGTACACGAGCTGCCGACTACGAAGCAGGAGGCTACTCAGCTGAAGACGGCGCTCGCGCGCGCTCTCTCCACATGGGAGGTTGAGGCGGATTATGAGTCGGAGGCGTGAGGTGCAAGGCACTTGCGATGATGCAAATGAAGTTTGAGAAGTGTTGACATTCGAGAAGTGAGGTAAAGGTAGCGACTCTTTCGAGGGTGATCGAGATGAATTCGCTTGATTCGTAATCGTTAATTTCTATTTTTCGTTACCGCAAGCATTCAAGATCGCGCGTTTTCTCGTTTTTTTTTCTTAGTCCACTCCTTAAAATTTCGAAGAGACAAATCGGGAATCGTTTAGGTTAAGACAGTTCGTGACTTGCTAAGCCGTCATCATTACGTCGGAGTAAAATTTAGATTTGGAATAATTATCATTTATGAGTTGTTTGAATAAAAATTTTTTAATAAGATTTTTTCAAGTTAAGAATTCCATCATCTGACTTATGAACTTCAAGTCTGTTAGTTGTGGTGTACTTGGCACTAATATCGGGCATATCTTTTTGAGCCACAAATTGCAAGACCATGGAACTCTTCATAGCCGAAATGGATAAGGCGAGAGCAAGAGATGGCGGCGCTCCTCTTGCCTCGTGTCAGAGCATCCTACCTGTTAGTACCAATAGTGGTTCATCAGAGTCTTCTTCTTCCATTGGAAAGAGGGCGGCCGAGGGGCGTGCATTGGATACGTCGGGTTCCGCGAGTCAGTTGTTGAAGAGGTCCTTTCGGCCGGTATTAGTGCAGAAGTCAGATGGGAAGTTGGTTTTGAAGAAGAAGAAAGTTGAGTTTGTTTCTGGGAATGGGTTGCTATCTGAAGAAGGTGCGAAGGAGGTAGGGTTACCAAGTTTAGATGTTTCAACAGAAAACGCAGCATTTCTTGATAGTGAGAAGCTTCTTAATACCTTGCGAAGCATCATTTCAACGCGCAAGGCTCCCGTCTTGTCGTTCGATTTGACTGTGAAGCAGAAGCTGGCCACCTTAAATTCCGCTGGGCCTCATGTTGCTAGGCAGATAATCGCCAAAAATATGTTACACATTAGGGGGGAAGCAATAAGAGAATCAACGTGGACGAATTATATCAGTCATTTTTCGAGTTATTTAGAATATTGTAATGCTATTCGAGAGCGTCCTTTTCCTTACAAGGCAGGCAAATGCGAGGGTTTTCTAGCATTACATAAAAACGATTCTAGTGTCACGACAGCAAAGGCAGCTTTGAAGAAGGTGGGTCTTGTTTTTAACATGGAATTTCCTGCCACTTCTCAGATAACTGCAATTATTAGGGGCATTCGTTCGAAGAAGGCACCGATACGACGGCGGGACCCTGTGTCCCCCGTTTTCCTTAACAAGTTGCTCTCTGATACTACTATCTGTCCTGATGTGCGCACGTTGTTCGTCGTGACGTGGATTTTCTTGCTGCGAATGCAGAACGAGGCGCTGCCCCTTGTCAAACTTTCGTCTCCCGAGGCGAAAGACCCTCGGTTGAGATTGAAAGGGCATAGTGCAGTTTGGGCCGACTCCTCCACTAGGGAGGTAACTATTCGCCTAGCTACTCGCAAGAATAAAGTCACAGAAGGTGACACAATCATCCGCGGTTGCACGTGCAACGACAGGCCTAGTCGGGCCTTGACCCTCTCCGGTAGGGAGAAGCGTAATGTCAGCACCAAGGTTTTAGCTTCGTGGCCCATCGACGGTTGCCCTTTTTGTATTTGGTGGAAGAAGTGGGTCGAACCTTTGGATGAAGGGGAGAAAGTTTTTTTTGGGTGTTCTTACAAGGAGGCTTTGTCTGAGGTTCAGACGGCGGCCGAGCGGTATAATGAGAAGGGGGATTTTGCCACACAGTCATTTCGACGTGGAGGTGCCACGACGTTAGCAATGTGTGGCGGGTCTCACGCTGAGACTTTGAAGGCAGGTAGTTGGTCTCAGAAGAGCGCGAGTTGGCGTAGATATGTCTCCGAGGAGCGTTTAGAGGTAGAAGCGCTAAAAAAGGCTTCCGTCGAGCTTAATGTTCACATCGATTCTGATGAAGAGGATATTCCGTTTAGTGATGAAGACTTGGACGCCATTCAAGGCGATGACGAACAAGATGATGAATAGGTTTTTGCCGGTGGTTCCTCTGTTAGGAATGTTAGACAATTACCTTTAGTCTCGTACGAGGGTAATCGGAAGATCTAGACTTCTTGGGTTTTCTTCAAAAGCTGTCAACTGTCGCTGATCTCGAGGAGTTCGAATCTCTTACTCGGAAGTAAGGTCCATCCAGCTAAGACTGTCGAAGCAAGGACCTGTTTCGTGCCGGTGTCTCACACGCGTGGTAGCGCGGCTTTCTGGTGTTCCATTCATTTCAGGACTCATCACGTTACCAGGAGCTGTTCTACTTCACAGAGACGTCGCGCGATCGCGCATTAGTCCGAGTATAGGGATCTTCCGTCCACCGCTATGATACTTTCTAAAGAAATAAATACCATCAACATAATAAAAAAATAACGATAACTACGCTGAAGAAAACGACAGCAAGCCCGTCACATTTCACGAGACGAGCATCGCGTACTTAGATAAGAGGACCTTGATGTTTCTTCTTAGCTTCTAAAAATTTTCGTTTGTTCCGGCGAGCCCTAACGAGTAATATACTTGAGTGTTCGAATAGGAGTGCGTTTTGAGCCATTTGAGTCGGTTGATGAAGAGGACGAAAGCTGCACGTCTGTATGGTGTTGAGGAGGATGAGAATATTGGAAGGCGAGTGACAACGTTTCCCCCCTCTGTTCAATTGAGTTGTAGAGAGGGCCCGTTGTTCTCTTTGTGCAGTGTTGCAGTCTGCTGCTTGTGCTGTGAGTTCAACAATTATCATAGAACCATGAATCTGAATCTGTAACGAGCGTGGTTAGAAATAGCTGTGTGGTCCTGATCTAAAAAAAGGATCTACTGAAGTCCGCAGATAATTGAAGAGCTTTTGATCATGAATCTGTCCAGGCGAATCTTGAGTATTTCCATGCTAGTCCCACCGAGGCACCCCCTCTTGCTCTTCCGCTTTGTAGCAACATTGGTTCAACAACATCAATTTATCTTTGTGTATTTATTGTTCTACTGTCATTGCTGACGTTTTGCTGAAGTTTCATCTACTTGTTTGTATCAACACACTTTTTAGGTAGGGTGCATCGTGGACGCGTTATTTTTGAACGGATTGGAATAGCTTGAAGTTGTACTAACAAGGACATTGATTTTGATCTTCATTCATCTATCAATCTTTCAACGTCACAGCACATCATACATAGAGAGTAAAAGGCCTTCCATCTTGTAGTTCAACACATCTTGTCACAAGATAGACCAAGATGTCATCGTTTTCATTCTCTCGTTTTGCATTCGCCTTTCTGGCCCTTGCTGCCGGTGTGAATGCTGGCTGCAGCGCTGGTGAGCAGGCTTTTTGTAAGCTGAATGGACAGTGGAGGACAGTGCTCATCAAGAGCATCAATGCGAACAGTACTATTCTTATAGTTATATATAAGAATTCAAGATCTTCTTCGTCTTCAAGAAGAATAACGCCTGCAATTTCAACATAAGTATTTAGTGAGCTCTACTAGTACTAGTAGTTGTAACAACCTATCTTCAATCTTAAAACTCTAACTCATCAGATGTCATGTACCTCGAGTGGGCCCATGATCCAGCGATGTGTATGGACGTGAGTACTTCTACTCAAGCCCAGAACGCTTTCTGTACTGGCTGTGCGGCAGCGTGCTACTCGCACGCGTCAGAATGCATCGAGTATCAAGCATCCGGAGGCGCGGCTATTGTTATGAAGAGATGTCGAAGAGCAGCACTAGTAGTAGATGATGTAGTGACGAGAATTTGTACATAGGCAAGTACCGAAAAAGTTTCAGATTTTACGGCTCATAGGGGCGGGCTTGGTGGTGGTCTTGATGGACACACGGATAATGAATTGGTGTAACAAGTGAGTCCACTCATCATCTTCCAGCACGCTCCTTGGTCAGTATAATACTACGACAACAACTACTGCCACTGCAGTACCATCAAGAGATCTTCTCGAATCCCTGACCAACCGAGACACCACCTCGCGTTAGGTAAATGAATGACTGAGTATTTAGACATTTATTTCTTCTAATCCCCACTACACAAGAACGTGTGGCGCTGCACCTGATGGAAGCAGCGGCGGATCCTCTGAAGACGAAGAAGTGGACACAACCGTGATTGCAATAATTGCTATCTGCGCTTCTCTCTTCGCCGCTTTTTGCGTCTACGGCATCTTCCTGTATTTCTTTGTCTTTTTTTCTTTCTTGTTGCGATGAAGAAGATCTTCGGTCTTCTTTACAGTGAGTACAGTGATTTCTTGAACTGAAATTAGTATTACAAAAATCTGAGTTCTTGCTGTATTCGTTTCACTTCATATATATTAGTTTTCCTGAATGTAGTGCAAACCTTCAATATTCTTGATGGTCAGAAAGCTACCGCAGGAACTGCCCCTTGTTTGTCCCTCCGACCAGGTCCCGCAAATCCGCCCAGGATGAAGCAGCAGCTGGCGATCCTGATGACCGAAGACCTCCGATGAGTAAACGCGGAATGTCCTTCAACTGGGGTAAGCAATCGGCGGCACACGCAATATCCAAGGTCTCTCAGGGTGGCGCCGTTGGGCGATTGGCCAGAGGAATGTCAACGAAATTTGGCCAAACTATGCGTCCGAGTAACAGAACCGCACCGGAGGCGTTGCCAGGTATTTTTGATTTATATATGTAACTGATGGTGTGCCTATGCGTCATGATCATGTTGAGTATGTGAAATAACTTACTCGTGTTGCTGTTCGAATGGAGATCATGACCCTGCGCACCTGATAGTTCATATGTCGTCCTGGTCGCGTTAGATTTAGACATCAAAAGTTTATTATGATGATCAAAATCACCCGAGCCATGATCCGAAAAATCCGAAAAAATGCATCCGATGAATGTATTGCTAGTACTACAGTTATAACAACTGTGTGAAGACGAAAAAGATACACCAACATGATCAAAGGTGCGCCCCCGCAAGCGCGAGTGACACATCATGGCACTGGGCAGCATCCTAGTGTGGCGCACGCGCAGGCAATACAACAGGCGCAGCAACATCGTGCGTCTCATCTCAGTGCCCAGAAACCTGGAGCTCCGATGATATCGCCGAGAGGCGCACACAAAGGCCCGCAGGCGTCGCCGAGAGGTGCTATGCAGCCGTCCCCGAGAGGCGCCATCCAGCCCTCGCCTAGGGGTGGGCCACGATGATGAGGAGAGACGTCGACGTCGAAAGAAAAAATTAAGATGCCAAGAGAGGCTTTTGTGCTTCTACTAGACGAGATGTTTTTTTCTCGAGGTGCTAAAAATGCAACGGTAGAAAAGTGTTTGTTCCCTTGAAAACTGCGAACACGTTGACTTGTGGGAATTCGCTTTTTGTGGTTCCTAGTTCGCCGCTGCGATTCCCGCAAGTTAAAGTGTATTTTATTTAACAGTCAGCATATTCAATATGAAGTCTTGATGCTAGAAGTCTGGATGCTAGAGCTAGAAATTTAAAATGACTAGAACATAGCCAACAACGTGAATATTGAGTGTGCGTACGCACCTCAACAAACATGAACAACTGTGCAGTTGCAGTACGTATTTGAAATGAATTTGAACATGAGAAATTTGACGAGAGTTTTTCTTTTTGTTGGCGATGCATGCAACATAGAAAAGGTGTTGATCTCTCATAACATCAGCTTTCGTGCACAGTAAAACTAAGATTGCAGAATGAGCAACCACGACATTAGGAATTGCTACTGCTACGCATTCATAAATAATCATGATCATTCAGAGAAATGTATAGCACCACTGGTTCTTCTTGGTCATGATGTTTACGTCATATCTACATTCATGGACCACTGTAGTTCTTACCGTTTGAGGACAGCGCGACGTAGCTCAATATTTTTACTTGTGTTGAAGCGACATGTTCCCGTGTAACTTGGTTCTTATTCTGAATAAACGGATTTCGACCACCCCACCGATGAATAACAAGATGATAATGGCGACAACAAATAAGCCCGCAGTGCCCTGAAATTTCTCGTGGAGGCCCTATGAATGAATGAGTGAGTGATTTGTTCGAACGTGATATTAGGAGCCCACGGTGTGATTTGTTCGAGCGTGATATTAGGAGCTCACGGCAAGTCTCTGACGTGGAAAGTGTTCTGGCGTGGCATAAAATGGTTGGGTATGCCAGAACGAATGACGGTTTTTTCAGTACGAAGCAAGCTATCGGACGAAGCAAACTACGACGAGAGAAGCTCTGTGTAGTCGGATAGAAGGTCAAAAAAGTATTTTTTCAAGATTTCACTTCAACTTTTTTTTGAATTTTTGCAAAACAAACCGCCATCAAGGAGATGGAGTCGGAATCCAGATTTTTTTGCGAGAAAAACATGAAACCGAGTGAAAAACACACAACCGCAAGCTCACAGCATTATCATCTTCGCCTTCACCACGATCGTCAACATCTTATCGTAATTTCAAAAATCAACCACGACTGCGTTACTTGCGACCTGATTGTTACTTGATTTCAAATAGGGATAGTTGGTTTCACATAAAAAAACCAAAGAAAATGTCTGCCGCTTTGCCGCCGATGATGCCGCCTCAGTCTTTGACTGCAGGTACTTTAAAGATGGAAAAATAGAAAAATGAGGATGGATTTACTAGAGATCAACAAATACGTTGTTTTTATTTCCACCGAAACGACGACGTCGAATTTTTTTGAAGTCTAAAAAATCTAAATCACCTTCGTCATCACCTCCCGTAAGATCAAATAAGTTGTTGTTTCCGAAACGACGACGTCGACTAGTTTTGAAATCTAAAAAATCTAAATCACCTTCGCCATCTCCTCCCCAACTCCAACAGGCATGCCAGACCCGTCCACCATTGCAAAGCAGAAGGACGCTTACATGAAGATGCTCGATGAGCAGGTGAAGCAGGGAACTCAAGTCCTCGAGGCACAGGTCAAGCACCAAAAGGAATACCTTCTCGGACAGGCTGACCAACAGAAGAAGCAGTTCATCATGCAGATTGGTACGGACTTTTCAGCTCGGATGAAGAAAAGGCTTGCATGCGATTTAGATGATAGTGATGGAACAATGCTGAAAATGGAAATTTAGATTTTTCTCTGGATTTGTGCAAACACACAATGCTGAAAATGGAAATTTAGATTTTTTCTTTGGATTTGTGCAAACACAACAACATGATGAAAAATCCATACCATCTTCATCCAGATATGGAAGTCAAGCAGCAGGAGATGGCTTTGGACCAACAGCGCATGGAGCAGCTTATGGCCTTGCAGCAACAGGCTGCTCAACAGAAGGCTGCTCTCGAACAGCAGGCTATGCAGCTCACCATGGAATATCAGCAGAAGAAAGCCGAAGAGGAGATGCAGAAGCAGCAGTTCGAGGTACTGACAACTAAAAACGTGCTTATTTAGATTTTTTAGATCTGACTTTTACAGGTGCAAATGCATCTACGATTCTTTACTTTATTACAGTGTTTCAGATCACAACATATGTGTCTATTGAGGTGTGCCTTTGCCGGACTGATTTAGATTCTTTAGATTGCTTCTCCTAGGAGATTTGGTATACAGAGCACCGCTGTAGATGCGATTTCTTGATTTTGTTTAAGTAGAATTCCGATAATCTTCTTCGACATGAGGATTTCATCTTTATCCATCTCCTGCCATACATCATCTGTCGGATCCACTCCAAATGACAGATGGAGAAGAAGCAGCAAGAGATGCAGATGAAGATGCAAGAGGAGATGGCTAAGTTCCAGGGAGCCGGTCAGCTCTTCACCACCCCCGCTCTCGGTACGGCTATGCCCGGTGCCGGGCAGACCTACACCTACGGACCCAACGGTGAGTTGGTCCCGAAGTAAGGAGTTGAGGTTGACCCGGCGATAGAGGAAACAGTCGTAGTTTCAATAGAGTGTCTGGACCTCGTACTGAGAGGAGAGAGTACCACAACAAGCTGTAAGACCGTTCACCTACAGGAAGACTGAACAAGATACATTATTTTTTGTGTATAACGACGTGAGTCGGTTGAGTGTTGGTTTCCCAGTGGGGTCAGCTTTTTTCCATAGGAACCAGTATCTCTGACAGTTGATAGAAGAATAGAAGAGTCCTGAACGGCTTGCTTATCCCGTTTCGATTATACCTGTGTAGAGTGTCGATATTATACTTACGACGATATTACTTGCTAATGAACAAAACAAGTTATCTTGTAAAATTAGTCTCGTTTTTTTTATCTCGAGGTCTTCGTTTCACAGATGGGAGGGTTGAACCAGAAACACATCGGCAGACAAGATATAGCCCTTAATACAGGTCAATTTTGATGTAGAAAAATGATGAGGTATAGCAGGATCGCACTTCTTGGAGATCTAGGAGAGGTCTCGTCCTCAACATTCTGCGTGGACGGTAAGACCACTGTCCTTCACAGGAGAGTGGCGCAAACAGTCTCATCTCTATGAATCAAACGAAATACGTAAAGAGAAACAAAAGGAAAATAAGACAGACAATACTTGCTCTGCACTGTCGCTCGCACTGCGTGGACACTAGAGGGCAAGGTGCAATCGCGTGATTGCTCGAACATGAAAATATAGAACGCATCTGATTCTTTTCTAGATCTAATTCTGAGTGGAGGGTAGCCATAATCGGTTCTTGTTACCAGTCACGCCTCGACAGACAATCGAGGCACCAAAGCGGTACACAGCAGTTTTTGGATATCTCTCTTTATGATGCATCGGTCTTAAAAAGTTTCTCATGAATTGTAGGTAGCATGCAAGACGGAATTCTGAGAGCCAATCCCCTTGTTCTGGTATCCCCCAGTTGACCGGAATGTTGTGCTTGATGCTGTTGTTATGTACCTCGGAAAAAATAATCACGCGTGGACTTCCAGGTACATAATGTTGATATTGTTCACTCAATAGCCTGAATAAGCATAGCCAGAACATAGAACAAGTTTTGAGAATCAAAAACAAAATGGCAAAGCGCGCAAGCAACGAGTTGACGACGTACGTCAACAACGCAGATGCCTATGTTGGCAGAGCCGTTGTTTCGGAGCTCACGTCCTTTTGTGAGGCTCAAGGTGTCGCACTCACGCTCAAAGGAACGGCGCTGAATGCACCGGGACAGGGGTAAGACTTCGATCGTCGTGTATCTTCATGCATTTGTTTGTGTCACCAGAGCAACTTTTAGTTTCGTCCAGGTATCATGACCTACAATTTGGTACAAAAGTACTCTCACTATTAGCACGCAAGTTTGACTTTAATTGAATTAATCATTCTACAGAAGCGAAGCCGGTGCTGCGCGTCCGTCCGATCCCAGTGTCGCAAATAGCATTACGGTATTACCACGCGATGAAGAGTTCATGGCCAACGTTGTTGGAAGCGATTTGATCGTCTACGATCTCTTTTGCGCAGACCTACCGGAATTGGAGAGTTATGGTTTTCCCGCATCTATCTAGGAGCTGTCCCGTAAGGAAAACACAGCTCCAAGATCAATCCAGAGGTGGATCAATAGGAGCTCTAAAAACGAATATTGCAGAAAGTCAAACTAGTTTCCCACAATTGCATATTTGTCCTTGTTTCGTCGGTGTTGACATGGGCGGGGACAAAATGCGAGTTAGAGGAATTACCATCAGAGAAAAAGGTGGCAATCACAGAGGAGGAAGGAGAACCACCAGCGCCGGCGGAGGAGAGGGAAGAGGTAGTTACCGACTATGTATTATAGCGGTGTGTTTTTTGTACAATTCTCGTCATGATTTTGTCAACCCTTCTTGTTGAGTTGTCTTTGTCATACTAGACATTGGAAGACGAGGAAAGGGAAGGAGAAGCTAGTTGTAGTTCACTCTTCCACTTCCTCAAAAACATTTCTATCATGTATTATAGCGGTGTATTATCGTAGGTACAATCCTCGTCGTGATTTTCTCAACCCTTGTTGAGTTGTCTTTGTCATACTAGACATGACCCCTCTTATCCAATCGTATCTCTTCCCATTTAGGACTGAGGCATCTTCAACACTTGTAACCCAGGGCGCAGAAGAAGCCGCACCACCCGCGCCACCAGAACCAGTAACAACGAAATTCGCGCCAAAAACCCTTTCTGCTAGTGATTTTCAGAAGCGGGTTTGCCCTGATTCCGAGATTCTACGACAATGGCAGAGGATTGAGACTCTGGTTACCTCTCTGAACATCCGCGCCAATCTAAGAGGAATCGTCGTTACCACAGGTCTTCTTTATGGTTGCGGAGAACTACCGCAGTACCAGCAGTCCTCGTGGGTGATGCCTTCACTGTCCTTCCTGTTGAAGAACGCGTGGCAGCAGAAGGTGGAGGCTTTTTGTGTGAAAGATACAAGTGAAAAGACGGAAAGTTATGATGGAACTTCGTTGCTAAAAACAATGAATGACATATCTGCCATTCACTCAAATAGAAAGTGGTATACCACGTTGTTGTACTAGTACTCAGTGCGGTCCAAGTGGAGAAAGCATGAAGAGAAATGCAAAAAAGGACACACATAATTAAACAACAAAGTGCATACCCGTCTAAGGACTGGGTATATCATCATCATCGTCATCAACTCCAACTAGTAGGCTTGAACAGAATAAGTAAAACATAAGTCCCATGATCGATCTCCACAACAATTTTCCAACATCTTGACCAACCTCTTTCATCCCCTCGGCGACATCTCAATCAAGGAGAATTTTCTTCCTCTAGTCCACGTACGAGATGCGGCTAAATTGGCGCTGGAAGCAGCCTTTTTTCCAGAAGAAGAGCAGACGAGTTTCGACTTCAAGAAGGCTCCAGCAATAATACGACCGAAGGCGAGCAGCAAATCTGTCTACGTCGCAGTGGACGAAAGCCAGTTGTCCTTGAAGGAGATCATGTCTATAGTAGCTTAAGGGTAGGTCAAAGGTGCTTTTATTACCGCTTTTATGCCTTTAGACTAGCGGGTAGAACTCGTACTCGTCTGGGAAATCTTAGGCAGCTGCTCGCCGAATAGATTCAATTCGTCACGCCTCTCTCCCTTAGGATGAGAAAGGCATAACAAGCGGGGTAAGCGAGCACCAAGGGCCTACCTCTAAGTAGCGACGGAATTTTGCGGCAGTGCACGATCTTCGAAGAGTGAAGTTACCGCTGGGGTTCTACTTAGCGCTAGTTTTCAGACGTGTAGTTTCTGTTTTTTTCTCGAAAGATTAAGATTTCAATCAATCAGCACACCAGCACCACGTTCTTAGACTTCTAATCGGAGCAGCACCACGTTCTTAGACTCAGAGGGCGTCCGAAAAGCCCTTTACGACTATGAGGGTGGCGTACTTTATGCAGGCGGCGAAGAGCAGGAGGATGGAACTGTGACGCCCCTGCCAGGAACCGTAGAATTGCTTAGAGCACAAACGGAGAAAGACTTTGACGATTTGATGTCGGCGAAGAGGGAGATTGCGCTGGTGGAAAGTGGTAATGTAGCTGAAGCAGGAGGGGACTTGACCTTTTGATTTTATGTGATGTTTACGCTTACCACCGATCGCCATGATGCCTTTTTCTCAAGATTCATTTCTTTTTTATGTTTTTGATGTTTGAGCATGAGCTTCCAACTGGTCGTACTGCTGCTCATGATTTAATTATAGATTCATTGTGCATTTTCTTAAGATTCACGAGCTCGGAACAATAGAACAACAACGTCTGTCCTCCTCGTCCCCACCACAATTTCCTCTGAAAACAAAAACTATCTTCACCGCCCACCTGATCAGGCACCGCCACCCTTTGCAGTTCGGTGTGCCCCCTACTAGAGGAGATCAATCTGCGCCTTACGGCTTGCTCGATCTGGGGAAGGATTTCGGAGCACTCCTGCAAAGAATTTGGAAAGGGGATTAGAACGATAGGCCAAGAATATTGTCAGTTATGGTCAGCTTTCTTCCATCATTCTCGGCATATTGGTCCCCTTTTTTTCCCCTGTATCCTTCTCGTGAATATTGTGAAATACAAGGTAAAAGGGGTGAATGGTTCTGGTATTTGGTAACCTGAATTTGATCATAAGGGAAAACAAGGGGTTAATAATTCAGAAGAGAACCCTTAGGATCAAATTCAGGCTATACCAAAGACCAGAACCATACAAGGGGCCAAGAAAAGGGGGGCCGAGATGCAATCGAGTCGCAGACTCTAAGTCAGGAGGTGAATCTGAAACCGATCCGAGCGATGTTCGCAGGTCCTCCAGGATCCTACAGTCCCATGATGGACGCAACTTCGAAGGAGTTTGCAGTGCCAATTTTAACGTTTGACGGAATGCATTTGGCATTGGCGGAATGGTGCAAGGGTAATGAACTTCTAAGACTGTATATTGTAACTTAGTACACACACCTCCGTTTGACGAGGTGGAGATTAACATATTATAGTACTTGTAGGTACAACATTTTGTTTGCGATCACTCATTTTCATCCCTTTCATCTCGCTCTCTGCTAGTGGCTCCTACAGCCACCGAAAACCTCTACTCCCCTACTACAGCCATCGAAGCCCCAGAGGAATCAGAAGATCCTGTAGTCGTTTTTTTGCGAGACAGGCTAGATTTCGAGACAGGAGCTTGGAAAGTTAACGAGGAAAGTGGTGAGGCTGTTGTGACACTTGACGAAAAACGAAGCATCTACAAGAAGATGCTCCAGGTGCGCTTGTCAACGAGTGAAGCTAGATATCGTGGTTTCCTTCTAGACGGATTTCCGACAAATTTGGACGATGCCAAGAGTTTGTTTGCGACATTTGTCCCAGCAGTCGAAGCAGTAGTGGATGAGGAAGCGGGTATGACTTACTTTTAATTGTGACAAGAACTTTGACATTATATTGATTGTGATTTATTTTAGGCAAAAATCTAGTAGTTCTTCTAGCGAGAAGATCCGAACGAGCCAGATACGCAACGACATTGCACTTCTAGTACAGAACGTGTAGTAGGCATGCACAATCGTATCATCTTCAACTTGACACAGGAGAATCCAAAGAAAGAAAGCTTCTCGCCACGACCATCACCGAATACAACTTCAATTACAGGTGGTTCCGACGCCGAGGCCGTGGAGGAAACGCCCTCAGAACCAGCTTATTTCGAACTTCGGGAATATTTCCCCGACCTCTTTGTTATCACCAATGCGTCCGAAGGAAATTCCAAAGAAGGCTACACCTCAGCAGAAGCCTGGGCCGACGCGAACACTAGGTTCAAAACGCAATTCTTAGCACCGTATGAGACCCTAGCTGAACAAAAGAAGGCTATGGACGCCTATGAAGCGCAGGTGGAGAGCATCCGGGAGCCAAAGAAGAAGGAGTTAGTAGACGCAAAAGTAGCGGAGTTGAAGGAAGCGGCGAAAGCGGCTGCTTTACGAACTTGGTAATAATTGAAAAGTATTCTCTTCTATTTGTAGGTTACATTGCAATGACGACTAGCACAATTTCACTTAAAACCTTGTCTTTGTCTTTCACAAAAAAGTATGCGTCTCCCCCCCTTTTCCTCTCTTTCCTCCTGCCCCCATTCATTCCTCGCAGCCGAAGCAGAAGCCGCCGGCGAGGAGCCGTCGTCTAGACCCCAAAGTCCAGAAATAAGCTACAATCCGGATGAAGATGAGGAGCTGCAAGCAGCATTGGCCGAGTACATGGCAGAGCAACTACCTGACGGTCCTCCGGTCTTTGACCCAATAGAGTATCCGGCTAGCGAGTTTTTTACTCCAGGAAATAAAGTGCTCCAGCAATCGAACTCGTTGGTCGTCCTAAGCGGTGGAGCGGGCGATGGAGAGGTATGGATGGAGGTGAAGATGATCTACAGATTAATATTGATTAGAATCGGTCTCTTTCTACATCCGCCGCGGTATAGAAAAGTAGAACAAGAAGTCGATGAAATGATACCGTATCATTTCATCGATAAGATAGGAATCTTCTATTTCGTATTTCAACGATAAGCTTCTCCTGTAACAAGTAAATACAAGCGAAAGCGTCTTCTATGGTGCACCATCCTTCTCCACCCTAGTACCTATCTCTAACCGTCACCGACGAAGCCGCTCCACCAGCCAAGCTTCCTTCTACCTCATCGACAAGGGAAATCACTAGTACACAACTACAGAAACTTTGCGCAAAACTAGAGTTGGACCATCTATTCGCCGATGGTAGTGCAGACGCAGCGAGAATGTCACAATTGATGTGTCACGAATTCTGCATCGCCTTCGAAGCGGCGCATAGCGGGGACAAAATCTTCAACTTCTTTCCAACGGAGGAAGAGCTATATGGCAGCAGAAAAAGACTCAGACTTCTTCACAGAAGTTTTGTTGCTAAGTAGCATAGTGAATGGTTCTGGGATTTGGTAACCTGAATTTGATCACAATGGCAAGCAAGAAGAGAATCCTTGGGATCGAATTCAGGTGACCGAATACCTGAAGATTACACATAGTAAATAGATCTTCTCTTGTATTTCCCGGCTCTTCCTTCACGCTTGTTACCAGGAGTTACTAAGTAGCAAAATCGAAGACGAAGATTGTTTTCAAGATCTTTGAGAAATGACAAAATTTTCTCTTCGCTTCCCTCTCCTCTTCCTCCCACCTTCTGCTACCACCTCTCTAACCCGAACGTCTCGCCGAAGAGAAACGAAAAGCCGAAGAAGCTGCTAGACTCGCTGCGGAGGAGGAGGCTAGGAGACAGGCAATCTTTGAGAAGGAAGAGAAAGAGACCAAAGTTACGGCCAGAAGAAATCGTCCATCTTAGCCAGCATCTTTTGTCCGTTTTCTCAGGGGAAACGGTCACCAAGAAGATGCTCTACAAGATGGATGTCTTCTAGCTCTAACAAAGCCGTGAATGCAAACGAAAACACACGATTAGCGAGAATAGAGAGGGAAACAAACACGGAATTGCAGAATCTCAGCGTGCCGTTGAAGGAATACATGCAGAAACACGTTGTGCCGCATGTACTACAACTGTTTATTTTTACCCTTACTCTGATGTTCTGATTATCTGCAAGTGGTTCAGGATTCGAGAAAGGAGATGACACCAATTCGACTAGAGCTTTTTTGTCAGCTGTAAAGTCATAGTCAACAACCCTGTCTCCTTTTTAGTCGAACTTGAAACCCTCAAAATCACAGGTCGCCCAAGGTCTGCTGGAAATGGCGAAGGTGATGCCGGAAGACCCAGTTGAGTTTTTGGCGGAACATCTCTTCAAAGTAGGTACCGAGATTCCTCCTTTGCCGCAGTGAAAGCAGGACGAGGGCTCTTCGTTCAAGGTTTTGGGATACATTCTAGTTCTACATGTTTCATTTCGCAGTTAATATCCTTTTTTGCTTTGGAAAATGGTCCAGTTACTCACCCTCCACCCTGGCTAGAATAGATGATCAATACAGAGAGAGCAGATCGATGAAATTAGACACTAGTTGTAGATTTTTCATAGTCCATCCACGGTGCTTGTTGTAAACGCAGGAGCAAATTTCTTATCGTCAGGCAATACGTTGTGGTTGAATTTGAAAGGAGATGATTACGACTTCCGAATCAGACTTGAGACAAGAAACATTGCGTGCCTGTTATGTTCATTGCAGCGTGTGCGTGGTGATCATCCTAAAAACGGGAAAGATTACGATCATCTGCATTTTTGGATCCAAGATGTGACCCCAGTTTGCATTTTTTGCTTCCATCGCTTTCCACCTCCGCAGGAAAGGAAGAGATTGCTCAAGACTGTGAACTTGTTGAGTAGTTGTTTTTGAATTTTAATTCGGACTCCTTGTTGAGTAACTGGTGCGGTACTTGTACATACAACGGTGAAGTAGAAATTATATTCTCAACACAACGAAAAGAATCAAAATGATGCCGTCCTCGTCAACATACACTGCGTTCTCGTCCGCCTCTAGCTCTATCCCGGCTCGGAGCAATAAGAACTATCCTGTAATGCGAGGACAGTCAGTGCCAGGCGGGATTGCGAGTTCGAACTATCACATCGGAGGAGGTGGACTGCATCAAATCACATCAGCTGGTTCTTCGCATGCTGGAGCTCAACGATCTGCGCCGACAACACGAGTAACCGCAACACGAGCAAGAAATCGCTTTACAACGTCCTCTACGTTGGTAATCGCTCCTTGCGCTAATCCTTCTGCAAATGCGACTCTGTGTGAGAATCCGTTTGGTCGTCCTCCAACAACCAGCACTGCTTCTACACCGATCGTGTCTTCTGATCCTTTCTCTGCAAGGCCTACAACTTCCAAGTCCTCAATTTCAGCTGATCATGCTGATCATTTTAGAAGCGCCCTCACTAGCTCTAGCAACCCCTTGAACTACGCTTTCAATAGAACTACTTCTGAAGGACTACAAACACGGGAAGATCGAAATGGATATAGAAGAGGTCTCTCATCGGGTATAGTACCGAAAGCAGCTGCTGGGGTGGTCCCAAAAGCACGGCCTGGACCATACAGTCAAATGAACCCTACAGTATCGACACGGCCTGGACCATACAGTCAAATGAACCCTATAGTATCGACACGGCCTGGACCATACAGTCAAATGAACCCTATAGTGTCGACAGCAGGATCATCTGGAGGTCGCGCTGGTCTTCATGCAGGGTTGAAGCCTTTACCACAAGCTTTTCTGTCTCAAAGGGAAAAACATCAGGCGAGTAGTGCTCCCAAAAATAGAAGCGTGGTGGGAGGTGTGAACTATAGAGCGCTTGCCGGAACAAGTAGTACTTCTGGAAGGCAATTTGTACAGCAGGAACCACGTCAACAACAAGTTGGTAGAATCGATTATACTGCGCTCAACAATAGCAACAACAAGGAAAAGGCGTGGGATGAAGGGCCTGCAGTCGAAGATGTTGTACAAAGTACTATTTGCCGCGCTCCTCAAGAGGATGAAGATGTATGGTTCTGGTCTTTGGTATAGCCTGAATTTGATCCTAAGGGTTCTCTTCTTGTTTTCCCTTATGATCAAATTCAGGCTATACCAAAAATACCGGAACCATTCAGAAGAACTACAGCTACTGGACGACTTCTCAACCAATATTTTTCCGATTCCTGCAGACTTGAATCCTGACTTGATCCAATGGTCAACGAGTGAGTTTTTCCGCGTTCCGGTAAATGTGGACGCTATTCCTCCGAAAAAAGGGAATAAAAGGCGAAAACAATGGCAAAAAGACAGGGAATATTTGAGTGTCGAAAAGGGAGAGGCAGTGGAAGTGCCACGTTTAGTCGCTCCTGGAAGAGTATTGTTGAAAAAAGGCGACAGAGGAAACGAACATAGCAAGGCGAAGAGGGCGCTTAAAGCAAGGGTGGTGTTATGCAACTGGAAATTTACGTGCTTTTTAGAATGCCGACAAAGAGCAGCGAGACTTTTTTGAGGATCCTCTTGCTTCAGTATTATAGATACCTTTGCCAGCAACGATTTTCTTTCTCGCTTTCTTTGATAGGTAAACAGAGTTCGTTGTATTTGTAGGAGATCATTCATGGGAACAAGAGTTCGTGCCACACCATTTCATCCTTCTTTAAGTTCTCTCGCTCTCTACGAAGCAAAAATGGGGCACCAGTTCGACAACACCACGCATTCCAACACCGATCTTCAAAAACGCTGGTTTGGCGCCCAAGGTCAGTCCATGAGTTTGTGCGTGAAAACCATTGTTAATACTGAATTCAGTCAGTTCTGCGTAGAAAATGCGGACAAAGTGCGCCATTTAAAAGCAGCTGGCGTGCCAGACGATTGGCCTGAGAAGGTATTAGCGAGGAGGAGATTGAAAAATGGCATAGAAGGTGTTAAACGGGAAAGCGAAGGTGATCTTGATCTTGATGACGGTGATGAGGAGAATTCTGTTGATCTTATGGGTGTAGGGAATTCATCTCCAAAGTCATCTGGAAGAGAAAGACAAGAGGAAAAAGGGACCCAGATGATCCTCGAGATGAATTCCCGACACCTCTAACGATGGCAGTGACTGAAGATAGCACTTAAGCATATTTTCATAGCTCGTGCATCTATAGAAGATGAGCGGCCACATCATGTCACTATGGAAGGATTGATAACGTTGACTGTGTGCACGTGCAGCACAAGATGAAGACGAAGACTCTCAAGATCCGTTCAAATTCCAGCATACCCGTTCAAGTTCCAGCATACCCATTCAAGTTCAGCTCTCCTTTTTCAAGAAATTTACCACAAGTAGCGAAGCAAATGAAATTCGACCGATGAGAAATGTGAATAAAGGGGCGCTTAGTTTCAAGTCTGCAAAGAATTGGGTTGTAACTTGTAGTTGCGACGAGGATGATGAAGTCTTTGTGAGAGACATCCGCTTTTTAGAGCACCAAAAACCCCACCCCTCTCGAAAAGAACACCTCCATTTGAAAAAAGCACAGGTGGGAATGATTCTCCTGGTATTTGAGGCTCTCCTGTGTCCTCATGTAGCCTCACCTTTTCCAAAAAAAAAACTGAGTAGAGCACCTCGGCATTTGACTCTTGTTGAGCTTGAGGCTTATCGACTTACACCACTTAATAGTTACTGTAGCCAAAGCTACTATCATTAGATAGACTTCTCTAGGCTACGCAAAAAAGAACATGAAAGCATCCTCTTCAAAGAGAGGGGCATCGTCTTCTACTCGTGTCAAGCACAGTAGTCCCCGATCACCGAGACGATCTACTTCGCAGGGCTCATCTCGCAGTACGGATGAAAACACTACGTCAGAACAAGTGTCCCTCTACCGTGACGGCTGCATAGCTGATTTGGTGACTCTAGGAAATGCAGCTTTTGGAATGACTGCGATTTTCTGCTGTATTCACGCACTACAGAAGGATGCGACGTCTATTAAATTGCAGTTTCCAGGTATGATGAAGACTGCTTCTGTTGCGCCTGCCGGATTGTTGCGTGTGGCTTTTTGTTAAGGCTAACCGACATCAGGCACCCTGAACGTGGTCAACGTCATTCTTTTTCTTATATGAATATGTTCCAGGGCTCAGGGCTGAAGGCACCCTGGTACGCACTACCAGATGAAATCAATAGTACACAAACGATATTAAACGCTCAGCCTTTCAAAGTGAACTGCTCTTGGGGCAGGGAGTTGTTTTCCTAGGGGAAAGCTAGGCTCTAATATTCGTGTTTACCACTAGGTGGCTTGTGTGATATCCTAGATGGATTAGTGGCCAGACGAAGTGGAGGGTCCGGACCATCCCCTTTTGGCGGAGATTTAGACTCGTTGGCGGATTTGATAACATTCGGAGTGGCGCCAGCTGTTTTTAAGAACAATAGTATTCATCTTGAAGAAGACTCAGACTCACGACACTCACTTGCAGCTGAATTGACATTGTGAATAATTGTTTCAGAAGTACTTAAGTTCTTGTATAATTTAATAACATGTACATCTTCTAACCTCTTCGGGTTCGTCCTAGGTCTCGATACCTTTCCAGACCTCCTCTGCCTCGTTTTCTTCGTTTGCTGTGGTGTCGCAAGATTAGCCAGGTTTAACGTGACTAGCAGAATGGCAAAGCCACGCACCGATTCTTGTTCTTCCTACTATTAAGCCTTGTTCAACAAACTTCAGAAGCATCTTTGACCCCTTATTTAGCAAGGGGAAAAAACTTGTCCTCAAACTCAAAGAGACTCCTGCTCGAGGAGATGAGTCCTCGAAGATGCTCCTGCTCGAGGAGATGAGTCCTCAAAGATGCTCCTGCTCGAGGAGATGAATATGATTTATAAGGTCAGTCTAATACTACTTCGAAGGGGTACCAATTCCCGGTGCACTTTGGTTGTGCCTACTATTGTACATTGACTTTGAACTTTTGCCGATCCTGACGGAACGCAACTTCCATCAGCTACATAGGACCACGGGAAGTTCGTTTGTGTCCACAGCATCGAGACCTATTCCAAGAAGAGACCCGAACACGTATGACACAATCGACCCGCGGGATGTGGTAGTGCATGACGCGGTTGAGGCGGCTGGAGGTAGCGTGGGCGTAGGTGGTGGTGCCAGTGTTATGGGAGAGGGAATGGATTTCGATTTGAGCTCTGTTGTAGAAACATGAGAAATAAGGGTTCTCTTCTTGTTTTCCCTTAGGATCAAACTCAGGCTATACCAAAGACCGGAACCATTCACCTATACAATTGGTACAAGTAGCTCTAATCTCCGCACGACTTCCAGCTCTGCAACCAGCCAGCAATTTGGAGCCGCGATAGCGGAACAACTGCAGTCATTGCAGTACAGTGTGCTCGACCACTTGCTTCGCACTCAAGGCGCACCCGAAAGCGCTTTCGACCTCATGTTGCTGAGAAACAAAACTTTAGTATCGCCAGAACCGCAGCAGCTGCACTTCTTCTCCATATTGTACTTTCTCACGGGCCTGGCAATGATAAGCACGATACCGGTTCCTAAGTTTCAACCATGTCGGTTTTTTATGTGGGCTTCTTGTGATAGGAGGAACAAGCAGGTGGAGTCGAAGAGAAGTAGTAGACAATTGTCAACATCAAGAAGTAGGAGTGCTGGAAAGGCGGGGAAGGTGAATAAGGTGAGAGATTTCTAATGTTTTCGCAAATTGAGACCCCATCCACCCTGCTATCGCAATAAATGCCAACTACGCGGCAATAAATAGGAACGAACTACGCCTCAGGTGCGAACACCCCTGCACGTGTAGAGGAGGCTGAAGACTGAGCTACGTCGTGCCTTTAATATCATATCTTCTCTGTAGGTTCGAATCGGTGAGAGCAGAACGACCAGAAGGAGCAAGGTATCTTCTTGGTACTACAAGTGGAGCTGGCTCTTACTCCTTGCAGGCTGCATCTGTCAGTAGTTCTTCGTCAAAACTGAATGAGAGAATGCGCAGAGGCTTCTGGAATTGACAATGCACAGTTCTTGTACAACTCGAGCAGGACGGTTCCATCAGAAGTTCTCAGTTTCAGCTATTTTGTCGGTTCTCTGAGTGATCACTATAAAGTTCATCACTCAAGCGGATCATGAAGAACGCCATCTTTTGAACCCCTTTTTCCTTTGTTCTTTGAATTCTTCCTTTCTATGATCTAAAAATTCATCGAAGCGCTCCTGAACTAATAAATATGAACATGACCCAAGAGTAGTACTATGAAGATCACCCAAGAGCACGGTGTTGACGAAAGCAAATGGAAATCCCTGTCTATCCCCTCCAAGTCGTTTTTGGGTAGGGTGCAAAAATTTCGACTTCAATGTACTCATTGCACCCTCTTTATTTGCCTCGCTTGCAGTGAACAAGAGTGAAGCTAGCAAGGCTACTTACAAGTTTTCGTTAGTTTTTCACCTTGAGAAAAAACAATCACAACTTACTACTACAAAATCAAAAGATCTTCATCGATCTAGACCTGTATTCTAAAAAAGTTGAGTATATTGAAGCCACGTGCTGCGCGTTCTTCGAATCGATCATATAAAAACGTAAAATAGATTGTGAAAAATTGTAACTAATATTGTCACCCCCTTTCCTACCACATAAAAACGTAAAATAAATTGTGAAAAACTGTAACTTACTATTGTCACCCCCTTCCCTACCACATAAATAAAACGTAAAATAAATTGTGAAAAATTGTAACTAATATTGTCACCCCCTTTCCTACCACATCTTCATCACACACACAACCACAAGATTACAACAAGAACATAAACAAACAAAAATGGTGGTTTTTGGCTTTGGCAGTAAAGTGAACATGAATCCGAAAGGAGGCGGGTCCAGTGAAGATCCAGTGTGGGAAGCTCGCCTTCAAGATGAGACGAGCTTCCTTGAACGGGTGAACGCTGACGAACCGGAGTGGCACAAGATGTCTACGCATTTTCCCAGCGTTTCTAAATACTGCTTGTCGCTGCAGTGCAACATCGTGGCCGAAGCGGTATCCGATTGCAAAAACACGCGTCCTGTCGCTGAATTCCGCGTTTCCGAGGAAGCGGACTCGGCTGGATTCTTCGTCGTTTCTCGAGTCGGGGACTCGGGAGGGTCCTTGAAAAACTGGTTCCAAGCAATTCTGGATTCCAAGGAATTTTTCTTGCGAGAAACAAGCAGTGGAGAAATCTGGTATTTCGCAGTAGCCATTCATGTCTGCCAGTTATCCTGGTAGGACACCTAACCTAACCTTAACAGTTCGCCCTTGCGTGACCACTAGTACTAGTATCTTAGCTTCTTGATTTATTTTACCATTACGAGGAAAAGTATATTTATTTATAGTATAATAAACTCAAATCATCTACTAGTAGTGAGGCGGTAACGCTCCATAGTACTATAAGCTCCTCTACTTTGCCTTTTGGGTTCCCTGCCTTTCCGACAAGAACTAGCCCTCCACGTGAGCTATCCTGCCACGACGAATCAGAATGTCAACGTTGGATTCATTTGCAATCTACAGGTTGATCACTGGTGTGAAGCGTGCCGCAGATGAGGTGAAGCATGTGTATAAGGTTGGCGAAGAATTGGCTGTCGTCCAAGATTTCACGGCAAAAGATATTGGTGGTAGCAAAGTCCAGGTTACGAAAGCCAACGTCCAAGAGGATAACTGTCGTGTGGGCACGGTGGATGCTGCCGGAAAAGTAGCCATGATCATCGTGGATGTGAACGGCGACTCGAAGTATCTGATGGTGACAGCGGATATCCGTGACAAGTGTCTGCAGCCCGCGGTGAGCCCTCTCTGGGTGCGCGCTAAAGGACCGCCAGGTTGTCGTGATGGATCGCTCGTCCGGTCCTACCAGAATGCAATGGAGCTTGGAGAACGCTATGAGGTGCTCACGCTGGCCAAGGACTATCTGGCGCGCTTTTGCGCGACGCTCCGCGTCAGTCGAGAAGACAATGTGTCGAAGGAGCTCCTCAACGCCGTGCTGCAGCCTCAAGATCAAGCCGAGGGCTCGTGCGAGATTTCGCGTGTCTACGACGGCGACTTCCCTGTGAACGCAGAACAGGAAGCGCTGGTCACGGAGCTTGGGCACAACCGCATCACGGTGGCGCAGGGTCCGCCGGGGACCGGCAAGAGCACCACAATCTACCACGTTGTGAACTCGCTGGGGCAGGAGGACCCGGGAGCGGCGGTGATGGTCACCTGCGTGACCAACACCGCGATCAATAGCATCATGGAAAAGCTGGAAAAATGCGAGGGCAAGGGCGTCAATTCGCTGGTCCTCGGCAACAGCGAGCGTGTTGGTGTGAATGCGAAACGTTTTCTCCTAGAGGCGAAGGTCGAGCGCGACTACGCAATCGAGAAAACCAAGAACGTTCGCGCGCTCTTCGAAGGAACGTGGGTCAAGCCACGAGCGCAGCACGATCTGGAGGAAGAGAAGGCGCAAGAGGCAATGCCGTTCTTCTCGTACCGCTTGATGCCTTTTGATCTTGATGCAAAGAAAGTGACAGCTTTGAAACATGCTTACAACTTCATGGTCGATGCGGTTGGCCAAGACGTGCGGGAGCTCGGTGGACCCACGCACGCTCTAGAAAAAGTCATGTGCGAGTTGGATGAGCATCGACGCCCTGAAGCGACTCTGAAGAACAATGTTCTCGAAGAAGCGCTAACGAACGTGGACCGCTTGTACCTACTTTTTCTACCTTGAAAATAGGTTTCTAACCAAGATGTACCTACTTCTACCTTGAAAATAGGTTTCTAACCAAGATAACCAAGATCATCCACTATTGTTCCACAGTAGATGATACAGCAGGATTTTCTTCGTTGTTAGTGGATAATGAAGATGTCAACATTTTGCAGGACCTCATATTTCTTGTCCTCATGTATAATTTAGAAATATCATGTGTTTTAAGACAAGGAAGGCGTTCTACTGATGTCGTAATATTCCTATCCATGAAAGAACCACGAACTACAGGTGTGAATGGGCTCGGCAATCTGCAGCAGGTCGCATCGTCGCGAAGACAACGTGTTTTCTGTTCACTATTTCTTCCGGGTACCGGATGCAGCAGCTCCAAAGTGAATACTCTGCCATGATGCCGCACACGAAGCTGGCTGTGCTTGACGAAGCGGGTGCGACCGCCGAGAGCTACGTTCCGATGATCCTGACAACGGGAGTGGAGAATCTCCTTTTGCTCGGAGACACGAAACAACTTCGCCCGCTGGTCAAGGGCAGCCCTCCCGATGATTTCCAAATCGATCGCTCTCTGATGGAGCGCTGCTGTGACGCTGGCGCCGATCAGCAGATGCTCAAGGAGCAGTACCGCATGCCCCCAGGCATCAGTGATGTCGTGTCGAAGCTCTTCTACAACGGCAAGCTGCGCACGGGCGCTAACAAGAAACGCGAAGCTGAAGCCCTCGGAGCTAAAAAAGTCGCGGCGCAGCTTCGCTGGCTCGACGTCGAGTCAAAGTACGGAGGTAGCGAGGAGGTGAAAGTTGGCACGTCTTGGTGCAACGGTGAGCAGGCAATCGTAGCAATCGCGGAAGCTCTGCACATTTGGAAAGCAGCTGCCACGCAAAAGAAGTCTCCTGCCGTGATTTTCATCATCTGCATGTACAAACCGCAAGTGAATCTGATCAATCGCGCGATCGAGAAAAATTCCGCTCTCGCTTCCACACTGGGCGCGGACCCCGATCATGTGCGCGTGCTTTCGGTGGATGCGTGTCAGGGCAGCGAGGCGGATTACGTGATCCTGGTCACTTCGCGGTCCAACTCTTATGGGAACATCGGTTTCTGTTCGAACCCCAACCGCTGCAACGTGGCTATTTCCCGTGCCAAGGAGATGCTGACCATTGTCGGTGATGCGAATTGTATGTGTACAGGCTCCGCTGCGATGTGGGGTAAGGTCGCAAAAGCGAGCTCTCTAGAATCGTCGAAGGACTGTTTCATGAAGCTTGAGAAGGCGTATCCTTCGGCTCTTGGAAGTGTGCGCGAAACAGTGGAGCTTGAGCTGGAACGGATGAAAGCGAGCTGTTCGAAAGGCGCATCAAAGGGAGGCGCAAAGGGTAAGGGCAAGCGGAGCGGCAAAAGCAGCGGGAGAACTTTTGGAGCACTGTTCAAATTCAACAAGTAAAGACAGAAATCGGAATTCTTATATAAGTATGTAAAAAGAGGAACAACGACCGCGTGGTACTATGATTTTCTTTCTGGAAGTAATATCTCGTATCTATTATTTTAACTGAATAGTTATAGTAGTAGAAGCCAAAAAAATAGTGAAGGACGGCAACGGGTCGTCACATAGAATTTGTAGTTAGTATCGCAGAAACCCATGACGTGTTGAAGTATAAGTACCTAGTGAATTCCATTTCGTTGAATGAGCAGCCTTGTCCTCGGCAGCTTGTTCATCAACAATAACAACAAAAATTAAGGGGCGGCAAATTCAGGTCATAACTCAACCACGGCCATGGGAATATAAATTGCGACATTATTAAATATTACCTCTACAACCGATATTAATATTTATAATATCTTCTATATCGATCATTTATTTATATTATCTCTCACACTCACTCATGAAGGTGCGAGATCATGCTAAGAGAAGCAGGAGACGTCAACGTATTTGTCTATGAAAAATGACATTTTATTTTTCCGTTTTAAGATATGTAGGAGCAGGAGGTGCGAGAGCAGCAAAAGGTGCTATTGGTCAATGATCCCCAGGCACGCCGGCGGCCTCGCAGAGAAGAAAAGTGAACTGCTTTGTATGTCGTGATTATCATTATTCCACCAAGATCGTGTTTGACTACAACGACTAACTGAAAACGGTACTTTCTGTTGATGAATATGGTAATATTTTTTCATCATCAGGAGCAGCTGTTGAGGATAATATTATTCATCGATTAACAACTAGAAGGAACTCTTGTTAAGTTGAAGTTGGCACGACCCGTGCACCCGCGCAGCCGCGCATGGGGCGAAGAAAGATGTTTTTATACAATATATTGATAGTCTTAGTATGTAAGACTAAGACTTGATGTGAAAACTGACAAGGTTAGACTTAGATCTTTGTATTGTCAAATCGTATGCTGAAAAGGTGGGTCGACCCCGATAAGTGCACGCCACAGCAGCGGTTAAGTGATTTTTGAAGAAGTTCGGAAAGGTTAAGGTGCTCAAAGATCATGATTGCAACTATTTCAGTTTTTATAATGACTACGCAAATCACCCTTTGCGGAATAAAAGGTCGTTGGAAAAAGGTTTTTTATGAGGTCGTTGGGGATGGACGTTATTGCCGCCACATGGAAGAAGAACGAAGAAGGAGTATAGAATTGTCCTCAACAAGCTGAACACTGATCGCATTTTCACAATCTTAGAATGCTTGTGTCGACTGTTTCAATCTTAGAGAAGAGCTAGAGTCAAAGGACACAGTGTTGGTAACATGTCCCTTTTGTCCTTTTATTTTCTATCATTTTCGTTATCGTTTGAAGTAGATACGGGAGTAAATAAATTGCGACGTGAGAACGGTTCGTCATTGACTCTAGTACGGAGTATTCTTTTTGTTTTTGATTGCAGCGACTAACGAAAAACTGAAGAGCATTGAAGACTCAACCGGATGGATGGTTGCGCACACAAAATCAAAAAGCGGCTTATGTTGGAAACTGATTTTTCCACTTATAAACTAGCAATGAGAAACAGAGCTTTCTTATTAAGCTCTTGCTTGGTCCACCAGCGACAGCGTAAAACAAGTGATATTAGAGGTCGTGTTCAGCCTAAAAGCAAGAAGTCTGATTACAACTGGAGATTCTTGCCTCGATAGCAGAAGCGTGTAGATGAAGCAGCATATCACGAAGGCGGCACTCGTCCTCAAAATTTTAGGTTCATCTGCAGCTCATTATCTACGTCAATCGTTGGTGATACGTCAAGGTCAAGACCGGGGGAACGCCTAAATCTTCACAGAGAAGCCAAGAACTTTCTGAATTATATCCTTATCCGTGAGCTGCACTATAGATACTATAAATATTTATCGTCCTGCTCTTCGTCTGCAGCATCTATCGCCCGCACCAAGCAAAAAGATGTCCGCGTTTCTGCATCCATCAAATTCTGCTTTCAGTCCAATTTTCGGCGGCCAATATTGGACGGAGATCGCTTTGATTCTCTTCGGGTGTGGATCACTTGTCTTTGTTACGACAGTGCTCATCTATTCCTGTATCGGGATTCATGGGACCGACAAATCCCTGAAGCATCTGAAAGCGGAAGCTGCTGCGAAAGACGAGGAGTGTTAAGGCTAGAAGAAATCCATCCTCACAGGCATTTTGGTCCCGTTTCTCAAGGGAAAAAAGACGGAAGATGCCGCTCAAAATGGGGGATTTCTTCTAGCTCTAAGAGTGGAAGAAAAGTGATTACTTTCTTCAACAGACTTCTTTCTTCATCCTTGATGTAGTCCTCTGCTCACTGTATCTCTTTTATGTTATTCTAGTAAGGATCTACAACTCTAGGACTCGTCTATTTGGTGTTTTCTTCTGTAGGACTCGATTTTTTGATTTTACATACAGTCGAAGCGCACTACCTGGATCGGCTAGCTGGTTTGCAACAACAGTTGCATGAAGGACTAGCAAAAATGGAATCGCAGGTGGAGAGTATGCAAAAAGAAGTGAGCGACACATCGAAAGAGTATCGCGCCTACTTTTCCGACTTTGCCGGTCAAGTCGGCATAGAAGTGGCGAAACAGTTTAGTGCTGTCGAAATTTATGGCTCGTCTCGATCCCTCATGTCTTCCGTAGCGCAGCTTCCATTTGACGTCATGATCCTTGAAAACAAAGAATAGTCAATGAACGCACTGCATGATCTGCATATGCATTGGATAATTAAAAAAACTGAATGCAGTCAGTAAAAGATAATGATACAACACTTCAAGATCGTGGATGCACATCCACATGCAGCTGCAAACGATTATGACCCCGATAAAGAAGACTAATAAAAGATCATGAGTAGTGGCGGAGACTTCTCCTAAGAAATCGAACCCCCCCTAGAAAAATCTAGAATCCCATGAAACCGATGACACCAATAAAATCCCCGATGCAGCTCCCCCCTAACTTCATGCAATTCCGCACTAAAAGACTTGAACTATTTGACTTGTATGAACCTCAAGACCTTACAGGCTTAGGGGTTTAAGCTTTTGCATTTGTATACTGACACTCCGATCATTAGGATCGATCGACGCGGAGCAGTATCCAAGCCGCTGCCTTATTGCGTTCGTATATTCTAATACTTCCTCTAAGAAATCGAGCCCCGCCTAGAAAAATTTAGAGCAGAAACGGCACAGGACTACGAGCGTGTGGGGTCTGAGGCTTTTGAACGTTACACTGCCTCGCAGCAGGAACTCTATCAGTTCGCGAATGGGGAACTGCAAGCTCTAGTCCAGGAAGGAAAGAGCCATGCTGCGGAATGGCAGAAAAATTAAGGCCTTAAAAAGGCGAAGACACTCACTACAATATATAAACATCTGTAGGAGGTCTAGTTAAGGCTCAACTTTCAATGGTCATTGGAGTTGGTCACTGAGATCGAAGAGGCGACCCCTTGAGGAAAGATGGGGGGAAAACGAAGGGAAAGGGGAGAGTTTTGAAGGGGGTCCCTTCCGTTCAGAGTCATGATGAGCATTGAAGGCTGAGCTTTAATCTAGGATAAGAAGGATAAGAAGATGCTCTGTAGACCCTTCCCCTAGAGCAAATTTTTGAGTGGGTTTACTAAGAAGATGCTCTGTAGACCCTTCCCCTAGAGCAAATTTTTGACTTTACCCTGGATTGGGTTTAGTGAGTGTCTAGCTTTAAGAAAAGCAGAAATCGTGCCAGAAAGATTATTCCAACTACCTCGAAACCGAAAAAAACATTAAGGCCGTTTGTTGATTTAAGTATATTTCTAGTAGTTCTATCTTTTCATCCAAAGGTTGTTACATTTATATTTTTCGAGTTTCTTTCGTAGGATTACTTTGAGCTTCCTCGTCGTCTAATGAATAGGTTACCGTAACCTTAACTACTACGACTACTGTCTCTCAACATGGTGCCACTCTTGTATAGCATTATGGTATGCATCTATGTGTGAGGCCGTTCAGTGAAGTAGTACCTTCTGAGAAGAGCTACTCGAAAACTGAAAATAACCGAGTGCGAGTTACTGACTGAAATATGGGAGGTAGCTTAACGTCAAGGCTGCTCTTCCATCTCGTCAGTATCTAGGTTATTCTGATCCGTAACTCGCTTATTTTTTCAGTTTTTCGAGTACATCACTAGCACGAGGACTACTACTACTGCTACCACTAGCTCACAATGAAATAGAGGGGCGTCAGGCACTCTCATAGTTACCTCCACCCCCGCAATGCATATTTCCGCGCTCCTCTCTTAACGGACACCATTTTTCTGAACTGTGTACTTGGACCTCCTTCGGGAGTCATCCGTTAAAATTGGAACGATACAGAGAAGATTAGCATGGCCCCTGCGCAAGGATGACACGCATAAATCGAGAAGTGTAAACAATTTTTTTTGAATTTTTTTACCTCATCCGCCTCCTTTTCTAAGAACCAAACATATAGTGAGATACAGCATGTTCTCAAGCAGCAGATGGAGGATTACGGCCAATCTTTGAAGAAAGCTGGCTCACAACAGGTGAATGCGGTTGAAAAACTCGGCAAGGCAAAGGTGAGTGAGGTGAACAAAGCCTTTTACGAAACTGGAAGATGAACGAAAGTAAAAGAACAACTTTTTCCCCCCATAATTGCAACCAAACTTTTTCCCCCACTCCCCTCCATCGGAACTTACCCCCAGAATGCGGAGATTATTATCATTATTATGTCTCCTGACAAGGAAAGAGAAACACATGATCTCACATCAGTACTAGTAGTATCAGTAAAATAATGAATAGAAGAATAGTTTTAGTTTAGTTCTTGTGGTCGTCACATGTATCAGGCTCTATGTATGCATGACTAGTGATCCTGTAGGAGGAGGATCTACTGCTAGAGATGCAGTTCTGTACTTTCTACCCCGATTCTCTAATGTAACGAAAAGAAGAAAAACGAGGTGATCAACAACGTCGAAAGCACATCCAAGTCGACGATAGAGAAGGTAAAGAAGAGCGGAGAGACAACTATCGCGAACGTGAAAGCGAGTTTATGATGAATGGTTTGACGATGTAGTTTCGTCTGAGCCTTGCCGAAGGTATAGAACGACCTTTTGCGACATAATGATGATGATAGTTGAAATAGTAGAAGAACTTCGACTTTCTATAGTCAGGGAGGCGAGGGCAGGAGCAGGATTCATAACATTTTCATGGCTACTAGTGAAGTTACAGATGTTGAGAAGAAAGATATCGTCCAATGACCGTCGCAGAAAATGCTTCGTCTTGCCGATGACTGATGTGTAAAGTCAAAGTCATTTAAAAGAACGTAACGAATGAATGTCCTCTAATGAGAGCTGCTCAGCTTCAGAAGGGTTTCGATGCAACGAGTCGCGAGCTTCGACAAGATTGCAAGAACGCCGTCGCCGAGTGCAAGAACGTGGCAAAAGGAGCTACGAATGCGGTGGCTGAGGTATTTATAACGAGGAGTTGTAAGTATTTAGAACGAGGAGAGTTGTTAATCAAGATTCAATGTTGGATATCAAGATAATGCTGTTAATCAAGATTTAATGTTGGGTTGTAACAATATTCAAATAATCAAGATAATGTTGTTAATCAAGATTTAATGTTGGATATTTTTTCGGCCAGTGTGTTGTATATCCACTTCAAGCACAGGGCTAATAATGAAGCATACAAACTTATTACTATTTTTTAGGCCAGTCAGTTTCAGTATGTTGGTAGCCTAGATCTAGAAGTTGTACAAGAACCTTCACGGTGGATTCCGTTCTTGGGCACGAAATCGAAATCTCCACGTTCCAGGTAAAAATGACGCTGACCAAAAGATTGGACGAGACCGACTGGTGGGTCCGCAACAATGACACTGATGCCAAGAAAAAAGTCACGGACCTGAAGAAGGGCTTAGAGACTAGGATTCGAAAACTGGAGAACGGTTATTAAGCAATCATGGCATGAAGACTCGCGAGTAGAAGAAGTGGCTTTGAAGAAGTGGCTTTGAAGAAGTGGCTTAGAAGAAGTGGCTTCACTTGTGGCCTTGTGGCTTCACTTGTGGTTTAACCCATGAAGAGCACCAGCAACAGGAAGAGCGATAGAAGAAGTAGTTTAACTCATGGCTACGCATGAAGAGCACCAGCAACAGGAAGAGCGATAGAAGAAGTGGTTTAACTCATGGCTACGCATGAAGAGCACCAGCAACAGGAAGAGCGATAGAAGAAGTGGTTTAACTCATGGCTACGCATGAAGAGCATCAGCATGTCGTAGAATAGAATTGGTAGTCGTGCGATGGTGATCGCGGACGCGATGATAGATAGAGAGAATGAAGGTACTGGGATGCGGATGCGTTGATGGAGCGTCTGGCTACCATGGCTGCTCGTCCATTCGTATGGATCTTCCCTGTACAACATTATGTATATTATAAATATCGTGTTATGTGAACGCAGCCAGGGCTAGTCCCACAAGTGTAAGAAAATAGCATGCAAAAAATTGAAAATTGAAAGTTGTTCTTGGAAGGATTGTTGTAAAGATAGAATTGGAGATGTGAGGGGAAGCATCCGAACCTCAATTGAAGGAAGTGTTTGAGTCATATTGACCCATAGTTCAAGTTTACTCATAATGATAGATAGATATACAAACAAGTCAAAGTTGCTACTTACACACAATATATTAGATGAATTCACATCACCAAGACGTTTGAGTTAGTTTTCTTAAACATAAGGATATCTCTTCACAGGCCATTTCAATTGGCGTCTGGCAATGATCATAGCCTACTAGTACTTGTTCTAGGTTATTTCCTATTCTTCGTGTGGAATCTAGAATATAGCTGGTGTTACTATGTTAAATATTTTGTGTTTTTGTGGTTTTTGATCTCCGGTGAGTCGTCATGTCATCAATGTCTAGCAGCTATTTTCTTGTTCTTGCTAGAAGAAGAAAAGTGTTGTGCAGCATATACGAAGCTTGGATAGGAAGCTTGGAGGTTTCGTCCTTCTCTCCTCAATCTCCTTCTGGTTGTACCGAGCAAGGAAAATGGCATATACCACGAAGATGGCCTTGCATGATGATTTCCAACATGTGTTGACGTGTGTTCCATCATGATTTCCAAGCATGTGTTGCATGATGATTTCCAACATGTGTTGATGTGTATCAAACTCAAAAATTCCAACATGTGTTTGAGTTTGATAAGATAGCAGCGCAATTGTTATCGATCTGTGGTGGTATGGAATATTTACTATTCCACGGATTTCTGCAGCATGAAGCAGTTCTAGCTGTTGCTGTTCTAACGGACTACGGCGTACTAAGTACTACGAAACACAGGCAATTTCTGAACCTGTCTTCAGGAGCGTGTGTCTCACTCTCATTTTTATATCTCTTTTTCGACAGGTACTAAGAAAGGAGTCCGCTACCACCTCAATCTCAAATAAGAGAAAATACAAACATACTACAACATACTTAGTTGTTTCCAATTGTTTTTCGTTGCGATTAGATAGAAGTTGAAGCAATAAAGGCTTTATTTGAAGCAATCTCCGTAGAAGTCTTCTTCATATCCGCCCTGCAACAAGTACCACCTAGTTTTATACTATAAGTCCAGAGGACAGCACCACCTAGACAAAATGCCTCCCATGATTCCCGCACGTCCTCCAGCAGGTTTTGCACCAGGAAATGCTGCGAATGGCATGTTTGTTAAGGCTTCCTTTAATTCATCTTGAGAAGCATCCTGGAGCCTTTTCCTGAGGGGAAAGCACGCCAAAGATGCTCTCCAAGATGAATTAAGGCAAGCGCTAAGTTTGGTGGCAATCCTGGCACTGACACTGCCGTTATGGTCTTTGGCGCTGCCTTCCTCGTCTGCTTTGTCGCAGTTTTGGTCTATTCCTGTGTTGGGATCCGAGGAAACGACAGCAAGTTGATGGAGTCCCTGAAGGGACTGAAAGCCGCAGCTGCGGCTAAAGACGAGGAATTGAAGAAGAGTACCTTATTTAATATGATATTATGTCTCTTGTTGTCCAAGAATAATATCATTGTTGATTTACTCTCACTTGTTCCTTAACTACACATTCTTTCATCTATCTTCAAGCTCAAGCATCTATGAATCTTCAAGTTCAAGAACAATTTCATGTTGCCCACCGCCTTTCATCTATTTTCAACTTCAACTTCAACAATTCCACCGTGCCTCAGTCGAAGCCCACTACCTGGATCGCGTGGCGGCTTTGCAACGTGAGCTCTACGAGGCCCAGGACACAATGCAGCAGCAGGTCCAAAACATGCAGAAGGAACTCTTCAAAACGTCTCAAGACTTACGCAATTCGATGGAAACGACACAAAACGAGCTGCAGTCTTCCATGCAAGCCACCCAAAACGAGTATCGTGCCTATTTTGGCGACTTCGCTAGTCAGGTGTCGGGTGAGGTGGGGAAGCAGTTTAGTTCCGCTGAAATTGAACCACGTCTGGAAAAGTTCCGTATGGAAACGGCCAACGTTAAGGTCAACATTTTTTAGTGTCCATCTTTCTCGGCATCTTTTCCCTTGTATTCTCATGACATACAAGCTACAAGGGGTCAAGATGAGGGGGCCGAGATGCAATCTAGCAGACTCTAACAACGACTACGAGCGTTTGGGTGCTGAATCTTTGGAGCGCTACAAGGCTTCTCAAGGCGCTCTGTACAGCGCTTTGAATGAAGAATTGCAAAGACTGGATGCTCAGGGTCAGGGACATGCTCAGGTTATGCTTGAATGTACATTTCGAAAAGTGAAAATTACCGAGTTACTGAGTGAAATAAAAGAGTCTTGACTACATTCCTCCTCTTTCAGTTGTATCTCCCTTATTTTAAGTAGTTGCTCGCTTACTTCAGTTTATCGAATAGTTGGCTCCTCTTATTCTGAATTTCTTTTTTCAACTATTCTTCTCTTATTGTTAATCACGACACGACTCTCATCTGACGAAGTGGGTGCTAACTCTTCTAGGTTCAACGGTAAAATCAAAATCTTTATGAGCCACTACAAGTTTGGATTGTGACCTGTGAATAGCTACACCTCTAAATAGCTACACCTCTAAATAGCTAACCCTAAGCCTAAACCCTAGGTAGCTTGAGCTACACCTCTAATCCTACCTGGCGCCAACAGCAGGATGGATGCCAACAAGCTTTTACGCAGTATGTCGAGGGAGAGACGAACCGCGGACAAGCTCAAATGCAAGGGATCGCGAATCAGAAGATTCAAGAGTGCGAACAACGCGTAGAGAATGCCGGATCCGCGAAAATCGCTGAATTCGGAACGATTTTCGACTCCCTGAAAGGGGACGTAATGAATCAAGTGCAAATAACCGCTGGCAGCGCTATTGAGGATATGCAGGCTGGCTCACGTGCAGCCGTTGAGAACGTCCGCGTGAATACGCAAGCGACAGTGGCAGATATGCAATCGAGGTTATGAAGGCAGGGTTGATGTACTATTTAATTGAAAGAAGTGAACACTTCTTTATGCTGGCTAATACTCTTCCTCTTTCATCCTAACAGGTCCTCATCAAATGGGGGTGTTTATTTCATCCTTTCAACACGACCTCCACGAGGATATCCTCCGCGACCTCGTCCTCCCTCTAATTCCCGCCACCCAGCTTCGCCAAGATATCGAATCTGAAAGGGAGGATCTCCGCTATCACGCTGATCAAGCTTTGCGCACCATGAGAAGCGAGGCTGCTGAGGGCCAAAAGCGTATCGATGATGCGCTCGCTGCTTGCCAGAACAGTGGCAGAGAAGCGACCCGTGCGGTGGCAGACGTACTTGTCTTGATGTTGATTCTCTTGGCAAACGTAAATCATGTGCACTTGAATGAATTCCAACGCTGGAGGGGCTGGGAAGTAGTTCAAGTATACTATATCCTAACCATCTCCAACTTCATCCCAACTTCATGTGCAATTCACCTCTTGCGTACTTCCTCCTCCTCTTCCCGTCCTCTGTCAGGCTGAGAAAAAGCTTACCAAGCGGTTGGACGAAACGGATTGGTGGGTTCGTAATAATGACGAAGACGCCAAGCAGAAAGTCGCGGATATGAAAGAGAAAATGGAAGGCAGGATTAAGAAATTGGAGGATGCGAATGCAGCTTGGAACAACTAGTGTAAGGGAATGGAAGATGCGAATGCAGCTTGGAACAATTAAGGGAATGGCGGGTGCGAAAGCGGCTTGGAACAACAACTAGGAACTTGGGAAGTACTAGAACTTGAGGATTACTGATATGATCTGGTTGTACAATCCGTAATAAGGGATGTGAAAAAGTAACAAGGCAGGATCTCGAACTCGAACTCGATCTTATACACCCTAAAGCGGTCTGTGGTGCATGTGGTGGCTTATCAATAATGTCAACGAGAAGATCGTAAGATTTTTGTTTTTGAATCAGAATCAACAAAGAATGATATTAGAAATAGAAAAAAATCACAGGAGGAGGCGAGACCGAAGGAGGCCGCAAGAACGTTTCTACTATCAATTATAGGCTTGTGTGCCTTTTGTTTCGGTATATTTTTGGATGCAACATAAAGTCGTTTTCCTATTCTTGTTAGAATGGATAGCACGCACAATTCGAATTCAGGCACAATGTCGTGTTTGCCAGTCTAGGAAGAGAAGTTAGATCGTGTAAACCGATGATGGAGCTGCTTTCAACGGTTCTTGGTGCCTCCAGGCATCCGATCTAAATGAAGAACTGGCTATCTGTATCTTGTTTCAAGGTTTTCTTCAAATCGATATTATCAATAATTTTCTTCACGATATTAACCTCCAGCAGATGAATAAGGTTACAAGTGCAGTTCATCGTATAAAACACAGCTATAGTTCTTGTTTCGCAGCAACCTAACACCGATGTGCAGGAGGACGAACAAGAGCTGCTAATTGTTGTCTACACTGAGCACAGAATCAGAAAGGAGGTGACTAACATGATGACATAAAAATCTATCAAAATGTACTCGCCAAGTGCAAGAAGTCAAAGAACCAGCAAGCTAAACTCTATGATAAGAATAGCCAGTGGCAAAAATGCTAATTCTTGCGTTCTTGAAGGGGTTCATGCCATCGTTTTTATGGCTCGTCTCTGGAAAATCGAGACAAGTGGCCTGCACTAGGTTCCGCCTGCCGCCGGTTTGCGAACTGGATAAAGCTGAGGCCGCTCTTTCAGTAGCCCCAGGATACAAAAAAAACAAAAAAAAAATGTTCACTTTTTTCTGAAATCTCCAAATCCAAATCCAAATACACCATGTTGAATCAATTGCTTTTTCCAGTCTACGATCATGTGTGATGTACGATCAAGCTCAGGAGCCTGTATGAGATGATCCCAACATGTTCTTAGAACTAGAAGGTAGCGCTTGAACTACTTTCATCGCGTATACCTAGCACTAGCAGCACCATTTTCAAAGTTTTATTTGAAGACATCTTTTAGTGTATTTAGTTTTAGGGTAGTAGTAGAACTTGTAGTTTCTGTTTGTCCGCTGCTTGTCGAACTACATTCTTGATCAAAAGAAAGATGTCACAAGATACTCCTTTCCCAGCTGGTAAGGGAGGTAATCCTGGTGCTCCAACAGCTTTTCCCGGCGCTGCTCCAACAGCTTTTCCCGGCGCAACCACTTTTCCTAGAGGACCAACAGGAACGCCTTTCCCCGGAGCAACAACCTTCCCTGGTGCAACAACTTTCCCTGGAGCACAAGCAACTCCCTCAGCTTCTTCAACTGCAAGATCATCAGCTGATGAAAATTTGCCTGCTCATATTCCCCGGAAGAAAATCCGAGATCGCGATGCGTTTGAGCGATTCAAGACTGTTTCCAAGACGTTCAAGAACATCTTAAGTTTCATTCAGGAATGCGATATGGCTTATACTGGAGCGACCTCAAGCCAGCTGTCTCCTAGCGATCACGAATCCAGAAGAGAAAGGAAACAAGACTTTAGGGCACCACCGAGGAATTTGGACGAGGACCAAGATTTGGATGCTGTTGTTAAGGCAACTACAACATGAGATGGCAACTAAATGAGATAAATTTCCCTGCTGGGTGGATCTAGACTTTGAAGACGCTGTTGCTAAGGCAACTACAACTAGATAGATTGATCAAAAATTCGTAGAAGCTAAATAGACTACAACTACAACTAGATAGATCAAAAATATTGAGTACTTAGCAGTTTTCTTTGCGCCTCTAGTAAAGGTAAAACATTTTGCTCAACTAGTAGAAGTAGTTGTGCTGAAGACAAAGGCTTACAGACCACTCCTCCTCTAATACATGCGGCATGGGCGGAAGTTCGTCAACGGATCGAGGTCGAGAAGGTCCAAGAGGAGGTAGAGAAAGCCAGAGTGGTGGCAGCGCAGGCGCACGGGAGAGTGTCGCGGGAGCAAAAGGAGGTACTGAGAAATTGAAATACCACAAGATAAAAGCAATACAGATGTTGACGATGTTGGCTCAGAGTAGTCGTGTGTCGTGAGATAAAATGATCTTCAGGGTTCTTCATACAGTGTATCTTCAAAGTTTTGCTCTTTGTTTGTGGCTAATAGTACTAGCTTATAAGTAATATCTTGCGTGAGGTAACGATAACGTCGTGACAAAATACTATGACGCCCTGAGGCAGTCTGCACTGAACTTGGTGCGATACGCAGGTAGGTTTTGACTTATCGGAACTCGCTCGCACTACAAAAAAAAAAAGATACTAATTGTATTGGATTGCGTTGCATTTAACTGCACTATTGTATACTATTTTATTGTATGCTATTGCGTTGTACTGACATGTTTGACCATTTCCAGGCGATAACGTTGGTCGACGACTCTCCGACGAAGGCGATGGCTGTGGTGGGCGAAGGGAGATAGATGAGAGTTTGGAGTCTAGGACAGAGAAAGTTTGCGCTCTGTTGCGGACTTGGTCAAATTGGATCGATGAGATTCCGCTTGAGGCTCGGTACTAGTTGTAATGAGAAACTGACTCTCGGTAGTTGGTGCCAATGGATGAAAGGGGGAGTATGCATAGTGTCTTCTACATCTCTTGGCGCTGGTGCACGAACGTGATACGTGCGAAACGTGTGGCATGGATAGAATTCGACCGGGCGCCGACTTTGCTCCTGCGCTGCATGGTCGTGGGGATTTTCCTGGTCTTGGGGGAAGCGCTGCGGACTGGAGAGCAGGCGCGCCAAATGATACCAGCAGCGCGGGCGTTTTCAGCACGCACCCAAAAAGGCCAGGGCGCTCGGCGTGGGGCAAGTTTTGGAAGGCCCAGCGCAATCGGGGCGGACAGCTTCCAGCTCCAAGCCCAAGCGGAAGCGCGCCCAGGTCAAGCATTCAAGCGCCATCGGGACAGCCCTCCGGGTCGAGTATTCTAGCGCCCTCGTAGTTAAGGGAGCACGCCGCCGCCTCGATTGGCTCACGCTTTTGGCGATTCAGGGGCTCGGCCATGTGCGTCCGGCCGTCGACATGGGTGGAGGCGGCCGCCGGCTCCAGTGAATCGGCGACCCATCGACTCGCCGAGCGGGGAGAGGGCTGCCGCCTGTGTGCTTGTGCGAGTTGTAGAGACAGCGCAAGAACGTGCGCAACCCAGAAAGCCACCAAATAAAGAAAATGCCGGAGCGGACGGCGCAAGCATGTGGCAGGCCAACCAGCTTGGCTGAGTTCCCCATCTGCGGCGCGGCAGATTCGGGCGAACGCGTTCCCTGGAGACGATGGGGCTGGATCACCTACCCGAGCGCGTGCCATCGGCTGAAAATGGGGGAGCGGGTAGAGCGCGCGCTTACGGCTCGCGCCCCATCACTGGTGAAGCCCGGAGGGTATCACAATAGGCACGGGCATCCCCTGGAAATGGAACGCCGGCACTAGGGCGAGCCCGCGTCTTGGTGTCGCAGATTCATTCTGAGAGGGTGCGAGAGTTCTCGAGACATTTCGCTTCTCGGAGGTGAATTGTCCGCCAGAGTTTGCCGATGCTATCGGGTGTGAGTATGTGGGGCTCTGCAGTTTGCGCGCGCGCAGTTGCGCGCGCTTCTAGATGGGCTGAGGCGCTGGCTTGGGTGGTGAGTCGTTGCGGAAAATGACACTGGTGCACCTTGCCGGGCACTCCACGAGTTCGGAAATTCCTCTCCCGGGCTTTAGCCTCCCTGGTCGCACTGCTGGCGGGCTTTTTGCTGGTTTTATAATGGAAAAGGGCGCAGGCTGGTGAGGCGGTCACGGCCTCACTGCCATGGCGGGGAGTGGGTTCACTTCGATGGTGGCCGCGCTCCGTTGGTGAAAGTCTCAAAGTAAGGCCCGCCTTCCCTCGAATTCTACCGGCGGGCGGCGTGCCTCGCTTGCAGTACGTGGGCGGAAGGGCTGGCGGGCCTTTTCTGCGGTAATCAGGCGCAGCGGGGCAGCTGCAGCATTTTCCCGGATGAGTTCGCTCGCGCTTATAGTTTGCCGGGGCCGCGGGATTTCGGTGGGCGTGGGCGTTGCACTTGCGGATGTGCGCCGCATCCCCCTGGAAAAGTTCAAAAGCTGAGGCGCAAAAGCTTGCAGAAGAAGGACCGACGAGAGGGGCGGGCGTCTGGGTGTAGACTTGGAGCACCTTGAACAGGGAAGGGCTCCCCTGCCCGGGGTGGTGTTTCTCTAATAATCGTGTCCATTTCAAAGCAAGGGGCTGCAGGAGCATCGTCGCAAGCTTGTTAAGTTACATACTCCCTCGGCTGCTTGTCTGTGTGCAAGCATCCACGTGCTTGGGGCCACTGGTCTGGGCTGACGGGGGTGGTGTAGTTTTGCCTTCGCCAGCAGGCACAGGGTTGCCTCGGTGCTGGCTGGGTGGGAACTAATCCACTCCACTAGGCTCGGGCCAAAGGGTGTGAGGAGTGTTCGACAGCAAGCTCGGCGAGCGCGTGCGCTGATGGCTTGGCGCTTGTGTTGTTCTTTTCCCGTTGGAAGAAGCGGAGGCTGCAGGGGCTCGCGTTATAGTTTAGTAGGAGTGGGCGTCGTGACTGACAGCTGCGGACACTGGTCGATGGCCCTCTTTCGCGTTTTTTTTTCTGCGTGGGCGTAGCCCACGATGGCGTTCCCCGAAAGTAGGAGCTCGAGCACCTCCTTGCGCGCCGCCTCTTCGCGCCTACTTTCTTCTTTCGTCGTCTACCAGTATTTGCCTTCGCTTCTATTGTGGCTATACCTCTGCGGGCTGCCGCTCTCTCAAACAGCCTCATGCACCATAAGACAAATCATGACAGCCACATCAATAAATGAATATATTATTTATAAAAACTCTCCGCCGACCAGGACCGACATGCGTTTTGGCAATCGTACTTTCCGAACTTGGCATGCCAAATTGAAGGAAGAAGGCCCTCGCCTAGTCCGGGAACGCATATTGCCCACTGATAGATTCGGCAGCACAGCTTGGGAGGAAGTCTCTACCTACCTATTAAATTCCTTTGGCGATGAGACCAGGATAGACTACGGCACAGGACACGAACTCAACTTCATTTGTGCCTTGTATGTATTGGAGAAGGGCTGTGGGTATGTGACGGCGGCGGAGCGGAGCGCATTCGTGCTCAGCTGCTTTACGACGTACTTTTTTGTTGAACAGATTTGATGGATGTCGTGTTGACTCTGTCATGCTGCTTGAATAGAAACTCCGTTTCTTCTTCGCATCGTCATTCTTTCACACGCAAGTGTCTGCAGCACAGCATCCTGCGGCTTCATCTATAATGATCCAGTCTAGGTCCTCCTCTACAACAAGAAGATGAACGTTCAACATCACTTTATTCCCCTCCCCGCCTCAACCTCTAGGTACATGTCCCTGATGCGCAAGCTGCAGTCCGTCTATGTTTTAGAGCCTGCCGGATCGCACGGAGTCTGGGGTTTGGACGATTTCCATCATGTTGTGTACATTTTTGGCGCGAGCCAGCTTCTAGAGCGAAAACAGCATGCCGCAGAACAGGAGATATTAGGTTCCTCCTCTCGAGCTCAACAATCTCAGCTCCTCTCGCCAGACATGGTTCTAGACGCTGCGCAATCATCTCAGCATCATCAGAACCTTTTCGTTGCCGCAGTGCGCAACATCTTGGACACGAAAAAAGGAGCCCCGTTTTTCGAAACCAGTCCTCAATTGCACGATATCTTGACGTCCATACCCACATGGGACAGGGTCTATCAAGGCATGATCCGAATGTACGTTGGCGAGGTTTTGGAGAAGTTTCCAGTGACACAGCACTTTTTGTTCGGACCGAGCTTGCCTTATGAATGATCATGATGGAGCTGGAGGTTGTAGGTTGTTGGTGTGCGACCATAGAAGATCACTTGTCGAAGCAAGTACTAGGTAGAAGGGAATGCTGGCTAGTCCCGCTCCATTTTTTATCATAATTATCTTCTCCGCCAAGAGCAACTACCCCATCGCGAACACTTAGAGAATCAGAAAGCAAGTCAGATGAACACGACGCCAATACACAATTTTTTGAAGTACTCCTGGAGTCCGCAAACCGCAGGCACGACGTCGCCGTATGCGGCGAAGAAGTGGAACAAGGTGTGTTCATATGGTGCAAGAGACCCAGTCAGTGCGCTTCTCGAGTAAACATGGACGAGATGCTGAGAGGCTTCTGTGCATGATCATGTACAGGAGTTATATAAGAAGTTTAGTGACGCATTGTCTGGTTGGCAAGAGTACAGCAAAGCTGTGTCCCGATGGAGCAGAGAAGAATAGCAAGTGAGAGCAAACCGTAGAGCAATGCGTGCCTGCTACAAAAATGGTTTCGTTTTTTTGGAACAAAGCAAGATGAGCCATGCTGCCATTAGCATTATCACGGCTCCCAAAAACACTTAAAAGGATTTGTTAACGTTCCTCAGGTTGACGTATTAACGTAAACAAGTTTGTTGTCAGGGTTGGTGATAGAGCGATGTCCATGATATTGAAGATTCTTATGTGTGGCGAGTAGAGCTAGAGGTATCGTTCTCGCAACAAATATTTTTTCCAATGTATTCTTTTGCAAAAATTTTGAGTAATCCAAAATGAGTGACTACGACGCAGACTCGGGCGACGAAGGTGAGCGGAATAATGAGCAGATCAACGCTTTCGAAAACAAGTTTCGAGGTGGTCGTGGCAGTGATGACTCGTCTGAGGATGAAAGACGTCCATGCGGACCGTCCAAACCCTCTCAAGAACCGAAGAAGAAGGTAGCGCATCATGCACCAAGTGGAACGAGTAGCTTGTCGGGAGGTGGGTCTTCCACAGGCGTCGCACCAAAACCTTCTTCAAACAATGAGTACAAAGTAAAATCCACTCCTGGTGGTCCTGTTAAGGGTAGGTTAAAGGTGCTTTTCTTACCGCTTTTTATGCCTCTCCTAAGGGAGAAAGGCATAACAAGCGGGGTAAGCGAGCACCAAAAACCTACCTCTAATCCTGGCGCTGCAGCTACAGCTTCGGGGACTAAGAGCAAGAAAAGCGCCACTATAGCTGTCGATGTCGAGCAGAAGAAAAAGAATGCTAGTGGCCTTGATGCAGGTGAACACAAGAACCAAGAGCACGATGATGATTCAGCATCTTCTTCAACCTCTTCATCGTCAGAAGAAGACGATGACAAAGCCCTTGGAACGAAGAAGAAGATCGCTGCTGACCTCCGTTCCACTCAACATCGTTTGCAGCTCAAGGAGAGGGAACTGGAAGCACTCAAGGAAGATACTTAAGGCTCAGATGAATAATTCATCTTCATGTTCATTATAGGTGGTTCTTTGAAGACTCAGTTTCATCTATCTTCGATTCATTCTTCTTTCATCTATTATACTCAGTTTCATCTATCTTCGATTCATTTTGAGATGAATATGATGAAGCTCAAGTAGGTACTAGAAGATGTTGTAGATGCCTTATTTGAGCATGAGCTCTAAGATACGAAGGAAATGCTGCTCGGCGGAAGCAATGAAGGAGACTCATCTAGTACAGTAGGACTCGATCCCGTCAGTGACTGGAAGCGGAGATTGTACAACATGGCACAGAGGTCGAGGCGTCAACATGTTACGATAGAAGCGCAGAAAACGAAAATACAAGAGTTGGAACAAAAGCTTGTCCAGTCTGCCTCATCAGGTGGCTCTGGGTCGAGTGGAGTCGTGCTGTCGGAAGAACAAATTAAGAGATTGACATAGTCGAAATATGGTTTCTATTCTACAACTGAAGCAACTACACCTGTAACAACTGTACTTCGAAAACTGAAAATAACCGAGTTACTGACTGAAATAAGGGAGGTAGCTTTGCCAGAGCTATTCTTCCCTGTTTTCCGTAGTTACTCGCTTATTTCAGTTTTTCGAAGTCGCCACAGGTTCATTCTGGTAGTGGATGTTTCATCCTTCCCTCCATCCTACAAAGAAATTGTTAACCAAACGCAACAGGAACAGCAACTAGTAATGCTAAAAATTTTCCATCCTTCCTTTAATCAAAAAATGCAGAACAACATGGAGAACCAGGAGTTCCGGCAAAAGTTCCTGTCTACGTCCAACCAGCTACAAGAGACCAGGCGAGAACTGTCAGAGGTGAAAACTCTAGTGGTAAAGATGAAGAAACTTCTCCTCCGGGAATTCGGAAGCGATGAAAGAGTGGATGCGGAGCTGAAAAATGTCAATAAGCTGAACAACATTGTTATGGCTCGGATTGGTTTTGAATAGGAAGCGGCGAAGGTACTGGTTGCTCGAGGACGAAGATGGGCCACTCGTAGATGTTGTACCAGGGTCAGTGCCGTGCACTATAGTAATTTGCTTTTGACAGGATTTATTTCTCGCAGCTGAAAGTAAATGACAGGACTGTTCCCGAGAATAAAACTGAGCCCGACAGAGTCAGACCCAGTTAACCCTTAACGACCTCAGACGACCTCTCAAATCCTCCAATTATTACAAAACCATTAAGAAACTCAACCGGACGTAACATCTTCGACAACCAAAAACATGTGACAAGCACTGACAAGACAAGTGGGCCACACGGGGAGGGAAAGAGATCGCGCAAAGATCTGAAGGGCGGGGGTTTCCTGTCACTTGTTCCAAGCGAGTACAACTCGGCGCAGGCTGAAGCGCCAACATGAATCCAATTCGAAAAGAGAAACTGGCGTGGGAGGGTGGGAAAAAGAAACTTTAATCAAACCACCTTAGCACTTATTTTCATACTTCAGCGCTTACCTTGGTGTTCTTGTGATGCATGCTGCCCTTTAAGACTACTCACTAATAAACGAACGAACGACTTAAATAAACGATCGGCTTCGAAGTAACGACGACCTTTACTTTCACGAATTCCTTTTTTTTCCTTCTTTCTCTCGCTCTTGTTTGACGATATACTTCTTCGAACGAGAGACGTTACGGTGAGCACTTATTTTCAAAGTTTAAAGATTTCTTATTTTCAAAACTTTTTTTTTCTTGGCTGCTGCTTTGTACATGTCGCAGCAGCCTATTCTTTTCAGTCATCTCCTTCCACCTGGAGAAATAAACTATGCAGTAATAGCAAGCTCTTCCTGCATTAGTTTACTTCTCATGTTGATGATCGTCGTTATCTTCTGACTGAAGATGTTGATCATCTAACCTCTTGTTGATGGTCATCTTCATCTCGAACCTCTAACCTCTCGAACCTCCTGTTTTCAGCCCCAGGATCAGGCGGGGGACCTTCTGCTTCCGGAAGCCTATCCGGACCTGCACAACAACACGCTTCCGAACTGACGCGCAATCAATTAGAATCTGAGGTGGCAAGGTTGAGACGGGAACTGACCTCAAAGCGAGAGGATTCTCTAGTACCTCCTACTAAACAAGGTCGTGGACGTGCGAACAGCAATTCTTCGCATAGGGACAGCGCAGGAGAGAGTAAGACCTCTGGAGGTGGTACCAGTGCGACTAGGAATGTTAAGGTCAACATTTAGTGTCCATCTATCTCGGCATCTTGGTACCCTTTGGCTCCCCTGTATTCTTCTCATAAAATGATACAAGGGTAGTAAAGGGGTCAAGATGAGGCGGCCGAGATGCAATCTAACAGACTCTAAAAATGGCAGTACGCCTTCTTCATCTTCCTCCCAACAGAGGCAGAGTACAACTACCGCGTCAACAAGGGGAGGCCACCAGGAGCAAGATGGCGCAGCAGATATATTTGATCAACATGCTGATTCTCAATATGGTAGTGGAGGAGGGGGTGCAGCAGGTAGTGGAGCTGCCAGCAATGCTGGCGGTAGGAGTCGGCGCCCTCTTGAGAAGATCGCTGAGGAAAAGAGGAAGCTGTTAGACTCGTTGCAGAAAGAGAACGCGACACTGCATGAGGAATTGGTAGATTCCAAGTCTCGACAGCGAGCGAATGTGGGACGGATCTTTATGCTTAGATTGTTGTACGTAGCTACAGTACAACCCGAGAAAAGTTGACCAAAGTCGTTACAGTTAGAAGTAAATACCTGATTTCAGCTATGCATGTCCTGTGCATGTTTCTGTAATTTTTGTATCAATTTTTTAATAGAAAGTTGAGGTACATGATGGACCACTAGTACTATTTGCTTCCAACCATCTCTGTCTAAGCTCACCTCCCTTGAGGACCAGGTGCAAAAATTGAAGCATCATGTCTCTTTGCTCGTGCAGAAAAGCGACAGGGACGACCAACTGATACAAGAACTCGGTGCAGGAGGTGCAGGAGGGGGTAGTCCAAGCAAGATTGTCAAGAATGCAGGTGCGCCAGCAGTGACTTCTAGTGCAGTTACCTCCACTAATATTAAGGTATCTGGTGCGCCTCGTGGCTCTTCTCAGACGCGGACTTCAGGTGCAGCAGGTGGGTCATTGCGTGGTGGAGGCAATGGCGTTGTCGGATCATTGCAGAAGGGGGGAAGCGCAACCGGAGGGGCAGCAGCTGCTCAGATGCACCTGAATCAGAAGAAACAAGTCGGTGCTGGTGGTGTAGCAACAGCGTCAACTGCAAGCAATAGAAGAAAGAATCCGCCAATTTCATCAGCTAGTGTTCCGGCCGAAGGTACTTCTGGTGTAGCGCCTTATCAACAACAATGCGGGGGTTTCGGATCGTCGCCTACGAAGCTACAGGATGCAAACAAGAGTAAAGACAATGCAGTCAATGCAGGAGCAGGCGGAGGCGCGACAGCAGTTGCAGAGAGTATTGCAATGAAGAACAAGATCTTTGATCTTGAACAACAATTAGCACAACAAGCGGCCTTGATCTTTCAGATGAAAGGTGATCGAGGTTGAGCTTAAGCCTAGTACAGTTAGTTTGGGGACTTCTTAGTCATGATGGGTTATTCAGATGAATCATATCCCTCTGCGTCTGCTCCACGTTCACCTCTGAACAGACACTTCATCAGGGAGAATCTTCGAATGCATGAGTCCTGCTCTTGTCAACTTGTTTTGAAGATACTGGTAGGGAATAGAAGGGCACTGCGAAGCCAAATGGGAAAGAAATATCAGTCGTGTTTTCATGCTTCAGTTGAGAAGCGTATGATCGATCGTCCGAGTACGCACTTCTACTAGAAGTCGTGGGAACAAGAAGAGCTATGAGTGGGAAAATGAGAGCAGTAGGAGCGCAAACTAAAAATGTGAGTAGGGGTCAGCTGCAGACAGAGCGTCGAGGGCATACTGACACACACTAGCTTTGACATGTATGGATTTCAGAGAGGTTGAGATGCCGTCTCAGACGCGCATTGAATTCAAAAAAAATGTGTGCTATGAGACTCCATCGTCCTACTTTGTCATCATGGCGCCTCCGGCTCTACTTCCTGATCACGAGCAGCTCTCTCTATTCATATCCCTTAGTGGTCGAGGTTCAAGCCGACGCACGCATGCGTGAACCTGTGGGACAGTTGCGAAGCAGAGACTGGGTCTACGATGCGGAGCACTATTGGCATAAGGCCTTTGAGAGTTCCACAGCCTATGGAGTAGCCTTGATTCTGGCGGCCCGAAGGACAACGGAGCTCAACTTTCACTTCTTCCATGAGACTTACAAAGCATGTAAGAGAGGTGGCGGAGGAAGTAGGACGTCCATGGAGGACAGCGACAAGGAAGCCATTGTGATCGACGGATCAGTAGATGGAGAGTCTGGAGCACCAGCGCAAAATCATGAGTCTACAAGAAGTGCAAGAAATGAGCTTGAGCCAGCATGCACACTAGACTTTCATTGTGATCGTGCAGAGATTCTCAGAGTATTGGATGACATGCTACATGGGGAGTCGTTTGTGGCTGGTTTTGGTCAGATCATCAACGAGATGAGGATTTTAGAAGGTGAGAGAGCAGAAGCGCTGGGAAACTCTCCTGCGAAGAAGGCCGAAAATCCGAGGAATACAAACGAAGATGAGGCAACCGTGGCACATGAAGAAACGCTGCAGCCAAGTCAGAGTCTCACGGTCGCGCAAGCATCAGAGGCTCTGAAAGTGGAACTTTTTGACGTGTTGAGGGAACTTCATACGGATATCACGACAGGAGGACACGAGGATGTCTGCGTTCCAGCCACGCTAGTTCAAGCCGCGATGCAGGAGGTAGCCTCAGTGAGTAACATCGCGATGTCAAGACTGCATGTGGCACAGCTCCACAACGAGCCTGAAGTTTGGCGGAGAGCAAAGGAAACGGAACAAGATTTATCGTCCGTACCCAGAGCTGCAGCAGGTGGAGCTTCACGGCCACCGACATACGATTTGCAATTTCACAGTGACTTAGGCACCCATCGGAACGAAATCGTTCCAAAATTGTGCAGACAAATTGGCTGCCGGAACTACCTCGAAATAGGAGTGATGAACGGGGATTGTGCAGCCGCGGTTTTGATGGATCAATGGAAATACAGCAGAGAGGACGAGGCGGCTCTCCAGGACAACGGGCAAGGCCGTGAAACCTTGACTTTATTAAAAACCATGCACCTCATAGACCCCTTTGAGAATGCTACAGCAGCATACTATGACCAAATGGCACCCTGGTCCGTGGATTACAAGTTGCAGCAACGAAGGAGATTGAAAGTAAGTCAACGGTTCGCGGGATTTCGGGAAGATGCTAGTTTCCCGAGATTGTTGGAGAATAAAGCCAGTGTAGAAGTGGAACCGAATCGCCCGCAAGTGAAACTACATTTCAAGACCAGTCGGGAGGCGCGCAGAGACTTCGAACATTTCTTGTCAGAGAAACTACACCACGCCCAAGAACACGAAGGCCACACGTTACAGCCTCTTACAACTTCTACGACTCAATCCTCATCAACGAGACATGATCCGTTGTTCGACCTCATCTTCATAGACGGCGACCATTCCTACCAGGAAACACTGTACGATTTAGAGGCTTGGAGCGAACTTGTGCGTCCTGGTGGTATCGTCGCAGTGCATGACTACAGTGCTGACTGTGTCAACTGTGAATTCGAGGTGGTCCGTGCGATTGATGACTTTTTTGGAAGAAGAAGAAGAACAAGGCTCAAGGTCGATCTCAATGTCAATTCAACATCATCAAACTCAAAGTTTCCATCTCCAACGCCAACGAGATCAAGAACAGTATTGCATGCCTCCCCTGATGTGCTTGTGTGGTTTTATGTCTGAAAAAAGCAAGCATAACTAAGTAGTAGTCGATCATCGATAGAGCGCTACGATGTATTTTGCAGCAAGATGAACTCGTTAGTGGTCTTCATGCTCATGCCGCCAGTTCAAATAAGGAAGAGTGGCCGTGTGTTCCTGTCCGTCTGTCTTCGACTAGTCTGCGACAGCTAACAAGTAGCAATTGGTCAGCTCAAGAAATAATCTTCGTCTCGCTCTAGTTTTTCATTCGTCTTTTTACCGCTCCTTGCGGGCTTACTCCCACGACTGCTTTTTCCTCCAACAAGCTGAGCTGCTCGGCCATCTTTCGTCCTAGTGGTCGCGGACGCTCTGCTCATATACTCCATTACCCCGCTTCTCTGTCCCAACGCGTAGTCCATCGAGAGCCTCTTCATTTGCTCCAAATCCAAGCCACTTCCCCTAAAAAACGGATAATCATCGATGACCTCTCGAGCATCTGGTCGTCTGCTAGGATCTCGTTTGAGCAGAGACTGTAACAGTTGTCTGAAGCTTTGTAGGGTGGTTCCGAAATGATCTGACATGTTATTAATGTTTTGTGCCGAATTTTTTGAAGGATTTCTCCTGGCGCCTTTCTCCTCTTCTAGTTCGTCGTGACGTGCTCCTTGACCTTGTGATGGCGATGATTTACTACGCCCGCAACATCCACAAAAGGCGTTCCGTGGCTTGCCCACGGCCTCTCTCTTTGCCTGTAGTACGAGTTGGCTTTCATCCCCAACAGGCTCTTGATGAGATGAAGTATCACCACTTCCGTCTCCCTGTTCTGCACCAACTCCAACACTAGTATGATACGCCGTTCTTTTGGCGCTTTCAGAAAGCCTTTCTTCTTGATACTGCTCTTCATATGCCATGACCGCCTTGTGCCCAAACAGGTCATCGGAAAACCGCACAGCCCCGTCTAGGATCGATCGATAGAGCACGAATTAGTGGGATGAAAGATGCAGCTAGGTGTCAGATGACGTCAGAGTAAAAAGTTGCCAAAAATGATAAACGTGCTAGAAGAAGCTGGACAATGTTCGTGTTCCTATGCTTCGTCTAGTCCTCTTTCTTCATGTTCTTCGCCATACTCTTGCGGATAATCAGCTTCATTCGCACTTTGATAATACGGCGGCACCCCCACATACAATTCGTACAAAAGTACGCCCATTTGATACACGTCCACGGGAAAGCTATGGCCCTTCTCCAACAGCATCTCAGGTGCGAGGTAGGCTGGCGTGCCGCAAATGGTATAGGTTTTTGGAGAGTTGCGACCCTTACTTTCTATTCCTTCGTTGCTGTAAGATGCGTCGCCTATGCCAAGCTCCCGTGCGCATCCGAAATCCTGACTGTCAGATTAGGAGTATATTTGTGTTTTGAAGATGAAGAAAAAGATCGAGATCATATTATGGTTGAGGTAAAGCATATTATGCACAAGTTCTAAGAAAGTACCACGATCTCCACATATGCGCCGTTTTTTAGGACCACATTTTCCGGTTTCAGATCTCGGTGGATTATCCCCCTTTCTTCCGCCAGAAATCGCACACCTTCCGCGATCTGTAAGCCAAGCCATCGCACTTGGAAAACGTCACTAATGCGACCCCTTTCGGCTAGCACTGTCCCCAGGTCTACGATACTCGTAGATGAAGGAGTAGGAGTTGGCGTTACTTTAGAGCTCACCCTAATGCATCCTGAGAAGCATCCCGCTCCCCTTTATTTCCCCTTGAAAAGCCTACTCAGGATCATGCTTCAGAAGATGGATTATGGCAAGCCTTAATTACTCCTGGTCCTGTTCTTCCTACACCTCCGGTCTGATTCATCTGATGTAGGAGGTGTAGGGCAAAGGCCAAATGCACTAAGACACCAGTCCCACCGGCACCGACGCCTCCTGTTCCACGTCCATTGCTTCCATGGCGAGACGCCCCCGTCGACGATGCAGGTGATTCTCCTTCCTCCCACGTCGCCACGAGTCTACTGATGAAAGGATGTCCCCCATCCGCACTGATGGCACTGAGGATGCCTCTTTCCCGGACCGCGCCTCTATATGAGCCTTCGCGATCATGTCGAGCCGCGCTTGGGCTCTCGCAGTCAACATCGGATTCTGGGGAGTCTAGACCTGCTCCACGTGGTCCTCTTCTGGTACTGCAACTACGAAGATTCGGACTGTTCAGAGACCTGCTACATCTAATGGTCTTAATTGCCACTTGTTCTTGGACCTCGTCCTCTACCTCTTGTTCATCTTCTTTCTTGGGGGCCTTTCTGGGCGATGTTGTAGTTCTTGTGATACAGCCCAAACGTACTTGTGCGAAAGCACCTTTCCCTAGGACACAAGGCAGAAATTGGATTTCTTGAGTTGAAGATTCCTTGGGAGCTTGGACTGCATGGTGTCGGCGTGATGATGTCATGGACGTCGACGCTTTTCGTACTTAGTGAAACTCAACTGTGGAACAGCTGCGTCCTGGTGTTCCAATTCCTAAGAATGAATATGAGTCTCAATCTCACCCGCGAGTACTATTTGTTTGCGGCGCTCGTGCCACTCCTTAGTCTAAGTTTAAGGCGCTCTCGCTCGTGCCACTCCTTTTCCCATACCCACTCGCCTGCTCACTCACGTTGTTTTGAAGAGACTTCAGCACTAACACAAATACTAAAAGTGTTCTACCACAACAAGGACAAACACAGGAGGAGTAGAGTGATACGGATCATTTTTAGATCTTGCTTTCGACGAGGATCTCCCTCTTTGCCTAATGCGTGATTATTTTCGACTTCTAAGCGCGTTTTGTAATTGTATCATGATCCACGTCATTAGGAAAAATAAGATTATAAGAATACCAGCAAGAACGTGGGTAGGACATCAAGGGAAGACGAAGATCAAGGCTCTTGCATCAAACTCAAAGCAATTTCAGTTCTTTTTCTTCACCTCATCAACATCAGCAGATGTATCTTTCTCATCATCCTGAGGTTGAGCTTCTCTGAGCATCTTTTTCCCTCGACGCCCTGCTTGTAGGACGTTTGCAGCACTCCCGATAATGAAAATGAGGTGTCCCACAACTGGCGTCCAACAACCTAGGTTTTGTACTGCCATCATCTGTTCTAGGTATACGCAACACTGCACTGCCATTGCGCCGCCAACAAGGACGTCTAGGACGTGATGCATCCTCCAAAACACTCTGCCAAAAGCCGCGAGAAAGACACACGCGACACAGAATATGGAAAGCGCCGTCGGTTCGAAGAAGATGGTGCTAATAAAGCTGGTTCCTGTTTTTTAGAAGAAGTATAATCAGCGACTCCCTTCTACTTACGCACTGCAATAATCAATCTGCTGTAAGAACGACAACATGTTGCACGCGGACGGTCAGAAGAATTAATACAACTACTAGGGACGACAACGGCTTGCACTTCATCTTGGTACTTTTTACGACCAACAGCAACAACAGCCTTAACTACTCAACGCAAGCCAGACACTAAGCGCCACGCCCACACTTGCCGCCGTGTCAGCACTAGGAAAGCTTGCTGTTGCATCCGCCTTGGCAAAAATCGCAAAAAACTTTATCCACTTCGGATCTCGATGTACTACTTTGTCTTCACTAGTGCTCTTAGTCTCAGGAGCTGCTTGTCCTTCTCCTTGTGAAGCACCATAGAGATCACAGATGAACGGTCTTCTTCTCCTCACTGTCACTTTAAAGGGGCCAGTAATCCCTATCGCAGTGCACCAGAAGAGAATCAAGCGGCGTCCTGGTAGGGCTATGGAGTCATGTAGTGCTTGGATTTTCGGATTTGTTGAACCTCCGAAGAGTGGCAGTGCAGTCCACAGCCAATCTGTTCCTCGATCGTGGTCAGCCCCGCGTAGGCAGAAAGCGGAAATGCAAAAGTCCAAGATGAGTCCGCTCAGAACTGGGCCCACCATGTAACCTTGCTTGCACCAAAAAAAACTAAAGCCTGCTTTTGCTATCTTCAAACTTCTATGCGGTTGTTGTTGAGACGAGGAAGAGTTGCCGGCATGATAGGGTGTCGACGTTGCCCACGTCAGAAGTCCGTACATCACGTAGACCATGCACCACGCAACTACCAGGATATGGGCAAGTATCTTTAGCACTCTTTGGGAACAACATGGCGTGGTCGTGCTGCCTTCTTGTTCTCGTAGTTCTTGTCTACCAAGTTCTTGCCTACACGCCAGCACCGACAAGGTCAGAGGAGCTAGAAATACCATTGTGTGCGTGGAGAAGATCATGCCTGGAAAGGCGAAGAGATACTCCAGAGGGCCAAGAGGTAAGTCGGCCACAAGTCGGGAGAGTCGCTTATCGAGACGGTCGAGCAACTCGCCTTCAGGTGGCCAACGACTTGGGATGCGGCTTGCATCTTGCTCATCAGGATTTTGTTGTTGTGGCATTTTTGATGTTTTTCGTCAGCATAAAATATTAACTTCTTGTAAGTATACTTCAACTGTTGAAGACTTCTACGACCCGTGCCCGTTAGGACAAAATGTATGATAGAGATAGATACCACGATTCAGAAAATGGAAACACTTCTACCTACGGATATGTTCTGTCTGAGCGCAGTGGGAAGTACTTTCGGAGCTATCGCTCGAATCATTCCCACAGCCACAATACTACTAAGTCTTCTCTATTAACTGCGTTGATCTGCGTCGTCGTGGTTTTGAATGTGTTTTGAATGTGTTTTCTACGAGCTACGCGGCGATTTCCAGAGCGGCACAAGCGCTACTTCAAAAGACAAGATCGAGATCCCCTTAAGTTTTGAATACTAATTCTAATGTATATGTAAGTCAATGGAAATGCATCTTCTGTACAACCGTGAAACACGAGAGGATTCCTCACATCATGATCTTGTGACTATGTACGTCCAGAGGAGGAAAGACTTGCAGCACCACGTAAAAGGCGTGGAAACCAATGGACGTCAGTCGCATCTTGTCAACGACCCACCAAGCCTTTGTTCTCAGAAATGATGGACAAAGATACTGGTGCTCGCATTCGCATCATGTGGATTCTACTTCATTTTGAATCTCTGTCTAAGGATACACAACGTCATTTTTCAGTATCAGTAGTGAGCAATTCCTCGAGGCAGATTTATACAACGAATATCAAGGAAGAGGAATCATCAGAATGGAAAGGAACTAGAAAGATGCATCTTGTTTATCATCATCTTCTCGTTGACACTTTTAGGACTTTGGCTTTGCTACTACAGGTACGAGAATACTTTCCTTGCAGCTGTCTTGCATGTACTTGGAAACTGATGCTTTTTCTACTTGATTCGCTTTGTATTTAATTTCATCTACTTCAACTGAAACTATCAACTTACGGTTATTTGTCTTCGTTTATACTCTGTAATGCAAACTTGACGTTGTTGTCCCAAGTATCTGCAATTCCCTTTGATTTCAACAGTGACACTGGTGAAACGCCAACTTTCTACTTTGTACACTAAAATGGAAACTCTAAATATTCATTCAAGGATTGCTGTATGTGCGGCATGTGGAAATGTATACACTGGCTAGATAGAGCTGATGAAGAATTTTCCGTCCTTATTCAAGATTTCAACCCAACTTCGCAAGTTGCTTCCTCGTCGCTTTTTGCGCCCTTCCTTTACGTGCCCATGCCTCCTCAGAGGCCTCTAACTCTTGTAGTTGTCGCTGTCTTTTCGTCTTGAGGATGATGTCCTCTTGATATTCATCTTCTAGACCTAGAGGTGGTCCTAGACCTAGAAGAGGACTTGTTCCTATTAGAGCTCACCCTGATTTATCTTGAGATTCATCCCAGGGCTCTTTTCCCCTTAAAAAGCCTCCCTAGGATGCATCATGAGAGATGGATTAGGGGAAGCCTTAATCCTAGTAAAAGTCGTTTGCGGGAACTGCCTGGGTGGTTCTCGTTCTTTCGCCACTTGTTTCTAGCGGATGGCGATCCATTTCCATTCATCATGGGTGAGCTACTACGAACTCTTTGTGCTAACGTTCGGTAAAAGAGCTCTAACTCGAGATCATTCGCAGCTTGATCGAAGTCTGACTTATCACCTTGATCTACTTCATCTTTTGCACCAGCTCTATCAGACGGCTCTTCGCCTTCTTGCTGCTCTTGCTTTTCCTCTTCTTCCTCTTCACCCAAACTAATCGGTATCTTTCTCCAGTGCTTAAAAGGGCTCTCGAATTTGGCTGTAGTTGATGCTTCACCTAATGGTGTTGAAGAGGATGTCATATTGTGAATCCGAGGAAAGCGGTAGACATCGTTTTCCCTGTCAGAAGTAGAATTAGAGGTACGTTTCTGGTGTTCGTTTACCCCGTTCGTTCTGCCTTTCCCTCTTAGGAGAGGCAAAGCGAACGCTAACAAGAACACCTTTAACCTACCCTTAATAGAAGATCCAGCATGACCACGCGAACCGCGCAACAGTGCATTGCCTGCGGAAGCACTACGTTGTCGCATTCCTAGGCTTTCCATTCCCACAAAATTTTCATATCCTTCTCCTTGTGAAGATCCTCGTGGTCCCCTGCTCCTCCTGCTTAGTCGAAGTTCGTGCGCACTCCTAGTTTTACGGAAGTCTTTGGTTGTGGTTCGAACTCGTCCACCTCGAAGATCATCATCCACCCTTCTTGAGCCGGGAGTTGTCACGTCGTGATCAGAATCATCACCAGGATAATAAGTGTCCTCAGATGATACTCTAGGACGGTTTTTATCACTTTTTGCCGCAGTTGACCTTGACTTTCGAGTTCGTCCTGCACGATCTGCAGTGTGTTTTCCTACAAGAATCGGTGCGGCTGTGGGAGAAGATGAGTCTCTGGCAGCAGGGCTTCCAGCACTTGTACTGGTTCGTAGACCACCTCGATTTTGATCATCGATCACTGTAGTTGTTCTTGTCTTACGGCCTCCAGGTGGGGGTGTACGAAGAGAACGTTGATGTCCTCCAGTATTGCTGTTTCTCATCATCCCAGCTGTTTCTTTTTCCTCGGCTTCGGCGTGGTCAACTGCCAAACTGGTACCATCTTCAGCGTCATCAACACCGATCATCTTCTTTGTGCCGTCACCAGGTGAACAACTCTCTGCCAGAGCCACTTTCTGCTTTTTACCCCCATCTACAGCCTTCTGCTCTTCCAGTCTTCTCGTGCTTGCAATCTGAAATCGACATGCTTGCCATTGGGCTACTCGATGTGGAGGTAGGATGCGACTACGCGCAGCCACAAAAATGCCCAACCACCTGTCAAATAACTGCCATTCTTGATCTTCTAGTGGAAACAGCAAGGGTGTCGCATTGTTCTCCTGTTTGTGTTTGTTCTTTGTGGTTGTAACTGTTGATGTTGTACTAGTAATGTTTGCAGCCCCGCTAGTTGTTATAATTGCATCTCCTCCAAGTCCGATTCCACCACCAGCAATTACGACAGACTTCCTCGATGTTGATGTACTTCCTCCTGCGCTCATACTAGTGGACGAAGCTTGTGCTCCTCCTCCTTCAGCTCCAGTCGCGCCAGTTGTAGTTGTATTAGAGGTAGGCTTTTGGTGCTCGCTTACCCCGCTTGTTATGCCTTTCTCATCCTAAGGGGGAGAGGCATAAAAAGCGGTAAGAAAAGCACCTTTAACCTACCCTTAATTGTACTGGAAGCAAAGGCGTTATTCGTGTTCAAAGCAGATACAGCCTGTACAAGACCTTTCACTTTTTTGAGGCTCTTACGCTTATTCGTGGCACCAGGAGTGCTTCTTCCGGGAGATGATGAGGATGGTCCTGCAGCTGTTTGTTCATCAGTGAAGGCTACCTTTGTACTAGTCGATGTAGTTGTTCCATTTGCAGTGGCTTGGGCTTGACTTGAGGAGGACTTCATTTCTGCCGTAGTTGTTGTAGCACCATCAAGGCTCTGTACTCTGCCTTGTCCATTGCCATGATTCTTGTCTATACTAGAGTCCGCAGGCGCACTCCGTTGACAGAAAAAATGCGTCCTCAGAGCCTCTCGTATCTCCTCATACTCAATGTCTGCATCTTTTCCCGTTGTAGAAGTACTTGAAAACTCCTTCTCGTGGCCACAGCTGTCTGCGTTGAGGAGGATCACAACATCTTCGGATTGGGGAGGGGGTGATTGTTGATCTGCTTGACTGTCTGCTTTTTGATCTGCTTTCTTAGGGAGTGTTCGTCGTCCAAATTGTGAAAACATTGTGGAAATTTGCGTCAGCGCCACCGTGTAAAACTGCGTCGCTCCACGATAGTGCAAAACGTGGATGAGTTAGAGGTGTAGTGAGTCTTAATCTTACAACAAGTAGTGTACCCATTCGAGGGGTATAAATAGTGGCAATAGTAAGGTAGCAGGAGACACAGCCTGCTGTTACAATTTTTACAACCAGAAACATGGCAACGCTTATCCTCTGTCTTGTCTTGATTTTTTACCAAAGAACGCACGCCATAAATCAAAGTATTGAACTGCAATGAAGCAGCGTCTTGCGGCTTGATGTTTCTCGCAGCCTCGTTTGGAGTCTGCCAGATTGCATCTCGGCCCCCTCATCTTGACCCCTTGTACCTCATATTTCATGAGAATACAAGGGACGAAAATGGTACCAAGAAGATGCCGAGATGAAACAAGATGGATAAAACTAAAAGCTGACCTTAACTCGTAGCGAAGTAGGAGCTCTGGGTAGCTACTTACAGCGTCGTCTAGAACTACTTCCTCGAATGTGACTGGATGAATATCAAGCAAAGCAGGACGTTCGGCAAATGCTACAACTTGCAGATTGTCGTGGTTGTCCTCTTGATGAAGATTAAGATTTATATTACTTTCTTGTTTGATGTTGGTTGCGATTCTAGTATAATTGTTTTTGTTCTTGGAGGGGGAAACGTTCATCTGCAGTTTACTCGAAGAAGATGCTACGTGGTCCTTATTCGGGTTCGAATTTTGGTCCTTATGTCGGTCCTCCACGATGTCTTTCCTGTGAATCTTGACGACCCATGCAGACCCAAAGAAAAACGGGCGGCGACGCTTATTCTTCTCATTTTTTGTGGCCGTAGAACTAGAAGTCCCTCCTTCTTTTACTAGGGTTGCTGTAGCTTTATTTACTGAAGACCTCACCAATCCCAGAGTAGTACTAGAACCGGTGGATGATGTCTTCGTCCTGTCCTCTTGTTGAATAGGAGCACTGCCGCTCCGATTCATGAGCGAAACTCGGCGTTGCTTCAGGGGGCTTACTAGATGAGAAATGGATTTTTTTGGGGAAAGAGTGGGTGGCACAGGGTCTTGTCCCTGCTGTCCTTCTTGTTTCTCGTCGGGCTTTTTAGGGCAGAAGCAGTCTACTTCACAATCATGTCCTCGTTGAAGATGTCGGTCGGATTGTACTGGAATTGGTGGTGCGTTCTCAACATCGTTCTTGTTCTTAGGACCAGTAGAAGGCCCTCTACGAACATCATCTTCTTCAGACCCATGATAGCATGCTTCCACATATGTCAAAAACAGTTGTGCCTCGTGGTTGTCCGTCGTTCCGCTTCGTGATGTCGTCAGACTCGGACTTCCACGTGGAAAACTGACACTCGTGGCATTCGTTAAACTTGCACTTCCTCGGACAAAACTGCTGCTTCCTCGAAAGCTGCCGCTTCCCTGAATGCTACCACTTCCACGTATGAGGCTATTGCTTCCGCGAAGTATAGCGCTGCGATTGGAATTCGGAGATGCCGTTCCTTGTTTTGTGAAACTAGAACTTCCACGAACTAGGCTGTTGCTGGAAGATGTGGGCCGCGGAGATCCTTGAGTTGTATAATTCGTGAAACTGGCACTTGCTCCATGATGTTGTATGAGGCTTTGACTAGCACTGGTACTATCTGATTGCTTGTTAATATTTTGAGAGGCCCAAGTTCTTAAAATCCCTCCACCTCCCATCGAAGACGCAGTCCCAAGACTACTGCTTGAGCGCACTAGATCTGTTGTGTTTTGGCCAAAGGACACAGTTTTTTTGAGTTGAAAACGGCTGGGCCTGGAAGCACTAGAAGGACTTCGCGCGCTCTGGAAGCTTGAAGCGTGACTAAGACTGAGATCACCGTCTTCAGACGACAACAAGGAAGAGGAGGACAAAGAGGAGGAGGAGGCCTCCTCATCGTCGTCTCTCCTGTCTGACCAGAAATTCAAATGTTGATCGTCGCGATCACTATGCAAAAGCAACGGAGCTACGTCTGAAGATGCAAACATAGTGGTCCCGCGTCCCACTGACATTCCGCGAACATGGTTTCGTTGAAACCTTATGAAACGAAATAGTGCACTCACACTCAAGAAATTGGCTAGGATTTAAGTAGGAAAATAGCCACTTTTTTGAGTGTGAGTGCACTTTTTTCTTTCATAAACCTGGAAGCTGGTTTACAACTACTGCGTTTTCTCCTTCTAGAACTTCCTTTTCCTCTCATCTTCGGAGTTCCATTTCTGCTCGTTCTATTACTATTATATGTAGTGGAGCTGGAACAGCTGCTGTTGGCACTAGGTGGTCTTGAGGCCTCTACCTCAATGGGAAACATCCCCGCTGGCATTTTCGGCACATATTCACTGTCTTCGCCGACCACCGTCATGCGTTTGCCACGTTGGTGCACTAGGTTACTCTTGCATTAGAAGAAGGACACCCACGACACTGAATAGTTTTAACTATTCGATAAACTGAAATATGCGAGTAACTACTGAAAATTATATGCGAGATACTGAACAAGGAAGAGGCGCCCTGTCAAGAAAGGTACCTTCCTTATTTCAGTCAGTAACTCGGCATCTTTCAGTTTTCGAGTAAAAGCATTAACATGGTGTTTCAGACAGAAAACATCGAAATAAACTTCCTCCATAACTCGGCCCAGCCAAGCCGCTTCCTGCGCTAGAAGCTCCTCCCGCTGTTGTGGTGCCAGTGGACAAGAAGTTTACCCCGCTCATCTTCCTCCCTCCAGAAGGCGTTGCTGCGTTAGTCTTTTTAATCGTTTTCGTGATAGTTTCCTTGAGATTCGTCATGATCTCACTGCTTTGTGAATTGTCTTTGTTTTCCCTGTAATTCAGACCAATCTTATCCAAGAAAGGCTGCTGGGTAGCGCAGCCACTGCCTCCTCCACTCTGATGAGGCGGCTCTTCAACTTCAGTGCCATCCTCTTGTTCCTGCAGAAAATTCTGTTGTGTACGCGCATAGAGATCCCTGAGCGCTGCTGTCGGAGACAGGGAAGACCGTAGAGACCAAGCTTGTTGAGTTGAGAAGTCATTGGACATGCCTGACATCCTAGAAGAAGATTCTGCTGATGAAGCACGTCCCAGAGGCATAGAGTTATCAAAATCTATCTCATTTTTATCCACGACTAGGTCCTGTGCGGCCTGGTGTTCTTGACGGAATATTTGATCGTCTTCAACAGCTTCACCCTCTTGCCCTTGAGTTTGAAGCTGGTTATCGGCCGCGACATCTTCGACTGGATGGAACTGGAAGTCAAGATCCGAAACGCGTAAAGCTGATTGCGCAACCTCAGATGGCAACTTTTCTTCAGTCTCAACCACTGGAGAAGGATCTCCAAAAGCAAATCCGAAAGTTGATTCGCGCTTGTGAGCAGAAAGAATAACACGAGCATGATCTACTTTTTCTTTTTCCTGTTCGGTGACATCTGCGTCACCTGTTTCGGCCACAACATGTTCTCCATCTAGATCTGCATTGTATTCTAGGAGTTCTTGGACACTCGATGTTGTTGCATATCCAGTTTGTTGTGCGCTGAATGTACACAATAGTTGCTGCAACGAGTGGAGTGACTGGTGTTCTTTATGAAGATGGCTGCGACTTCGGCTACGGCTTTGGTCATTTTTCACATTCATATGCTGAAGACCTCTAGGATTCGTTCTGGGTGGAACTACGCGATGCTCCTGTGCTTTTTTTTTCATTGCGGCGGAGCCTTGTTCAGAGGCATTTCCATTTTTTCTCGTCGTTTTTTTCGATAGATCTAAATGGAGAGGATGGCTGTGCAGATGAAGATGTGCTGTCATACTACCGCGACCACTAGCAACTGCAGCATCGGGTTTCATGCGGACCATGTTGACGTTTGCAACCTTGTTGTTGTCTTTGTTCCTTCGTCGTTTAGACGTTGTTTGTTGTTGCGCTGAGAATAGGGCAAGCTCTTTGGCACTTGTTTTGGGTGATAGGTGTTGTTTAGGTGAATCTGATTTCTCAACATCCTGATTCAGTGTGGCTGTGTCTCCTTGTTTACCATCAGGCGAACCCTGGGACGGAAGTTGATCGACTTTGTCGTCGTCATCTGGTTGAACCAGACAAGAACCGTCTGTAGACTCAATAGAGACTCTGAGATCTCGCTGTGATTTTTGTCTTCTAGAAGCTCCCTCAGCGCCGCCTTCTTCCGCCGAGCTGTTCTTCACCTCGCTTTGTTCCTGACCCTCATCAACCTGCGTAGTCCTCGCTGCTTCTTCTACCCGTACAACTAGTTCTTGCCCATTTTCTACAGTCATCAGCTCCACCTCTTCGTCCCGATCCCCAACATCATCTTCTAAAGCAAGCAGATCCTTCGAACATCCCAATCTGAGTCTTGCTTGTGCTTCTCCATGCTCTCCCGTTTGTAGGATCTGACCTGCGAAAAAGAAACCATAGGAGGCAAACCGCGACATCACGAAATCCCACAATACGGAAACAGAAAACTCCAAGAAGTCTTCATGTTGCGTGTCTTCCTGTTGAAGATCACGGACTCGGACATCTCCTCCAGTGGAGTCTCTTCCTGGACACTGTGTTACGGCTCCGCCACCTCCGTTGTTGTAGTTCCAGCTGGACATCATGGCACCGCTAGCTGCATGTCCATTCTTGTTTGAGTCCTGCCTGCGCAGCTGCCGTGATCGACGTGCGAAATCTACACTGCGTGCAAGATAGTCGACCTGGAAATCTTGATCTACTCCCGGACTTCCTGGAGCCGCCGCCAAAGAATTCGTAGATGTTCCTTGTCGTCGCGTCTTACGACTCTGTCGTCCGCCTATTTTGTCGCGTGTAGTAGTGCGTCTCCGCGTAGTAGCCATGCCCTGGGATAACTTAGCGATCTTCAAGGTGTAGAACAAGTTTTCTTTGGACGTGGCAATGCTAGAGCTAGGGTCTTGAAGTTGAAGTCGGAGTAGCTGCAGTTGTCCACCATCACCATGTACTGCTTGTTTGTGTCCTGATCCGTTCTCGTCTTTCTTAGGATTCCTCGACACATCAGTAGAAGTTGTTGTTGCGTTTTCAACACTTGTTCCGACACTGCTTCTAAGGTGTGGACTAAAGATTTCGGCAAAGAAGTTGTGCTCGCAAGCGTAATTAGAGGTAGGTTTTTGGTGCTCGCTTACCCCTCTTGTTATGCCTTTCTCCCTTAGGAGAGACCTAAAAAGCGGTAAGAAAAGCACCTTTAACCTACCCTTAACGTAAAGCCGTCTCAGGACAGATAGCAGCACGCGCAGTGTCCCGTTCTTATCGACAAAAAAGTCGCTGAGAAAAAGTCGACTTTGGACGTTTCTACTCTGAGATCTCCCTTCCAATGCCGTCATCTCTCTTTGTAGCAGGAAGCTCGATCTCCCTTCCAATGCCGTCATCTCTCTTTGTAGCAGTTAGAGCTACCGCGGTCGCATCCCTGAGAGCATCCTTGGCTTCCTTTTCAAGTAGAAAAAGAGCCAAGGATAATGTTGAGGATGCTTCAGCGGTAGCCTTAAAGCAGGAAGGAAGAAAGAAAGTGCTGCTCTACTTGATTTTGATTCGTTTCATCATGCAGCAATTCTGAGCCGAAGTAGTTGCTGAGTTCTCCTCCAACGTAACATCTTGGATCCGTCTCGTCGCAACCGGCGCATTGACTCAGGATATTTTCCTAAATTTTAGAGGCGGCGCTTCTAGGACCACTAGGACTGCTTTTTATTGTGAGTATTTACTCATATTGTTGTCTGAGTATCAGTATGTGGGAAAAGAAAAATCACAACAGTCACTGGAAGCTCACGCTGCTTTATCAACAGCTAAAAATCACCCAAACGAAACTAAACCATCTTCTTTTTATTCCATACCAATGGAACGCCTGGTGAGCAACGAGGTGGCACGAAGGAACAGGAGCAGAAGTGTTTGGGTTTGGTCCGCCAGTTCTTTCTTGCCCCACGATGGCGTTGCACGTAGCGCAGGAACTTTCTTCATCTTAGAAGTTGTGACAAAGCCGCGTTCCTCGCCAGTATTGCCTGGAGACTTGTCATCCTTCCCAACTCCTGATCCTGTCTGCATTCCGCCATATTGAAGATGTCCAGCAGTTGTTATCTTTCTCGAGTACGTACTACTTGGATCTGCCAACACGAAACTACGCGCTGAAGAAGTTGCTTTCATAGCCGTCGCGTAGTTCGAGACTGACGTCGCTCCTGAGGTCTTTTGCTGTAGGAGATGTTCTTTGTTCATCACTCGTGCTGCCAACGATTTGAAGGATCGTACTGTACGAGCAGAGGTCGTTGTCGTTAGTGTAGTAGCAGCGGTTGTGCTGGGAGATGTCGCAAGAGTTGTAGTACCTGTTGTACTCGCAACGGTCGCATGTGAGTTTAGAAGAAATCACAAGTGACCAGTTTTACAGAAAACAGCGTCGGGATGTAAATGTAAACTGATGTTGACGCTATGACGATAATGAATCATTTTCATCTATACCACATCAAGAAGATGACCAGAGTGAATCTAGAATGACACCCATAATCCTATTGCTCCGATAGCACTACCAGCAAGCCCTTTGTTGCTTGTCGTGCTTTCCTCTGGAGGTTTAGGTGGCACGTACTCTTCAATCTCGATGAGGCCTGGTACCAAAAGCTGCGCCACTACTCGCAGCAACCCTTTCTCAAACAGCTTTGCCATGAGGATAGTTTTCGGAAGGTAATATTGTAGGGCATGGATGGAGTCTCTAGGTGGCTCGAAGTCGTTGGATTGCTGGCGTTCATCTTCTTGTTCAGGTTCTCTGTCCTCCCTATCTAGATTTTCACCCGTAACATAGCACCTCAGATCTTGAAGAAGATGCAGGAAAAGTTTTTCAATCTCGGACAAGACAGTAAGTTGACGTTGCAGTTCGCGGCTTTGTTGAGAAGTCTCATGTGCAGTCCTCTGATGATCATCTACCAAACTTCTTCTTCTACCAATGGTCGGTAACGTCTTCGACCCAGTAAAAACTGAGTCATCTCCTGGAAGATTTATTTCTGGTTCCACCGAACCTCGAGCACCGACCCTAGAGCCGCCAAGGTCCTTCTCCAGATCGAGACTTCGCGTTTCTCTTTCAACCGCAGAAGAAATATCCCGAAGGTTCGACCACAGGTGTGTGCACAGCCTCCCAAATTCGCCTCCAGTATTTGTACTTGAAGTTGCACATGACCGCTCACTTTCTACCTTCAATTCCCTCAAAGAACGACAGATCTCGTCCACGAGTTGCCGTGTCTCCTCAACGTCTTCGTCATCGTTCTGATGTAGGTCGTCTACAAACCTTGTCCAAAATGGTTGGATGAAGCGAAGATGCTCTTCCAAGCGATGCTCCTGGGGGTTTACCACTGCGCCAGGAGTAGCATTTGCTGTTGTTTGGAGATTCCTAGACGTAGAAAATTGACCGCTCCTGCTAGCCTCTTCTTAGAGGTTGAAAGTTGGCCAACATCTAGTAGGTCGCATATCTAGTATGGCTTTCCTCCTTGAAGAAGACATAGAGACTTTCAAGCCTTAATCTTCAGCTTTTTTTGATTCCTTTTCTTGTGAGTCAATACCTGGCTCTCGCTTGCTGATCTCGTCTTGTAGTTCCTCTCGTCCCCCTTCATCATCCTCTTCGTCATGCAATGCACTGACAGGAGCTAAGGAGCGAGCTGTGACAGCGGTTGTTCTACTTTTCCGCAGTTTCTTCTTCCCTTTTTTATTCGGACCGGAAAGGGCTCCCGCTCCTCGTGTTGATGTTGCGCCGGCCGTGCTTGTTTGAGCATTATCGCTATCCTCCTCAGTTAGAGCTGTTCGCAATTCATCTTTCAAGTGCATCCTTGGAAAATATGGGGGAGTCCTTTTCCCTTACAGGATAAGTACTCCTCCATGCGTTTCAAGGATCATGCGTCCAAAGATGTATTGGGTACTACAGCCTACTTAACTCAAAGATGTTCTGCAACCTGGTCAGAGCCTCTTCCCGTTCTTCTTTTGCTTTATTGTGTAGATACTCGCGAACTCCGAGTCTCACGAAGCCCGCAATAAACTTCAAGGATCGTCGCCTTGGTGCGGCAGGTACATCACCTGCCGTTGTCTTCTCATCTGCGCTTTGTTTCTTTTCACCTGAAAATGGATGAGCGACCACAGCTCCTGCTTCTCCTGCTGCTCCTTGTTCCACCGTAGACGACGTCTCTTGTCCATCTTGCCGTCCGCGGTCGTCTCCTGTAATATTAGAGCTGTCCGTAATTCATCTTTCAAGTGCATCCTTGAAAAGTATGGGAGAGTATTCCCTTGGGATACTCCTCCATACGTAGTTCCAAGGATACGCCCAAAGATGTATTACGTACAGCCTTAATAGTATGTTCTTCTGCAGTGCTCTGCTCAGTCGTATTTTGTAATCGCTTGCGGACATCATGGCAAACAAACCGCGCAAGAGCACCTCGGACAGTCTTCCCTAGCTTATTCGGATCTTCCTTTTTGCCGTCTCCTTGCGTTTTCTGCTCTGTTTTAGACGTAGACATAATGACAAAGACTCCATCTACTTAACCGCGAATCCTTAGAACTTTTGCCTTCGGCGGCTTGGAAAAATTCTAGGGTGTAAGTTTTAGACGTACTTCACAGGGCTTAGGGGCTTAGGATTAGGTACTTCTTGGAAATCAAAAAAAGTCGTGGCCTCCGACGTGAGAGATAAAGATGATATGATGCTCCAAATGGACTGATCCGCATCCGGATTAGAGATATGATATTAGATATGCCCTCTCCATCTAGCCGCGAATCCTTAACCTTTGGCTTCGGCGGCTTGGAAAAATAGGGTGTAAGTCCCTTTCGCCGTTCTTTGCGCCAGTTACTCTGTACTACGGTATCGTCCCCATCTAGGAGATTACCAGACGAGGGCAGAAGTTGCGGAAGTGTCTTCGTCGTCCGTAATCCTTTTTTCTTCAATGTAGGAGTTTTCTCCGGCAAATTTTGATTTGGACTTTCTTCAACTACATCTTCATCTTGATGTTCCTTTAGTAGAAGTACAGAAGTTTGTGCTTCTTTTTCCTGGTCCGACGCATCGTTGTCCAGCGAAGGTCCTTCACTGTGCACACCATCTTCCGCCTCACCCTCGGTGGCTGCAACGAAAAATCGTAGAGCTTTCTTTTCGACTGGAAAGGCTGAGAAGTTTGCCTCTGAGGACTCGCGTGAGTCGTCGGACTCGTCTTCTGGTGCGGCAAGACTCTGACTCACATTCCGTAAAGAACCACGACGCGGAGGCTGGGACATGTTCTTTTTCAATGGGGAAGCAACGAGGTAAAAAGAACCCGGTTGTTGTACTTCGCCTTTTTTTTGAACGTATTTTCAAAGCTCTCTTGCGATTTCAGACGACCAAGCAATGTAAGGAGGATTGCGGAACAGCGCGGAATGTACGCAGTGGAGTGGAAGACGTGGCTGGTTGCCTCAACAAGTAGTACCTTGTTTCGGAACTGCTAGTGGCTACTGATTATTCATGAAATGATAGGCCTTCGTTCATCTTGTGGTCGTGTCGACGTGTCAAATAGTGGTACATATAAATTGATTCAATACTTATGGATACATTTTTGAAACAATCGCAATGCTAGAGCACCTACCCCTACCGATTTTCTAACTAACAGGTTAGGTTAGGTTATGGATCCTGCACAACGAGCCCCACCGGCACCTGCACCTAACAAAACTAAAAGACAACATTAATAGATTATTAATGAAAGAGTGATGGCATTATTACCCCTGTATTTAGAGAAGAATAAGGAGATGAACCAGGCTGAGGTGCTAGTTGAACTCAAGCTGCTGAACGTCGTGACCGCAAGACAATATCAATAGATTAAAAAACAAGGTATACGCGATAAGGAATATGGAATTTGTATTTCTATTTTTTGAGAGTTACCTACAACTTGTGATGTGTTTATTTGGCTTATAAACAATGTTGTTGTTTCTCTTCTCTGTGTAGTTTGCGTTTGTGTTTGATGATGTGAAAAAGATTTCTCTAGCACTGATACAGCGAGGCGATGTCTAAATAGAAGGAAGATAGATGTCATTGTTTTTTGACATGGTCGGAAAATTGCTGTCTAGTGTTGCAAAAAGCACACTCGAGAGAGCATGTAGGACTACTTAAACAAAACAGAAGCATGATATGTGGTTTCTGAGTTCATTGATGTAAAACCTAGCTGTGTTCAGTCGTCATCTTCATCGTCTTCAACTACTCGAGGAAGCGTTGTTCTTTACCACTAGCGACTTCACTGCACGTGCTGTCGTATCTCCAACGTAACCCACACCGCGTACGTACAGCCTGGGCACGAACATAGCAGCGTCGAATCCCAGTCTCGGGAGATCCAAGATGCCGACTTTCTTAGTTTCGCTTTTCAGCGAGAGTGGCCCTGGTCCTGGTCTAGCGGTTGTAGTATTTGACGACACGGCTTGAGGATGTGGCGCCTCGAAAGCTCCTTCAGCTTTTGTTAGAAGTGGTGAGATGAATCGGTAACTAATCTAGTAATTCTACCTGAAGAACATCATCTCTATTAGACTTAGAGACATCATCTCTATTAGAGACATCATCTCTAAATTAGAGACTATCATTTTAGACTAAGAGAATAGTTATGATGTTGTAACCCAGATGTAAGTGATTGTTGATCATGAGAAAGTCCGGCATGAAGTGGTTGAATCGTCTCGCCGTCAAGTGGGAAAAATTAGTTACTGATGTCAAACATAACTCCGAGTTCGACGAACTAGGAAGCAGAAAAGCGTCTACCCCCAGTCGATGTTCGTGGACGACAGAGCCATATTGGCTTCCTCTCGTGTCTGTGCATGGGGGCACAAGTTCTGCACTACAGGAGTCAACGCCATCGTCTGAGGAAGGAAACAGAAGCTGCACTTTGTCATCGCTCACGTCAGCTTGTTTCACAGATGAAGATAACCCACCTCCACGTCCTGCTGCTTTTCCGTCGGACACTAGAGGCTCTACTTGATCAAGAACAACCTGAACAACACTTCTTACCTCGTTCACGTCTCCTCGTTGTATTCGCACTGATTGCTGTCCTTGTTCACCAAGTTTTTCTACCTCCTCAATAGAAGTAGCATGCTGATGAAGAAAGTGGGCATCCCCATCCTGCTCACGATGGTCTCCTACAACCTGCACTACCTGTAATTCTTGCACCTCATGTTCTTCTTCTTGCACCTCATGTTCTTCTTCATGAAGAAGCTCTGCTTCCCCACCTCCCTGTAGTTGTACTGGGTCTACTGGTTCCGCGATTCCTTGATGCTGTTCGTCAACCACTACACTCCCCATTACCATGCTCTTCTTATCATAGTTCAGGTGAGAAGAAGTAGGAGTAGATGGTGCCCAACCTCCGAGTAGTCTCAAAGGCACAAAGCTCCAAGATAGACGCCAAGCTACCCTCGCAGGTGTGAGAACTAGATTTCGCCACAGCGAGAAATACAAGCTCAAAGTTTGCCTCATTGACAACCGCGCCGCTTCAGCCAGAAGATGGAGGATGCCTCGTTCGCGGACAAATTCAAGCGCTTCTCTAGTACAAGTAAGCGACGCAAAGGTGGCGCGTAACCAGACCCGAATCGACAGAGCTGCGGCGTTCCTTTTCGTGCTGTCCTTCTGATCTAATTCCAGAAAATTGATCACCCCAGTCTCCAGTTGCTTGCACTTGGCTGACGGCTTAGTTCGACGACGCAAATGTCGCAAAAAGGCAACGAAATCATCTGCCAAAAGGGCAGCCCTTTCGAAAGATGTAGATGATTGCCTTCTAGTTCTAGTTCGAGTTGTTGTTGTAGAAGATGAGGGTGTAGCCCCAGCTCCTGCTGTCTCTCGTCCTGTGGGCGCACCAGTGTATGAATAGTGTGGTTCTCGTTTGTTGCTTCTACTATTTGATGAGATCGAACACGTACTAGAAGAGGGAGTCTTGTTCATCACCTTGACAGTCGTTATCTTGTCACTTCCTCCTACGGCATCTATTTTATTCCACACTTCTTCACCACCTTGAAGTTCCAACGGGGATTTCTTACGCTCTTGAGTACTACAACCGCCTCTAGCACATATATCTTCATCTTCTCTTCTTGTTCTTCCTACCAGAAGCTGTCTTGCATCCGCACCCCCAGTGCAATCGCCATCGTCTTCTGCCAGAAGGACCTCAGTCGCCGCATCCACTACCACATCACCAGCCTTGACCAGGATAAGCTTCAAAAAATACCCTTCAGCACGCATCCTTTCGTATTTCTCACGGTGACGAGTACTGTGAGTGCGCTGGTTAGAAGGAAAGGGCAGAAAACGGACACTGAACTCACTGTGACGACCACTTCCATAGAACAAATTTTGATCCTGATTCGCTTCATCGCTAGTATGGGGAGAACCAGTTCAGGCCTTAATGATCTGAGGTCTCGTAGCTGAAGCCATTGGAAAATGTGAAGTCATGGCCAATGGCGAAGCCTCTAGGCCAAGTCTTGGATCCGCCTTAGGCATATCCCGAAATGACGGCGTATGCGAGACAACAGTGCCTTTTGATGAGGGTGCACTAGCCATCAAGTTTCTGCTATGTAGAAGACTCCCTAGAGGAGCTACAGGACCCTGCTCTGCTGGCGTTCTGGCGCTTGAAAAGGTCGGCGAAGTTCTCTTTAGCTGCTGCAACTGCGCACTAGAAATCGCCAGAGGTGATACTGATGGCGTGTTGTTAGACGTGGCTTGACCTCAGTGTAGTGAGATGTTGACACATTCATCTATATATTTCTGCAAGAAGAACTACACTAAAAAGACTAAGCACGACAAGTTACTACAACATTCATGTTCCCAACATAAGTGCACCTCCTTGTTGTCTTAGGAGCCGTGCATTCTCCATGTGCAGTAATTCGCACTGGCTTTGTAACTTCTGCGTTTTTCTTCTTGTTTCCTCAAGCTCAGCTAAGACCAAGAGTCTGGACACGCCATCCTGTACCGAGCTCGCTAAGTCGACAGCAGGGGGCTCTTCGTTTTTCTGCTGTTCCTCGACAGTCACAGTACTGGGGCTGCTGGCATCATGAGCAAGATTTTTATGCGTGATGTCAGAGAATGAAGACTTTTCTTCAACTACGGAAGATTGTACTACTTCAACAACTGAATTGAACCGCTCGGCTGCTGGCTCATGAGGATCGCCCTCCTTTCCGGTCCCCTTTTCCGAAAGGAGGTCTTCCTCTCCTCCATCACCAAGATCAAGTTTTTTTCCACCTCGTGCTACTTGTGTGGCGTTCATCTTCTCGGTTGTACTCGTACTGTGTACTGCGAACCTACTACCCGATGCTCTACCACCTTGATCGTCATGCTGTGCGTCTCCAGGAGCTCCTCTAGTAGTAGTACCCACAGTGCTATTCCCACTTGAAGATGAAACTGCTTCCTTCATCTGTGGATCTTGTCCAAAAACCCTACTTTCCGATGATGTCCTGGTACCAAACTCCTGTCCGTCTTTCTGCTGTTCGGAAGAAGTCTGCTCATTCGCACTGACACCCTGTAGTTCTGCCACAGTAAGCGACTGTGCATTTGACGTAAAGTATGGAGTTGCTATGATGTGATGCTCGACGTTGCTGCCGAAACTGTCTTCTTCGCCGTCTGATGAGCCTACAGAGGAAACCTCGGAAAAACTAGTCACCAAATTCACGTCCTTGTAGTCGTCTAGTTCGTTTGACGTCCTCTTCTCAGTGCCGTCTCGTAAATAAGGTCCTTGTGCTTCTTCTTCTGCTTCTTGTTGTGGTGGAAAATTCCTAGTAGAATTATCTTCGTCTATGTCGTTCATCTTCGTGTTGTTCTTCGTCCTAGTATCATGAGGCTCAGATGTGTGGTCCGCTTTATTCTCAGATGATATAATGTGATTTTTGGAATCTTTCTGTTCTTCATCATATGGAACAAAATCTTCGCGTTCTCGTAAAAACTCTCCGTGTTCTGGCAGAGGCACAAGAGATGACTTGCGCCTCCTGCGCTTCTTCTTTGGCGGCGAACTGATATTCATGCTGTTGACGTGTGACAATTAGAGCAGTGGTCAGTGGATTTTTTGTTTTATTGGATAGCCTTTGCCTTTGCTTCCTAACGACAGATAAGTGAGCAGTTAGGAGCATTCTTTATCTCTAGCTATTGCTATCAATATCATCACGATCAGCTTGTGACTATGATGATCGAAGAAGAATCTAATCCATCTCCTCTAGCCTGAAGATTGTTGAGGAACTAGAACTACTAGCCATCAAATAAGTAGCAATATCTTAAAGAGCGACAGGCTTGCTCTCCTCAGCTTGCTCCACCGCGGCCACTGGAGTCGAAATGCTACCCGCTGCTGCTGGACCTGCAGACTTGCAGTCATCGTCTTCTGCTCTGTACTTCTCCCTTTGGTCGCAACGTTCGTTCTGCTTCTCCCTTGAAGATGGCTCGAGCTCCTCTCCCTGACCGCCTTGTTGTCTATCACCAGGTGAACAAGAAAGTTTTTCTCCTATGTTGTCGCGATTCTTTTTCTTAGATGGCGTCCTATTCGAAAATGTTGCTGTTCCATATCGCGCAACCATTGTAGGACTGCTGCCTTGAGAAGTCGGACTCGTGCCTTGAGGTTGCTTTAGTTCCACAGGACCGTGATCAGGAACTTCGTCACCCAGTTCTTCTTGTGGCTCGTTTCCCGTCGGCGTCCTTTCATCTACAACAACTACTCCTGTTACTACAGTAGCTACTTCTTCTGGTACATTCTTGACTCGTTCCGTCACCACCGCATCGTCGTCGAATTCTTCAGGAACTGCAGCAGGTACTTCTTCACTGAATCTAGTGGGGTGTTTTCTATTGGTGGAGAAAGCTGTGGTGGTCTGCGCTGGCTCTTCGTGGTTCGCCTTTTCGAATTTTTTTACCTGATGATTCTGTTGAGTGAGTGAGTGAGTGAGGTACTGATTCAACTGGGCTTGCTAGAAGTCGGAAAAAAAAATGATGCATCTGTAGCATGCATGCATTAGGGGAGAATTGAGAATGAGGTCATTGGGACTCTGCACATCCAATTCAGGTTGATACCAGCACCGGACTCCTACCGGCAGCATGAACTTCCCTTTTCCCCAACGTCGGCGATTGAGTCAAGCCTGCGATGCGAAACTCACCTAATCGAGGAAAAGCTGATGAAGGCACCGTTTCGGTTTTTGTGCCTCTAGCTGAGGAGTGCGTGCTAGTAGGTGATCTGGAATCCTTTATGATGCGAGCGTTGTTCCCAATGAAGATGGGAGATGTGCCTTTCAGCGTCATGCGGCCGACTTTGATAGGAGGGGAGCGTTAGAGCTACAAGTAGAAAGTAATAGTTAGATCCCGTCCGTTGTCCGTCGTGATGGGGAAGAGGCTTTTAATTGCTTGTAGTTTTGTTCATGAAGTTGACAAACATAATCCTCGGAAATGGAAGTGGTAGGAAAAGATGCACCACATGGAAGTTTCTCAAGAGAATCAATGGACTAGTCGCTAGCCTTAAACAACTGGTGCTGTGGATGAAGTTGCTGTGGCTGGTGACGAGGTTGTGGTGGAAGGCGCGGTCGTCGTAGTGTAGACCTGGTGGTAACGAGATGAAAGAGCATTGACCCACCATACTGACACGAGCTAGAAATGAATCTTCAGAACAATTCAATGAATGTTAGAAAAAAACGGAAAACATAGTTAGCATCATAATTAGTCTTACCCCTTCAGACGAAGAGGTTCCTGTTCTCGTTGGCGACGAGCTCCCGGTCCCACTTAGCACACCCCTTGAAGAAACTGTGGAAAGACCTCCTCCATGTCGATTTCCAGTGTTGGAAGGAGAAGTTGTAGTTGATGAACTAGCACTACCTTCCGCTGATGTCACCTTTTTAAAACTAGGAAACAAGGCTCCTGCAGCTCCTGGTGCTTGTGCTTCGACATTTGTTCGACTAGTACTTCTTGTCGAAGTTGAAGCAGAAATACTCCTTTCTCCTGCTACTCCTGTTAAAAGAACGTTTGACGACGCTGGTGCTGCGGAAGTAGTTTTCTTCCCTGCCTTGGATGCTCTTTGATTAGATATTCTGATGTTGAGTAGGGTCGTGTGGAGCAGAGGGATGAATCAATGGAGGTGCTCCTGTTTTATCTAGTAGCAGAACTACAAGTACTACTAGTAGAGAAGAACTACAAGTAGTAGAGAAGAAATTTCTAGTAGCTTATTGTTATTTCTTCAATCATAAGTTTATTAATTTTCTTCGCAATCGCACCCTCCAGTCGTGGCGTCGCTGTGTCGCTGCTCGACGACGTTTTCGTTCCGCTTTTTGTGTAGTTCATCCTCAGCTGTTTCAACAACTACAATTCCTGACAGACTAAACTACAAGAACTCAGTAATTTTTGAAGATACTGAGTGACTACAATACTTTACCCTCTTTTTCATCTCGATGTTCTCTGTTTTTCTTTCCGCAACGCTCTTTTGGGTCTTCAAGTCTAACCACATAAGCTTACATATTTCTGCTCCATGTCTTTTTTTCAGCAAGTCAGTAAACACGGAAGCAAGCTGCAAGTGCTACCCCTAGTATTGGCACCAGGCCCATCCATTGCTTCTTTTTGTCGTTTTTTCTTGGGAGGAAGCTGAAAAATGTTCGAGGATGCACAGGTCGTCTCATTATGCTACCGTGTTGTTCGGGGGTGAAGATGCATCAATCATTTTTGATAAGTCCGTCGCATAATCAAAATGTCGCGTTGACGAGGTTGAGTCTGATTGCATCAACATTCTTAAATATCGTTATCCGTTTTGTCAAAAAAATCATAGGGTCTCCACCGTACATATTATCCTCGTTTACTCATTAATATCATATCGCTAAATAAACTCATCTTTTTGCTAAGTTTGTTTCGGATTGCTAATAAACTGGTTGTTGGTCATGGTCGTCTTCATACGTCGGTTAGTATTGTTTTTCGGCTCCCCATCACTATCTTACTCTTAAGTTGACAATGATAAATGGAGTGAAGGGACGAGGCAAGTCTTCATGGCAGTATCACCTCGAAGAGTGTTCTATTCTACCTATGTAATATTAGATGATGCTGGTGAGCTTATTATTAACAATAACAAGTCTGTTTCTGTTTGTCATTTTTGTCATAAAAAATTGAGAAGTAACTAAAGGAACCCCCTTTATGAGTCACGTTAAACGATGCTAATCCTAGTGCAAGGTTGTCTGACCTTGACCACGACTTCTAGATCTCTTCCATATCCCACTAGATCTCTTCCATATCCACCTTATTTGTTTGTTTTCTCGCCTTCCTTCTCATTTCCTCTTCTTGCTCTTTGGTAATGATTTCTTCCTCTTCTGCCTCATCTTCTTCGTTTAGGCCTAGTAGGTCTCCAGCTGGCGTCATACTCATTTGATGATCCTCTCCGCTGACTGCTCCACCTGGAGTATAGCCACCTCCGTAGCCTCCTGGAGTGTAAGAAGCGCCTGGGGCTCGCGGCCAATCATTGCCGGCGGGAGTGCTGTAGTTGTTGTAGTAATGATGGAAGAACAGGTTTGTTCGTAGTTGATCTTTGGTAATGTCTTTACAAGGTACTACGAAACAACTGCTATACTGTTCTACTGTTGTAGCATTGTAATGCAAAGCTTTGTTATACTGTTATATTGCTGTAATATCCTTGTAATGCTATTACCACATTACTGTGTATCATTGTTGCTTGTTCTGTTATACTGTTGTTGTTGTAATGTTGGAAAAACATAAAAAATTTTTTCTTACTCTGAAGATGAGAAAAGCTTATTTTAGATGAAGTCCCTGCTTGTAGTGGTAAAAAGTTCTGAACTATTTTTTGCAAGACTACGACGTACTCCCCACTGCTCATGTTGACTTCTAGTTCTATCTAGTGTTATCTCACCTTAGAAGCAAGTCCGTGATGAAAAATATTAAGAGCACAAATACCGTGACGAAGTAGCGTTCCCATCTCCATAGCTGCCTTGCCAATTTCCATGTCGACGGTGGCCAGTGGAGGTCTTGTTCTTATGCCGTGATTAGAGCCTTCAGAGTGATCTTTCACATCTTTTTCTCTGCTCCTGAAACGACGTCTCTTTGAAAGAGAAATAAAAAGTAAAAGATGCTTCCATCTTCATCTTCTGAAGTAAGTAGATGAATAAAATGAAGGAATCAATAAAGTGAGATGAAAAAGAAGGAATCTTGATCTTCACGAAAACATGAAGCCTTAATGTAACCACCATGGTCCTTGAGATACTGCATCAGTGCCGGTGCCGGTTCCATCTGGTTCGACAAAATGGTCTAAATTCGTCTTCAGCTGTTCCGCGGCCTCTTTGGTATCCATCTTCTGAGGAGTTGGGACTTAGAGGGAGAGAGGAAGAGTTGGGAGTGTAGGAGTTGGGAGGAGCATTGTGGGGTGTAAGAGTGGGAAATAGTGTAGATAAGTGGATACCTCCCATGATCTTTTCTCGAGGAGGTGGGACGAAGTTAAATGTAGATACTATATTAACGTGGATAGAACAGAAGGGAAGGGAATTAGTGTCGTGGCGGGACAATGGGGGAGTGCCTAGAAATAGAGATGGTGGGGACGAGTGTAGTTGTTTGGAGCAATGTTGTTATGTTGTTATGTTTAATATCATGCCTAGTACTTGGTGTTACTTATGTATCATACCGTACTGGAGTTTGTTCTAGTAATATAAATATATTAATGAATTTATCATGTACGTTTCTTTAGTATTAAACCTTGTTTTCTTCCATAATGAACCAGAACCCAGCCATTTTTATCGTAGTCCCATTTCCAATCGTCTTTTTTCCAGGAACTGTTCCAGTCAGAGCCCTTATTGTTCCAGTCGCCTTCCTTCCAGTTCGACCATGAACCCTCATCTTGCGCAGTAGAATTCATTCTATCCCACTCAATAGCGCTCATAGCGGTTTTTCGTTCGTAGATTTCGGTAGCGTCAGAAAGATATTGATGGTTGTCCACCCACCGGATACGATGCTTGGTCAGGGCCTGTAGTTGTTATTTGGTCCTTTGTATGGTTCTGGTATTTGTTAACCTGAGTTTGATCCTAAGGGTTCTCTTCTTGTTTTCCCTTAATATGATCAAATTCAGGCTATACCAAAAATACCAGAAACATTCATCCTTAGTTCAAGTCTATCCTCAGTCAAAAACACTAAAAATGGTGGTGGGATGCAACAAGAAAACAAGGGTTATTCTTGTTTGGTTACTTACCGGCTGAAGGAGGTTCGGCTACATATTAGGAGAAGGATAGACGGTTCGTTGTCCCCAGACCTACAGACGGGCCCTGAGACGAAGTTCTTGTACCCTTGCAAACAACAACACAAATAAACTTAATACAAAAAATACCTTCATCCTATATCCTTTGGTAAATGTCTCCAAAGGTTCATCCCGGTCAAATTGTTCTTCGAATGCCTTTTGAAACAAGACATCTCCCTTCTTGGAGATACCCTTATGCTCCAACAAATAGGTTTGAACCCACTCGGCAACGATCTGTGTGGTTGTCGAAGAAAAGGGGCGTGTTGTAGAAGAGAGTCAGGTCCTCTGTGCATATGATAAATATACGTATAGGTGGTAGAGGTCCATATGAATACTAATAAATAAGAGGAAGAGCGGGTGCATATGAATACTAATCATGATTATGCGAAGAGATTATAAAAGGAAAAGATAGCTTTAGCTGCTGCAGCTGTTAGAATATTTTGGCGGAAATAAGGGAAAACTACATGGCTGCAAAACTGAGGAAAACCTCCCACTGTAAATCCTCATCTCTAAACAGGAAGAGGCTAATCTAAATACCTTAGTCTTGATCTTCTTGAGCTCCTCCATATCCTCCTTTTCAAGCTGTTCCAACCTGAGGCGATCCCTCTCTTCTGTTGAAAGACCCTTGCCCTTGCCCTGTTCGGTTGTATTTGTAGATTTATTTGTACTAGATGATGTATTTATAGTTTTATTATTTTATCATCTTTTGGAATTCGAATCACAGTCGAACTGCAACAAAGTTTCTGACCTTCATCCACCTCACCATGATCAGGAGGAGCGTGAGCTCCTGACTGAAAAATGGCTCCGGTATTTGATAACCTGAATTCGATCGCAAGGCGGGTTCTCTTCTTGATGTTTTCCCTTATGATCAAATTAAGGTTCTATTTACCAAAAGTACCCTTCCAGAGATCGGCCACATTTGTCTGGTTGCTCTGGCCAAGTCGATATTGGATGCGTCATCCTCCTCCTCCGCAGGCTTACCGTCAGCACTATGATCTTGGCTTTGTTCCTTCGCCACTGCGTAGCTGAGCTGTGCTGCAATCTTACCAGTCTGTGGGTCCCGTTTCACCGCCTTGTGAAATTCCACGCGACGAACGCCAGAGGGATCCGCACCACCTAAGGCTTCTAAACGTGTCATCATACGCGCTCCACCTTGGGTCGTGTCGGTGAGGGCTAATTGCCCGTTGCGGTCGGGGAAATTAGAAGCAAGAGGAGAAGTCCTAGAAGTTGAATCATGTTGAAGCAGCAGTGAAAGAAATGCTACCGAGTTTGAGTTCTTGTAAGTCGTGCTTACCAACTAGTACCCAGGATACGACTGCACGTGCACAACTTAGTACAGGTACTATCAACAACTACTAATAACCTGCATTGCGTGAGGGGATCAAAGACCTAAGTAGCTTAGAATAGAAGAGGAAAAACTACTAATAACAGCGCAATTTATAAGGTTTCACAGCTCGCATGGCATGAAGTGCATGGGTCGCATGGAGTAGCATGGAGCTAAAGGGGGAGCTTCTTGCGCCCCTTAAAGCTCTGCGCTCCATGCACTCCATGCGCCATCCGTTCTATATTAAACTACAACTCTGTACTAATAAACCTTCCATAAGATGATTCGCATCCCCAACATGATCCAGCAATTGATCCTTTAGTTCCTTCTCCTTCTTCTCTGCCCCAAGAGTTGTGATCCCAAACAAGTACTTGTCCCTTGCCTCTTGTTCTTAAAGCTCAGCACTCAATGGTCATCATGATGCTGAACGGAAGAGACTCCCTTCAAAGCTCTCCCCTTTGTCCCTTAATAGTTTTCCCCTGTAGTTGGTTCTCTAATCCTTTTCCCCTGTTCTCCTCTCAAGGGGAAGTCGCTTCTTCGATCTCAGTGACTCCAATCTAAATGGTGACCACTTCGATCTCAGTGACTCCAATCTAAATGGTGACCATTGAAAGCTGAGCCTTAATGTTCCTTCTCTTGCAAGGCCTGCTGTTCCCGCTGGATACGGTCTCGCAGCATGGGTCTAGCCCTCAGAGCAGCACCAGCTGGGTTCACAGCACCAGCGCCAGCGGCACCGACACCAGCACCGCGTTGCATGAATTCCTTCTGCTTCTTCTCACGCTCCAGGAATGCTTTCAGCTTCACGCGCGGTTGGGCAAATTAGAATTCAGGAATGTGCGAAAATCTGTAAAGGGATAAAGAAGCGAAAATCTGTAAAGGGGAAAAAAGAACACGAAGTTTTTAGTATTCTCCTATTGAGTGTCCTTATGATCCTCAATATCCTCAGTAAGTATATTCCTCAAAGGTCGAAGATATCCTCGAAGGTCCAAGATATCCTCAGTGTATAAATATGATCCTCAAAGGTCGAAGATATCCTCGAAGATGAACAACCCTTCTTGGTGCCGTGCCATAATAATAAGCCATGTGCGATCTTCTTTGCAAAAACGTGTCCAAATCTCGCCAAAAAGCACTCTGGATCTGGAAGTCCTTGTGTCGCAAGTGCTCCTCCACGTTCAATGTGCGGACATCACAGTTCTTACACAGAGGATTCTTGATCGGTGCGCCGGTTTGACTGAGAGCAAACCCTCTCACTGCCGCAAACAGTTGCACGTGCTGCGCAAACGGCCAATCGTCCAGGGTCCAGTCCTTTTCGACTGCGGGATCAATGAAAACAGCGCAAACCGTTTTCCAATGCTGCACGTGCTTCACGCTGTCCACAACGCGAATGGAGAACTGGCGACCGCCGATCTGACGCGAGAAAGCGACCGGCTTACGACGACCGAAATTGCGTCTTTCTTCCTTGCTGAGGGCACGAAACTTGCCCTCGACGAAGAAGGTCTCGGCGTTCACCAGGTTGAGAAGAGAAGTGGCTTTGGCGGGAACAAAAATCGTCATCTGACCATCCACTTGCTGCAAGTCTTCGCGGGCTGTGGGAGTGGATGATGCAACAGGTAAGGGAGGAGGAGGTTGATGGAGGATGCTTATATTCTTTCGATGTGGGATCACGATCATTATCCGTCCTTGTTATAGTCATCAAGAGAGCGACTGAAAAAGTTTAAAAAATTAATAGAGAAGGAGAACCACGACCTCTATCTAACAGTAACCAACGTCAATCAGAAGAAGAAGAAGAAGAAGAAGAAGATGTTTTAATACCAACATCCAGCAATTCCCTGAATCGATTCGGCGTGTTCTGATTGATCACGAACACTTGATCCTCCGGCTTCAATGCCTTGTTGTTCTGCTCGGCCAAGGCCTTTTCGGTCCTGAATGCCCTTCCATCTCGCTTCAACTTGCCTGCCGCGATGATGCTCAAGCCTGCATCGGAGCCTGAGTCTCCTCTAACAGATTCGTGGCCTTCGGAACGTGGGGATTTTGAGAAGTCCCAGTCGGCTGGGGACGATCTATCGACCGGACTCTCAGGTTCGTGGAAACTACTGGCAGCATGGGAGCGGACGTCGTCGTCATCACGGCCGCCACCGATGATGGGATCATAGCCAGGATGACACTCACTGTCGGAAGACCAGTCGTCCTCGGAATCTGATGTGGGGGAGATCATGGTGGAGGAGATATGAGATGTAAAATATGAAGAGTTGTAAATCATGGGAGGAACCGAAGCTCAGGAAGTTGTAGATCAAGAAAAAGTAGCTCAGGATCTATAATTTGACTTTCCGAACAATAACGTACTATACTCAGGAACAAGGCTTCCTTCAATGCAACACACACAAAGGAATAGGAAACCCCAGCATGACTAATAGTTATACATAGTATTAGTACGCATGAGGCATGACTACCCCAGCATGACTAATAATACCGTCAGTGACTAATATTAATACGGTCCGTCACTGTCATGACTAATATTAATAAACTACCGTCCTTGAGTTTCCTCTTCAAAGCCCCTCTTCTCTTTTTCGTGAGAATTTCTTTCCTCTTCACCGCGTTGTAGAGGTTGGTGAAGTACAGGCCCTGCGACAAACGGCCGGTGGATAACAGCGAAGAATACGAGGTTCCCGGTGGGTTGTTCATCTTTCGCGAGGATTAGAAGAGGAATTATGTTCTTGGACAACATAAGGAACAACCATTAGTTTTAGTGTTAGTCGCAACAATGAACTTAGAGAAACAAGGAGAATATAATTGTTGTATCATCTTCTGTATCGAAAGAAGAAGACTCTTAGTTGTCACAACGGCTGTTCATCTTCAAAATTCAACATGGCGATCTTGTTTGCATCGTAATATCCGCTTTCTTTTCTTAGTACGGCGAAGTCACAACTGGACCAACATGTTCTAATGTCAGTCAGAAACAAATACAGAAGAATCACATTCAAACAGCCATGTGTTCCATAACTTTTCCATCTATCTCTTGTGTATTCCACTACTTCTTGCCAGTCGCTTGCCCTTTTGATCGCATCCATCGGATTCTGAAAATTTTTTGCTCTGTAGTTGGTCTTATTCTCCGGTGGGACCAAGTTCGTTAACCTGGCTGGATCGAAGCCTTCCATCAACATGCCAGAATAAGCGAAACTTGGAGGCAACAACCTAGAACCGAAGAGGGCTTCCAATTCCTGTTGCTCATCCTGTTCTGCAGGATGTAGTTCTTGTTCGGCAGCTGCTCTGGAGGCGTGTAGTTGCTCTCCTTGTGGAGGGTGCTCCATCGCGGCGGAAGACATCTTTTCCTTGAAGCTTAAAAAGTGAAGAAAGTGAAGAAAGTGTAAGTGAAGTCGTCAAAAATAAACATCTATGTAGTGTCTATACAACCTGGAGGTAGTACACCAAGTCATCTACGTAGCACGACGTTAGGTTTTACTTATCTGATCTATGAGCATCATGACCACAATCATAAAAAGTTAAGTATGAACATGTTTGAGTTTGACCGCCACATAGTGGCGACCTAACTCGGCAGAAAAGAAAACCCGTAAACCCTATGCGCTTTGGAAACAAATGTGTATAATATCATTCACCGCTTAATCGACAAAGCCATGCTTTAGCTATGCATATTTCTCCACTATCTTCACCTTCAGGTAGCCTGGCATTGGTATGGAGATATCCAGTATGGGATGAATTTCAGGAAGATAGAAGATGTGAGGATCGTGAGGAGAAGTCGTGGTTCGTTGCAGTAAATAGGTCACCGCACTGTCATTTGCTGCATATGTCTGATGCCAGCTTTGATGCGCCTCTTCATACCACGTTTTCATCTTCCAACATCGATTTTGTAGTGTCTCACACACGCGATTAAGGTACTGAATACGACCTCCCAGGAGCATGTTGAATCAAGGATCATTTCTGCGACCCTACACTCACAAAAATAGCATACAAATTTGGATTCACGCAACTGAATACATAGAAGAAGAGGAGCTGGTGGAAGGGTGTTTTTTTGTGCGGGGCAAAATACTTATTTTTGAATATTTTTGTGATTTCGGAGGACCGATTCCGATGCAGCAAAGTGTTGTATTTTCAGCATGTTGGATGATCAAAATTCTAACCGATTCAACTTTTCCCCGAACCTGAGACAGATGATCAAGATCATGACGACGTCAAAAAAACATTCTGGAACTTGTGTAGGAGTAGGAGTCTTTTTACGACAGACCTTGACCTCCGGGAGGACATTCATATTTCTACTGCCATGTTGGTACTACCCTTTCATGGAATAATTTTGGTCATTTGAAAAGATTAATATTCGAATTTTTCACAACAGTGTCGTTCTCACGGCTGATGCTCTCTCTGACATCGATTCCTAGACCCAGTGCAGCAGGATTTTGTTTCTGCGTTGATGATAATGTCTGGCTGAAAGGTTCTTTCGTCATTTGTATTCCTCGATCTCTTGTACGTGTACGAGATCAATTTGATCAAAAAGAAAAGAACTCAGAAGTGCATTATACACTCGCTTCGCAAAGCACGCGAAGTTATATGGCGATCATCAAAGACAAGAACTGGATCAGAAAGAGCGAGAGAGAGAAAGCATCTAGTAAGGCTAAGCATAGCGCAAAACAGAGAGACAAGAAGGAACACGAAGTAGACGTTCGCGATGAGAGACTATTGAATAATGACAGACCCGAGAACAGCATACTGTGTATGCTGTTCGTGAACGTGAGGACATCGTTTTCTGAGTACTACCTCCCGCCTCTGCCTCTGCCTCTGCCTCCGCATCACCCTCACCCATCACCACCATTTTCTCAGTACTACCTCCCGCCTCTGCTTCCGCATCACCCTCACCACCACCACCTCAACCACCACCTCTATAAAACTCCACCACTTCTGAAAACTCTTCCACTATCCGATTCGAAGAAGTCACTAAGACTGGTTTTTGCCCTAATTCTCGCATCCAATCACGCACAAAGTCGTAGTCCACCAAATCCATAGCACTCGGTCGCTGGTTTTGGTCCCTGTGGAGACAATCCTGAACGAATTTTCGACCATCCTCTTGGAAAGCAGGGTTATCGCTAGGCATGTCGGGTAGAGCGGTGCGGAGAATGAAGAAAAGAGGGTAGAGCGGTGGGGAGGAAAGCCATGTCTATTAGAAGACTACTATCGTCCCTAAGTGAATACTCCTTGTGCTTGTCGGAAGATTTTAATGGGAAGTATTCAGATGTTAAAATGGGAAGTAATATTCACCACGCAATACAGACTCTTGTAGGTGTAGTCGTGATGCTTTTGCCACAGTACCCATACATACGTACCGCCGTCATCAATGCAGCTATCGGATGAATTAAAGAATACTACGGCGCGCCATAACCATACTCAACGCCATCATCAATGCTATCGGATTATCGAATTTCTTTTCGCTCCATGGCGGTTTGCCACTCGCCATTTCGATCACCAGTCCTCCAAGACTCCATATATCCGCACTTTTCTTGTAGCCTTGATTGGTCAACACCTCAGGATTAGCGCAAGAAATCCATCTTCTTGAGTCCACTCATCTGGGTGATATTCCCGCTTTCCTCCTTACAACGAGGTCATTTTTTCCGATCAAGAAGATGCTCCTGGTCAAGATGGATGGATTTCTTGCAGCCTTAACAGGAGCCATCCATGGAATCGATCCGACCATAGTTCTCATCATGATCGTCGCGCTTTGACCCAATGCTCCAGTCTTCTCCATTATGGAGGAAGTTTGCTCCATCAGTCTCATGGTCTCTTCGTTGTTTTGTTGATGTCTATTGGCGATAAAAGCAGTGCCCATGTCGGTCAGAATCGCGTCACCGTGGAGGGAGAGCAAAACGTTAGATCCTTTCAAATCTCTGTGGACGATGCCTTTGCGGTGCAGATAGACAAGTCCTCGTGCGATTTGCCAGGTGAGCGATCGAATGAGGAATAAGTCGGTGATGCGGCCGAACTGTTGAGAGATTTGCTCCAAATAGGATATTGATGACCAAGTATTATAAATATATTGAGACAGCTTCAAATACGTCATCCTTCTCGTCTACTTCCTCAACAACGATACTTATGCTAGGCCTAGAAGTAGGAGGTACTAAAGAACCTCAGAAAAAAGTACCGTCTCCACCAAATCTGATATTGTTCCACCAGGCACAAACTCCAGAAAAGTGTGTATATGAGTTGCTTCAGCTCCACCTACATCGTACGTACCCTTTGGCGCGGCATTCTTGCCGCCACCTCGACTTGCTGGTGTTGCAGCTGGAGTCGTGCCACCGTTGCGAGATTAGAGGTGGTACTAGAAGAACTACATGTGTCCTCTTTATTTTGGTTTCGCTTCGTAAACCCAAAACTTCCAAGAAAGAAAATTCTTTGAAACCCAGTATTTCATTCTTGTTTTCAAAGAAACCCAAACAGCCAATCCATAAGCACAATAGGGTCTCGATCCCAGGAAATTGATGCAGTTTGGATGGTTCAGCTTCTGCAAGAGCATGACCTCTTTCCGCATGGCGTCCATCCCCTTAGGATCGTCTACTGGCGTCGCCTTCACAGCAATTATTAGAGGTAGGTTTTTGGTGTTCGTTTCTCCCGTTTCCGTTTGTTATGGCCGTCCCCCTTAGGAGAGCCATAACAAACGGTAACAAAAGCACCTTTAACCTACTCTTAAGATTATCTGCCCAGTGTCTTCACGCCGACCTCGATAAACGGTTCCGTGGGAGCCTTGGCCCAGGATGGTGCCGAGTCTGTGGTGGATATTGAGCAGGGGGATTGGAGGCGGGTAGAGAAACCACAATTCGATTTCGATGTGATCATCGAGAAGTAGTTCGACTCCAATTTTTTACCTACCATGGGTCCTCTGGTACCTACTTCTAACTTGCACTTCAAGCAATAGATTTGAGTTTTCGAATACCTAACTTCCACCCACTCCGGTACTGGAATCTTTATCCTTCTCTTCAAATCCGCAGTTCCACCGCTGCCACTGCGATAACAAAACAGGTCGGCTGCTGAGGTAGACGACGAGCTTCGAGTCGAAGTCCACGTCATATACTCAAGATACTCAGCTAAGGTTGTAGGCTCTGGTGGCCGCGTTGTACTTGTAGGAGCAGCTCTTTGAGGAACAGCAGATAAGTAGCTCATACTAGATGAACTTGTTGAGGAGAAACTCTTCGAACAAACTTTTTGTTTACTAGACCTAGAAGATTCATCAGCTCCACCCTGAAGATGCTTTTCTTCATCGATACTAGGATTGGCGCCTGCGCTTGGGTCGTTGCTGCTCAGTTTTTTAGGACTTGGAACATTCGCACCAGTATCTTCATCGTGCAACGTTTTTCCTAAACTCAGGTGATCACTACTCGCAGACATATCTCCTGGCATGGCTATCATGCGTTTATGCTTAGGGGAGTAGTCTCCTCCAACTGCTGCTGGGAGGTTTGCTCCGCTAGAACGATGAGAGTCATGGTCTTCAGTATCGTGATAGAAGTTAGAGCAGCTCACCCTAATCGTCCATCTTGAGACTCATCTCGGATCTCCTGTTTTCCTCTCATGGTACAGCTTCGAGATGCTTCCGGAGATGGAATAGCGGAAGCCATAAGATAGGTAACATTATCTTCTCCAAATCTTGCTGGTCCTCGCGAGCCTCTTCGATCGGCCGCTCCTGGAGGGCCATCATCAACTCCGTGAGGGACATCATCACGACCATGATAACTCCCACTCCGTCCTCCAGTGCCACTTTTGTTCGATGGGCTTGATGGGTAGATGATCTCGTCGTTATCGTCCGTATCAAACTCCGGTAAAGGCTCCAAGCCACCTAACCTTTGCTCCTGCTCCCTCAGAGGGGCTAGAGGTGGTCGGATGAAGGGTGACCCTGCAGCAGAGGCCATGGGATTGTAGTAGTATTAGAGGTAGGTCTTTGGTGTTCGTTTGTCCCGCTTGTTATGGCTGTCCCCCCTAGGAGAGCCATAACAAACGGTAACAAAAGCACCTTTAGCCTACCCTTAATAGTACTTACTTGCGTTCGTCGGGGTGTGCGCGGGTGGGGTGTGTGCTGACGTGCTGTGTGACTGGTACGGGCTAGAGGATGGGGCGCTGCCGATCATGCCGGACTGTAAAGGAATGTATTTCTAGTATAATCATGGTTCTTGCACCTGTAATGAACAAACCTAGGTAAAGAGTTGCAGCCTATCTTCCTAGTTGACATTCATCTAAGTTGCCCTATGCAAATGCATTCAGGTTGTAGATGATGATCCCAGAATAACCTAGTAAAAAACCTGAAGGCACAAGGTCATCAAGGTCGTGTAAATCGAGAAAAAAATGGACAAGAACCTCCACTCCCCCGATGCCGCCCATCAAGCCTCCAGCGTGCTTGTTCCTTGATGAAGCAGGACTCGCGGGTGGTGAAACGTGGTGAAAGCTCTGTTTGTTCCTTGATGAAGCAGGACTCGTACCTCGTCCAAGCCATGGCATTCCCGGAGGCGCCGCAGGCGGTCCTCTGCCCACTGGCGTCGCTCCTCCTGCTCCTGCAGTTGGCGTCGTCGTATTACTCGCTTCCTCTCTGATGTTCGACCCTCGGGGCGTCGTGTTCATCATGATGGGTGGCGGTCGGCGAGACGCGGATAATGGATCCGGACGCATAGAAGGACGCGAGGGAGATGACGGCAAGTCGGAAGGCGATGAGGCGCCATTGCGGGTATTAAAGGTGTTGTAATACGAGGACCGACGACGTCAATCACAATCTACTGTATCTGCTTTAGTACTACAGAAACAAGAAAAGAACAGACGCCGGATATCATGACTCATAATGTGCACTCCTCCTGTTGTCGAACTTGTTGCCTCCACTGCGCCCCCGCCCCCAGCCACCGCACTTGCCAGCATACCACTATCCTTTCCACCTAGAGGCTTCGTGGCAGCAGCTGTGAACCTCGGTGAAGCCGACGCTGCACGACTTGTGCCATCGGCATCGACGCGTTTTCTGTAGCTACGACCACCCGGCGGCGAGTCCGTAGGACTACCCTTACTGGAAGGGGAAGAGACACGACTGCCGGTGGCAGTGGAAGTGCAAGCGCCCATTGGGATTCGGAATTTCTTCTTCTCGTCGTCGTATGATAAAGAGGAGAAAAATGGTGCTGCATATTGCGTTCACAATTTTCAAGAATGGGAAAACTACTTATGCACATACAACTTACTTAGTACTAGTTGATACTACTTAAAGAACTATAACGAAAATGGAGTGGAACAGGTATCAGCCAATTTTCAGCAAATTTTTAGAAAGAGCAACAGAAGGCTTCTAATATCAAGCCTTCATCCGCCCGGAGAGACTTATGTATGTGTGATATAGAGAGAGGAAAGAGACTTAGACCGACTCCTTTCCTCTTACAAGAACGTCTGTCATAATGGTGGTACCGACGCAAATGAGATATAGATATCACTCATTCCCACCTCCTGTCATGATCGCACTCTCAATTAATGCACGGAGATATGATACCGTTTTTACCGAACTGAGTTATAGACGAAACCAGAGTTGTTCTGGCTCTCTACTCTAGGGACCCGAACCACAGATTTAGATCTTCTCATCGCTGTCGCTCCTTTAGAGACCGACCTACTTACGTTCTTCAGGCCGGCACTCAGCGCATCTGACACATATGTTCACCCGCTTGCGGTTCGCAATCGTACGGACGCAAAAGCAGCACGTGCCTCGGGGTAGGCGGACACGAAGCGGAATTCGTATTGAATGGTTGGACAACTTGTTTCATGGTGTAAAAGTAAAAGTATGTGTAAAGAAGTGTACAAGTAGTTGTCTAAGATGCGATCCGGATTTAAAGATGATCCGTTGTGTCTAGAACTACAAGCACTCATGCATAGCACGAATAATAGCCCTCCCGATTCTGGCTTTCCGTATTCCACAACAAAGAATCCACAAAATTTACATCATGGACCAATCTCAATGGCGCAGAGTGCGTTAGCTTATCGCGGACCAGCTGCCGCCTCTGTTCGATGACCAACTGCGCATCGGCTTTGGCGTATTGCGTAGAGCAGCACAAGCAAATGCACCAAGTGATCAAACACGGGTAGGAGAAGAGGAGGACTAGAGCGTGCAGGTACGTGGTAGGCATATTCTCGAATTTCATGCGGAAAACGACAACCAAAGCAGCGAGTTGGAAAAAGGAGTTAGAGCATTCATAAGATTGATAATTGAAGAGAGGTTGGTTGTCAATCTGTAAGATGAATGTTGTTGAGGTAATTGCTGAGGGCGGACGACAGAATTTGGTATAATTGGTTCAGCTTCGTTTACGCAAATAAACAAGGACGAAAAACGATCTTCAGTAGACTCACTGCTCCAACTCCTGGTTAGTCGTGATCATTAGAATTAGAATTACAAAGTGCGAGTGGCCGCTTCATAAAAAACAGCAACCCAAAGATAACCGCGATGTAGGTCTGCGCGAGTCGTCCGCGTTTCGTCTTCAAAGGGTACAGCAATTGCGCGAGGACAAGAGTACTCGACAAGAACATGCCAACCCAAACTATAGCCACTGGATTAGCCACTAGTAGCTCTCTCAGCATGATCGGTGCAGGCTCCTCTGCTATGTAGTTTAAATCCTGGTCACCAGGGAGTGCAGAGAAAGTCTGAGGAGGAGCAATAGACTCAGGCGAGCCTACTCGTTCTGCTTTTACCAGTCTCTGAATCGTTCCCTCGGCGTCATCCGCAAAGAGATTCCCAGTTGCAGGTTCTCGCCACATTTTCTGTCCATCGACTAGTTCGGGAAAGAGAGTGAAGCGGCCTCGTCTTGTTCTCGATGCTGTCGATTCAGAAGCTCGTCCAGTTGCATCCTCATCTAATTGTTCTACATACGCTTCCACCAAAGTCTCTCTAACACCAGCAAGCACCTGGCTCTTATCTGCTATGCGGCCACCGATGACAGAGTCGTACAAGATTCCATCACGGAAGATGACAACTGCGAAGGAGCCCTCTTCTGGGAAGGAATGGGTGATTGGTGAAGGAGGTGAGTATTTGCTGCCTATATTCTCCTCTGCAGATGTTGATGCTGTGGTATTCTGCTCTACAACTAGTGGTCCTATAACATCACCACCTCCACGCGCAGGACTCGATTGTTCCGCATGTCTAGCTTTCCTCTGCTCTACAATCGTTTCTTCGTCTGCTTGTTGCAGTCTCATGGCTGCCACCACTACTATGGACGCCAACAAAACGTGCGTCCCCACAAAATATACGTATGGTGGATAAAGTCGATAGTGGAGGAAGATCTCGAAGCAATCCAAAAACCAAAGTCCAATCCAGAGAGGCAGGATGCATTTTTTCGAAATCCTCAGCAAATGCTCGCGAAATAGCCGCTGTCGAGGTCGCTCGGCACCTGGATTTACCAGCAGTACTGCAGCCAGAGTGACCCAGCCGAAAATCATCCCACAAATGACCCAGCGATGCAGTAGGACCAAATCTTCGTCTTCTAGAGCGACACAGGCCACCTTCTTGTTCCACTGATACCTAGGTCTGGCAGAAGTTTCTTGAGCGTCGTGATCTGTTGGTTCATCTACGATATCCAGGTGGTCTACGCCTGTTATTAAAGCTCAGCACTCAATGGTCATCATGATGCTGAACGGAGGCGACCCCCTTCAAAGCTCTCCCCTTTCCCTTCCTTTTCCCCTGTTCTCTAAAGCGGTCGCTTCTTCGATCTCAGTGACTCCAATCTAAATGGTGACCATTGAAAGCTGCGCCTTAATATTACCACTGCAGGCAGAGATATGTCCTCCATATCCGAGGTATCGTCGTCTGCTGGTGAGGCGTTTGCTGGTCTAGCACTAGTGATGGAGGTGTTCCTCTGTATGATGTTCTGTGATTGAAATTGCGGTCCTGTTGTTCCATTCTGCGCAGCACTATCAGGTGGGCGCCTTACAGGACTACCAATATTCTGGTTCTGCTGCATTTGTTCCAACTCGGTCGACACACAGTCTCGACAATAGAGTGTGACGGATAAGCAACGAAGGAGTTCCACCTGCATCAGAGCCACGTCTGCGTGGACGTCGTTGATGGCCAAGATAGCCAGGTCACTGGCTAGAGTGACATCTCCGTTCGCGCGTCTAGTGAGAAACTGCAAAGTGTCTTGAGGCTGGAAAATGTTCGCGGCGTTCCTGGTGGGAGTAAGTATTTCGAAAAACTGAAATTATAACCGAGTAACAACTTGAAATAAGCACAGTTGAGCCTGAATAAGGAATAGTAGCCCTGTCAAACCTACTTACCTCCCTTATTTCAGTCAGTAACTCGGTTATTTTCAGCTTTCGAGTAGGTGGATAGAGGATGGGCTCCTTCAATCGGAGTTGTAAGGCGCATGGTAACGAGAACGAGCTTCACAGGTTCCTGCTGAGTCTGTGCTACGATTACCTTTACCATCAAAAATCTGAATCATGTGTATTTTTCATCCCACGAGGAAGGAAATCCCTCTTAATAAATACCATGTCGCCGCTGGAGATTCTGGGTACACCGCATCTACTAAGAGGCACTCTAATCCGTCACATGAGGGTCGATAGGCAATGCCCCATATATCGTCCAGACTTGCCCTTTCTAAGAAGACTTCGAAACAAGACGTTGATGTCGTTGAGTTGCTGTCCCGCAGGTTCTTCATATCATCTACTGTAGTTAAAGGTAGACTAGCCGAAAAGATATCAGCTAATCGTTCTGCTTTTGCCTCTGGGCTGCTTGGGCCGCTTACAACCGCAAGATGTTGTGCATTTTTACGACCCTCAATGTGGTCCTTCATATTACTCATCTGTAGTTCCAATTCTTGCTTTATAGTACTAGTCCCACTATTTTTATAGCCAGGTGGAGGCGACGTCGCTGGAGAAGCACCAACCGGAGCTGCTTTAGCGATTACCTCATCGTCGTCTTCTATCACGTGATCGTTGGTCCTTGTTGTACCAGTCGGAGAGCCCGACTTGTTGAAGTTCAGTCCCAATACCCGCGGACTAAAACTTTCAGAAGCACCCTCCGAGGAATCGAAACCTCCTAATCTACTATTTGTAGTAGTCCTCTTCCCTGGATGTCGTAATGCATGTTCTCTCGTCCGATACATAGCTGCAGCGGACTTGCAACTGGCACCACAGAAAAGCAACTCGAGGAGTGTGATCATTAATAAGATGGGCGCGTCCCGATCAAAATCGAACATCTTCCAATTGTCCTGTCTCGTTGGGTCCAGCCTATCTGGTGCGTCGACACGGACGTGGTCAGGGTTGCTGCCGGAACGAGGATTAGAAGCCACAGAAATATTCTTCATGACGAAGCTTTTTTTTTGAGGAGTCACAGAATGAAAATCCTTAACTGAAGATCCACTCTCTGATGTTCCACCAGCACGACTCGATGAACCTCCTCGTCCATGCCCATCTGCCACAACTACAGGTTCGTCCACGACAAACAGTAATTTCACAAACAGTACTATAATGCCCCCGAGCGCTACATAGACGCAGAGATCTCCCACTCTATCAGCTGCATACTGCGTCTCCTTCGACCGAACTGCTTCTTCCTCTTCGTTCACCAATTGATGATAGCGCCTACGCTTCGGTCCACAGGGAAAGCAGGAAAGAAACAAAACCCGTAAATCCTTGCAGTGGAGTCTGGCTAGTTCCTTAAATTTGCTGAATATAGTACCGCGAGTGTTGTTCGTCCCGCTGGCGGCAGGTGGCAGACTCCCTGTGCTTCTAGGGTGTGAAAGTGAAGATGAACCTCCATAATTAGGCGAAGAGGAAGGAGGAGCGGGAAGTGCGCCGACGACAACCATTTTCTTTTTGATATTCTGATTTAGATTTTTGAAGATGAGATGAAGCGCTTATGCTATTCTTGCTTTGCGATTGCGCTGATCCTACAACTTCTCAGACCCGGGTTCCCATTTTGTGCTTTTACTGGAACTGGTGACGCGAAGGACATCTTTTAAGTAAATACTCTCAAAAAGGAGCGATTAGATGGCTTCATTGATCAGATAAACGAGCATCAATCAAAGAACACAAACTGTAGCACAAAACAGGCGTCGGCCACTTGTGGTTGTGCCAGTGTTTGAGTCTCTTGTTTCAAGTACAAGTCGTGCAAACAAGTGAAAAATTTTCATACACAAACACATCAACATCAAGGCAAAAAGATAAAATTCGCCGCCAATAATTAGTCATAGAGCATGTTGTCACAGTAGTAGAGTCTCCTTCTACGGTTTGCTTGTTCCCGCCTGCTCTTCCTCAGCGTCGGCGTCAAAAACCCATTCATATTTCAACTCAAAATTCGTTGACTTCGAAAATTGCGCAATCTGTTCCCGCTGTTTCTTTGCCCAGAAGGAGAGTGGCGCAGTCCTCAAAACTACATTCCAAAATGTAAACGGCTGTCCTTCAAGGCCTCCGAAATAACCGGAATCGAAAGCAGGATTCAGGCAGTAGCCACTTTGCGGATGAGTTCTACGTTAGAGATGAAGAGCCTGGACTTTGTTGGTATCAGGTATCTAGACAGCCTTGATGACTTTGTTGGTATCAGGTATCTAGACAGCCGTGATGACTTTGTTGGTCCTCGTGTCAGGTATCTTCTATTGGTCTAAAGTAAAATTGTTCTACTTCTACTTCTACTTCTACGCTGGTGTCGTTGTCGGAGTGAAATTGACGAGACTATTATTTGGGAACCATAAATGTCCGAACCTCCTTGTTTGAGTATCTCTTCCGCAGTTTTGAGTAGTACTCCATTTGGCACAGCGACTCTGCACTGCAACTGATTTGCACACTTCAGCAAAACATAGAGCTCCAAAAAATCGTGGATAAACGGTCGACTCCAGTTCGCTTTCCATCCTGCTACAGGTAAGAAATCCAGAGCATGAATCAAGTGAAAGTTCAGATGTTTCCACAACTCTCCCATGGTCAGCTGGATCTCTGCTTTGTCCAGCACACGCTTGAAGCGGATACCACTTGGAGTCGTCCTCTTGGCAGGAGTTGCACTCGTTGTAGTTGTAGAAGTACTCGTTGTAGAAGTACTTCTAGGAACCACAAAAAATTCCCACAGTTCCTCCACTATTCTGGTACCCTTTAGGAATCTCAAAATGCTAGGAAACGAGCTAATCTGTTGGAACTCGTCTGCAGTTACTAGTTTTTCAAGCATCGGTATCTTGTCTGCGCCCATGGGGAAGAAACCGGTGGTAACGCCGGAGATTAGAAACAAGTCATCATGTACTAGTTGTAGTACTTGAAGAAGAAGAAGAAGGAGGGTCTAAATTAAGTAGCTGGAGACCCTTCTACCTCTAGATCTAGGAGAGTTCTTCGGTAGCGAACAATAGTTCCACGCATCATCTTCCCACGCCTTAACATGATACTGTGCAAAAACAGTACCCTCGGAGATTCTTGGTGGTAGTGAGCGACGCAGTAGTCGCGGCAGAAGTGTAAATGATCCATGATTAGCCCTTGTTTCCTAAATCCATCTCGATCAGCACCTTGGTGTCCTTTTGCCCTTGTTCAACAAAATGGGAGGGCCAAGATGCTGCGAAAATAAATGGACTTTAATCATCTCAAGCCTTAACATGAAGCTGCCATCTGCGTGTTCAGTATTGAAATTGCAGTGCGTGTTCATGAAATCCAGGATGGGCGTCCAGTTGCCGTATGTGAGTAGATCACGCGCAGTGAAGCCGATGATCATGGGCGCTTCTTCTACCCGCTTCTTTATCTCTTTGACGCGTCCTTCTCTCCAGTTCGGCTCTACGGCCAGTGCGGCAGTGAGCGCAGCTCTCACGGTTCCACCAGTGACGGGTTCAAAAATCGTGCGGTTCAAATCGAAATTTTCTTTATTAGAAAGAATTCTAGTACTAGAAGCAACGAACTAGCGAATTTCCCTCAACATTCAGTGATGAAGTGGTTGTGGTAGAAGTGAAGATAGCTATAACCCCCTTTGGCCTCCCTTGTTCTTGAGAAAAGGAACAAGGTCTAGTTGATTTGGAATTGGATTCCATTCTACTTTCTTCTTATCAACTAGACCTTGTTCCTTTTCTCAAGAACAAGGGAGGCCAAAGGGGGTTATAGCAGAGTAGTTTATAGCACGCACGGCGCATGGACTTGCGCCCCTTAAAGCTCTGCGCTCCATGCACTCCATGCTACTCCATGCACTCCATGCACCATGCGTGCTATAAACTACTCTGCTATAACCCCCTTTGGCCTCCCTTGATGTTGAGAAAAGGAACAAGGTCTAGTTGATAAAAAGAAAGTAGAATGGAACCCAATTCCAAATCCAAATAATCCATAATTATCACCTCCATCTGAACGTGCCCACGATGGTCCACCGGTCTTGCCGCGACTAGCATCCCAAGTCTTGTCGGATTATGCTCGTACGTTTGGTCCTTCAGGTATTCGCCTAGCCTTTTCGGAAGGGCATTGCTTTTCGCTGTTTTGGCAGGAGCTCCTGATCCTGGTGAGGCCACAAAAAGTAGATCATCTAGCGGATGTAATGCGGGTTCTTGCGGATGTGATCCTTCTTGCGCAGCATTCTTTGCATCTTCTGGATCTTCTTGCTTCGCATCATCTGTACGGGGAGCTGGAGGCGGAAGCCGGTATCGGCACCGCCGCGAAGATACAGCTGCAGGGGACGAGACCAACATTTTCTATAATCAAAGCAGATCTCAAAATAGAGATTCGGGTTTTAATTTAGCGCTTTGGTACACGACTTATAATGATGATGAAGCAGAACAAGCTACTACACGACGCGAAGGGAAATAAATCGATGGAACTTGCTTTTTAAAACTCTTTTATGACTATGCCTATCACTCCTTTTTCATCAAGATACTTTTACAGCTACAAACTAGAAACAGGAAAAAGAAGGAAAAAAAGGCCAAAATATCGATATCCTTCGCAGGAGAAGGATATGCAAAACTGCGCTCTTATCATCCACTATTTGCAATAGAGGATAAAAAAATCAGATATCTTCCAAACAAAGCGGTAGCGCGGGAAATAGGGTGCTGGTGCACCGAAACAGAGGGTCCCTAGATCAACCACCGGGTACTTAGACACACGCTAATACCTAGACACACTGAACCGAACCTGACAGAACTTTGATGAATCATGAATGCCCGATCGTTGGAAGACACTGTCAATGAGTGTCGTTGCTCAAGATAGATAAGTCCATGCCCGTAGGCGTGCTCGTCTGCATCTTGCATAGACCATATTTTCTTAGTCACCGAAGTTTTCTGGCTCGTTATCAACTATCTCTCGAGGATGCTCATTGTGCTACTCGTCGTAAGCTAACAAACATGCGTCCTCCTGGTCTAAATGAATAAGAACAACAGCTGCACATCACTCGTTCTACTTGTGAACAAACTATGTTTCGAGATGGCGTCGTGGGCTTCAAAATCTGCAATTCAAGACATTAAGAGGAGGTCTGCGAAACTACACTCATCAAGTTTATTAGGTGCGATAGTCATGATTAAGCAATGATCATCGTTGACATGCTGTTATGGGTTCCGACGAAGACGGGTGTGGGTCATTTTTTGATGTTTTAAGTAGAGTGCGTTTCCTTTCGCATTGTCTACAACGATCATCAAGTAGTTTCCATTTTTACCAACTTGTAGATCTTCCCAAAAACCAAAAGTAGCATTTCAGTTTATTATGCGGTAGTTACATTCTGGTTGAGTATTTTTCGGTGTGATGCTATGTGTGATTTTTCCTCACGACGTTACCTTCCGTTTGTTCCGAGTATTCGAAATAACATGAATTTCATAACATTGCGCTGATGCTGGTGCGTACAACGGGTAGAGTAGAGCTCCCTTTCCCATTGTACTTACTTCGTTTTTTTCGTCTCCAACAATTAAAACTCATTGACAATGGTCACTGATGCTGAACGGAGGCGACCCCCTTCGAAGCTCTCCCCTTTCCCTTCCTTTTCCCCTCATCTTTCCTCAAGCGGTCGCTTCTTCGATCTCAGTGACCCCAATCTCAATGACCATTGAAAGCTGAGCCTTAAAACAAGGTGATACATTACTTAGCGATAAGGCGCATATTTCGCTGTGTTCGCCGTAATGAGGTTCTGCAAAGGGCAATCCACAACCGGTCCCAGATCAGACTGATGTTGTTGTATGAGTAGTTATTATTATTATGGTGTAACCCAGTTGTAGATGATTCTAGTTGACAAATAAATTATGAAGTTATAAAGTCTAACATCAAATTCAAATAGAAGTACCGAAACAGAAAGTGCTTCTTCGTCGATTTCCATATCTGAGCCTCTTCTACGTCCACCAGCAGCTGAGGACAAACGCTTTGGCACACGTTCCTTTTCTTGCTCCTTTCCATTTTCTTTTCCACAACTGCTTCCTCCAGTGCTAGTACTTGCAGCACTAGTGGTCTTAAGATCACTGTTGTTGTTTTTAGCGAAGATAAATCCATCACAACGATCTTGAATTCTTGCATCGTCCTGGGACGACCTTGACCCAGCATCCTGGGACGACCTTGACCTTGAACAATTTTTTACCCTTGATGCTCAACAAAAATAAACGGTGTCACCAGGATGGTTGTTCATCCGGAGATGGACTTGTAGAACAAGAAGCCTTAATGCTGCTATTGTCGCTGTAGTAGTTGCCTCCATTACTAGTCGTGGCATCATTTATTCCATGTTGAGGTCCTAGAGTTGTACGTCGTCGGCTTTGACTTCTTGCACGGTCTTGACGATAGCTTGTTCGCCTCTTGTTGAACTTGCCACCCACCCTCTGTGCTACGTCTCTGTTAGCCTCCTCTCTTGCCTTTTTTAGACGAGTTGATTACCAGAACCCAATAAATCCATCGCGAGAAGACTCACCTCGTCGATGGTCTCCTTTTATTCCCTTATGAGGAAGGAAGCTGCGAGATGCTTCTGAAGATGCAGTGGGGGAAGCCTTAACTTCTTCAAATCGATATCTTTCCAATACGTGACATCGTTTCCGTCAGAAGGAATTTCGTTTTTCCGCAGGGAGCGAATATACAACATTTTCTTCACAACTTTGTCGTGTTTGTCATCTTCACAAGAATATTCTTCAAATTCATACCAGCACTTATCAAGGTGGTGGCTGTGGTACTCGCAAACCTTCTCCAGTAGGTCTCGATCGAATTCCTTTTTGGCACCTGGAGGTGGATTTAGACAAGTCGAACATCTTCATCATCACCGTGTCCCATATTTATAGTACTACAAGCCTATAGGCAGGACAAAAGAGTTCCAGCAGTACTATTTATTCTATATTTTTACCCTCAGCACAAGTCCTCAGAACAAGTCCAATTGGTTAACATGGTACCTGGCAAAACGGCCCAAGGCACCCAATTGGACTTGTTTCCTGGAAATCGTTGACGCATTTGGTAGCGCAGCCAGTTGCAAAGCTTGAAAGATAAATCACGGAATTCTGGGTTCGAGGTAGAACGCTTTCTGCGATGTCCTCGTTGGATATTAGAAGGACCACATCAAGGGCAGAGCAAGGATATGGTCATGTTCACGCACTTCCCTTTTTTGACGCAAAACTTACACAGAGGTAAACTCATGGTAAGGAATTTACAGCGCAGTGCGGATCTTTATTCATTCATTCAGCAGTCTATTAAGACTCCAAGTCGTTGTTCTTAAGATATCCTTGGTCGGATGAGGTAGAACGCGTTCTTCTGCGTTGTGGAAGACTACGTCTACGACGTCTGTGGCGTCTCGTTTTAGGAGATCGAGAACGACTCCGGCTTAGGCTGGTGCTTACATCTCGACGTAGTTGCCGTCGTTTGCCTTTGTGCTCTTTCTTACTCCTTCGTGGCGGACTAGATTCTTCACGGCGACGTAGTTTGTGGCTCCTCATAGTACTCTGGTGTCCTCGTCCCCGTCTCGGTGGAGCGGAGGAACTTTCCATACGATAGTGCTTAGGTTCCGCACGATAATAGTTGCGGCCGCGTGCTCGACGGAGACTGTCATAGCCGCGACGTTGATGAAAGCGTGCAGGGCTGCGACCTCGGCAGCTTCGATAGTTGTCTCTTCTTACAAGTAGATTAGAATTTTGACTTTTGAAAGAAGATGTGATGAAAGACTTGACGCCATCTAATTTTTTGGCATTGATGACTAAAGAACTGTTGCTCTGTACTGCGTCTACGCTATGCATGCTGTTGTCCCTGTTGCCATCGTCCATGATGACCGTAGAGACGTGGTCTGACTGACAGTATTGACGACTAGTTTCAAATAAAACTAGACATCAAGTCTTCTCTCCGTAAAACTCGGTGGCGGAGAGCATGCACGATCGCTCTCATATCGACCATCAGAGGAAGAATCGCTGTCACTGGTGTCACTGCTGGCCGAGCGCCGCTTGCCGCGAGAAGAGGGTACCTTCGAGAGGCTCAATTCAAATTTCTGCCTCGACGGCATTTTTTCTCGTCTTTCGGTCTTGTTTTTAAGATATTGATGTGGGGTGCATGTTGAAGTAGGTGTGCTTGTGGACGACTCGTACTTGATACTTACAAACCAAGTTGGTGAATGACTTTTACGCGGAAATATTTTACGATTTAATATTCTCACAATAGTGACAGTGCTTCTTGAGAAAAATGGCGGCTAGCCGAGTCATCACTTTGTTTCTATTTATTTTCGAGTTAAGACAAAATGTCGACGTAGTTAAACGATCATAATGCGTCAGGAACTTACGAGATCAAATCAGATCAAACCCTGCGACGCCATCTTCTTGAAGGTCGGATGATCGTGAGATCTGAGACGTCTAAGACCATCCTCGGTGTGTCTCAGTGACGGCAGATTGAGGAGACCCAAGCGGATCGCACTACCAGGGCGACTTCTACTACGCTGATGGCACTCGGAGGTTCGTGCCTCATCCAGATTGATCTTCATGTTCTAGCGGGTATCGCCATCCGCTGACCACAAAGAACACATGAGAGGACTGACCAGCGACACGCTTTGCGACTAGCAGGCGACGCCAGCATCACGCTCTGCGGCCAGCAGGTGACGCCGGCAAGAACATGCTCTGCGACTAGCAGGCGACGCTCGATCGAGGCATGGCCGAAGCAGTCGCTGTGTCTTGAGCTTGATTCATTCATTCATTCATCACGGTCACCACTGCCGCATTTTTTTTTGGCGCCTGGGTCTAAAGTTTCCCGCTATAGTTCCACTTAATTACCCCGCGGGAAGCCTGAAGCACAACGACCAGGCGCTATGACTACGCAAACGATGAAGCACAATTATGACAACGCTTTAATCTACACTGGCTGAAAAATATCTTCCATGCACAGACTGTAAGACCAAGTCCTTTTAAAAATATGGATTCTCTGGAGGTGCATGACTAGAGTTTCTATATTGACCCCAAGATGCTCCTTGACCTTCTTGAGGCGTAGATGATCCATAATAAGATGAACCTAGGACTTTCTAAGACCAGTATTTCGATCGAGTGAGAATGTAGTGAGGACTTCCATAAAACAGATAAAAATATGTCGTGGGAGTGACCATAGCAACTAATGGGCATGACATTGTCCTTAGCTGCTTATATAATACCAGAAGAATGACAGTAATATGTGGTGCATCTTCCATCTGATTTTGTCGATATTCGTTCTAGATCTTTTACTATGGACTTTTTCTACAACAGTAACAACTTGTCAAATCAATTGATTTGCTTATGGTTCATTGATTTTAAAATCTTAAGCGACTAAGAGTATCAATATCATCATCATGCTATCTCATTAGCTTTTCTATATTCGTCGGTCGATAACAGGAAAGTAGGTGTCATTGTTCGTTTATCATCGGTTGCCAACATTTGTCTTTTAGTAGCACGAGTTTAACTGACTGTACCTGTAGCGAGTGCTTTCATTAAATTTGTCTTGTGGTTTTACCACAACATAGAAGATACATTCTTACATTACGTACACAGAAGTGTAAGTAAATCTAAATATCCTAAGTAAAATATATCACGGCCCTTTTAGAAGATGATCACGACCCAGCACCTATATACTAGTTCCGCAAAGTCCTAAAAAACCTCTCCGACAATTGCGGATCTCCAGCTTTCAGAACGCCGCCGCCTGCTAGTATGTGGTTTGGACCACCCAAGGTAGCAACAGTCGGAGCTGTTGCATTCGTGGTCAGAGTACTGAGACTGACCGCTGGTGAGGTGCTGGAAGAATAGTATAGGGGTCCGCCGCTGCCAGCGCCGCCTCTTGTGTTAGACAGGCTAGGGCTTGGGAAATATTTTTGCTCGATATTACTACGCTGCTCCTATGTGTCAACCCTCAATAGTGTAACAGATGGATTTATAAGTTTTTCCAGCTCGCATGGCATGGAGTGCGTGGGTCGCATGGAGTTGCATGGAGCTAGGGCGCTTCTTGCGTCCCTTGTGGGTCTGCGCTCCATGCACTCCATGGTGCTACTCCATGCACTCCTTGCGCGCTATAAACTACTCTGGTATAACGTATTGTAAAGAAAGTGCTCCAAGATTGTCCCTGTGCATTGTCCTGGTATTCGGTACCCTGATTTTGATCCTAAGGGAAAAGAAGAAGACCATCCTTGTGATCAAAATCAGCTCAGGTTTCCAAATGCCAGAGCCATACACCCTCATAATTTGATCTTTGGCCGTGTTGAGTTACAAATTCTAGAATGACAGACTTGAGCACTCTCCCCAAGCCATAACAGCCACTGAGCTCCCCACTCGTTTTCCTCTTGGTTCTGCCAGACTAGGGAAAAGCTGGGCTCGTCTTGACATCGACATCACGGTCGGTCGATCGCGCATGCCAGTTCTTGCAGCATGGTTCAATTTGTGTAGCAAGGCTAAAACTTGGTCCTCTAGAGTAGAAAACTCCATTCGGTTCAGCTTCACGGCTATGAGCACTCGAAATTAGAGGAGTGCTTTTTACTGTTTGTTCCTTGCGTTGTGGTCATCTCAATGATCGTAGTACATTCAGGAAAACTCCTTTTTGCAGACTCAGCTCATCAGGAGCGGCACTATTTACAGTAAAAAATGCTTCAGTTAGTTCTTGGTTGCCATAAAAACAAAGCTGAAAGCCCAATTTGCTGAGCTCACTAGAACTAGTGCGCCCTTCCACTGATTCTACATGCGCACAGTCTTGAAATATGCGTTGGAGAGGCAAATGCGGTATCTCCTCGGTTATCTCGAAATCGATGCAGAACCTGTTGTAGTGGTTGGGACGACACTTCGACGTCATCATGTCAATAATAAAAGTTTCTTGATTTATATATAATTCTAGTGCTTCTACTAGTTATACATATTTAGTTACACTCGAGTTTTTTGATCATGGTTGTGGTACTTGTTAGTACTAGTCTGTGTCTGTGACGATCACAAGAAGAAGATCAAGAAAAATATAAGTAGATGAATGTGTAGAAGAGCTAGAGGTAGTACTTCAAAAAGCTCCCCACTGTCCATTTCGATTTCGCAAAAGACGTTCTTGCTGATTGATCCGCGTAGTAGGTGAATATTTTCGCGATCCCCTCGGAAACGTTCGGCGAGTGAAACAGGTCCACCATTTGCTGCTTGCCCATCTCTACAGCGTAGTTGCTCACATCTACATGCGACTGGAAGCCTAGTTAAAGCTCAGCCTTCAATGGTCATCATGACTCTGAACGGAAGGGACCCCCTCCAAAGTTCTCCCCTTTCGTCCCTTCGTTTATTTCCCCTGTTGGTTCTCTCAAGGGGTCGCCTCTTCGATCTCAGTGACCAACTCCAATGACCATTGAAAGCTGAGCCTTAATCTAGGGCTTTTGCTGCTGGCTGGAGGACTTTTCTGCATAGGGACTCGAGGGAAGCTTCGACTGGTGTTAATGTGGTCGTGGAATTTTTGTGAGGGTCAGTCGTGGGGGAACTCTTTGAACTACTACTTGCGCCTCCGCCCCTTGCTCCACCTAAGGCTGAGGCGTCGTCTCTTGGCTGGTAATAAAGCCGTATGCCGATGTCGCACAAAGCTCGTCTCCAACTAGTCTCGTTTAGCAAATGTCGATGCTGCTGGCCTTTGCTGTTGGTCTTCTTGCGCTCCCGGTTATTAGAGCGGTCATAAGTGCTGATGTATGGTTCTGGTATTTGGTAACCTGAGTTGGATCCTAAGGGTTCTCTTCTTGTTTTCCCTTATGATCAAATTCAGGCTATACCAAAGACCGGAACCATTCAGCTGATGCTGTAGCGTAGTTGTTCTAAAATTGATTCTATTGCTTTTATGTAGTCGCATTAATCGCCATAAAGTTTATCGCCTGCAGGAAGATTAGGTCGACGTCGACTTGCGTGAGCGGCGGACCATTCGGGAATGCCCAAGCATGAAGCAGAGAAGGTGAAGAGGGTGAGAGGGAGAACTGGGACCATGTCTGCTCCCGGTCTTTGGTATAGCCTGAATTTGATCATAACAGAAAACAAGAAGAGAACCCTTAGGATCAAATTGTTCAGGTTACCAAATACCAGAACCATACAGACCAATTCAAGGCTAATGAAGAAACACCTCCAGTGGACTTTACCTAGTTCTAAACGTCCTGACCATATATTATTTTGTATTTGTTACTCAATCTACCACGAAGGGCTGAACCACAATTCGTTCGAAGGAGTCATAATCAGCATTGACCCTTGGTTGATGCGCACTGACTGAGAGCTTCTGTCTACTGAGAGCTTGTGCCCGATGTGCCCGTTTCTTAGGCTGCATGTGGTCGTAGGTGACCTGGAGAACGAGAAGTTGTTGGAAAATAGATGTCTTTGTTACACGATTTGTTTTAAGATGTTGGGACTTCGTGGTCCAACATGCACAAGTAGTAGTACTAGTCACACAACGCACAACTCCTATTACCAGTCATGAGTACAGCAACAGCGACTTTTCACAATTTTTTTTCCTATAATGTACTTATATATAATTACCGCTCCCTGGCATTCCGCTGGCAATAATCCTGCATCCCGCAAAAAGCGGTTGAATTTCAGCGAACTTATCGCTGACCGGTTCAGTGGGTCTCCCAACGTTGCGTAGTAAAGGAAAAGTTGCGAAATCAAGATTTCATGTTGCTCCCCTAGTGGTCGGATCATATCTGGAACTACTGGTATTAGAGTCAGCTTTATTCCATCTCGGTCCCCTCATCTTGACCCCGTTTGCCTTGTATTCTCGTGAAATACAACAAGGCAAAAGGGGATCAAGATGCCGAGAATGATGCAAAAAAGCTAACCATAATGGTACGGGGTGCTGTTGGCCGCTAGCAGTACCTCTCGCTGAGGTAGATGAACTGCTGCCACCGTAGTGGGTGAGCGAGCCGATTTGCGTTGAATGTAAGCGATTGCCTGTGGCGCTAGGTGCGAGAGGACGCTGGCCGCTGCGGTTAGAAGGATATAAGTACTGCACTAGCATTAAGAGCTCGTTTCCTTTGGTGTGTGAGTGCAGAAGGATATAAGTACTGCACTAGCATTATTAAGAGCTCGTTTCCTTTGGTGTGTGAGTGAAGAGCTCGTTTCCTTTGGTGTGTGCTGAGTGCATCTTCTGCAGGCTCTGATGTTTAGGAGATAACTTCTACAGTGAATGCTTTATCTAGGAGATAACTTCTACAGTGACATTAAAAGCACTTTTTATCTAGGAGATAACTTCTACAGTGACAACATTGAAACCAACTCCACAAACTGAGCAATCATGTGTCGTGTGAGAAGTTACCAAGAACTTTGCCGTACTTTGTCCGCCGTGGCTCATTCCTGAATTTTTCGAAGTATTCATCAACTCCGCGTCAGACGAGGAGGAGCCGCCTCCTCCGCCAAAGCCCTGTTCCCTAGACTCCGGACAAAACTGGAAGGAAGCTCCACCTCGATGTGCGGCAGTGAGGTGGGCACTAGTGTTAGAAGTAAGAGAAATCCAGCTTGAGACGCATCCGAGGACCTTTCTCCCCTTGAAAACGGTCTCAGGATGCCTGTGAAGATGGATTTCTTCTAGCCTTAATAGTGGTGAGGGGTAAAGACTTGGCTCGTTCCGCTGTGAAGATTATCTTTCCAGGTGTGCTCACGTCCATTCGCTCGAGGAGTTGGAAAACGACTTGACCAGAGGACGCGGAAGCGGAGGAGGAGGATGGGTATGAAAGGGGGGAAATCGTCAGGATTAGGAGGTGGAGTCCATGCAAGAAGAAAACATCAACGCAGATGAAATAGTCCAAGAACTATTGCGGGATCGACTATTTGCTTTGAAGATCAGACGGAATTGCAACTTCTATGTCATTCTGATTCTTGAAGATGAGGTCAACTAAATGAATATGAATGGGGAGAAAAAAAGCTACTATAGCTATCGCTATAGCTATACCAATACCATCCTCAAAGATTAAAGTAGTGTCATCAACCCAGAAATCATAAGGCTGACGCCAATCCAAATAGCTTTTTGCCCACCAAATAGAGGCCAAGTAAGAAGTGCCCAATCGTGAATAACCTTCCACGCGTGCACACGTCTTCGCATTCGAAGAATTCAAAGACTTCGTTTGGTATTTTCCCTTTCATTACCTGGAGATAGTAGGTTGCGCAGTCGTCTTTTGGCGGAGATACTGTAAGACCACAAGAAGAATCTTCGCGACTTCACTAATATTCATTGACTCATCTTACCTCCCGAAAGACGCTGAGCACTATCGGCTTCGGAACCAGGTTCGGTGCGATTTCGAAGTCGTGGAAACAGGCTAGAAACGACTTCATGGACGAAGACTCGAGACTAGATATCTGCTGTTGGAAATGCGGGTTAGTCTCTTGAGCGAAGTACCTGTTTGTGTTTTCAGTTTTCTTTTCCTTGTAACTACTGTCTGTATTAAGAAGTATGGGGACGATCAGACTAGTATAATGGCGAATTTCTAGAGGAGAAAGCATTTCTATTTCGTGTTCTTCAATGTTCCCTTCTTCAGGATGAACAGTTGTACTTCTTGGAAGTGGAAAAGGTACCCTTGATAAAGCGTCAAGATCCCTTCTTTCAGTGGCCGTATCTCGTCAAAGAAACTTGGATCGAAATTTTGCAACAACTCCGCATGTGGATTCAGAAATTTCGAGAAATGCTCCTCGTAGAGGAGTCCGAGTGCCTGGTGGTTAGGATAGGTGGGATGGAGACAATCTTGAAGCAGCTAGGATAGGTGGGATGGAGACAATTTTGAAGCTAGACTTTTTTCAAAGAAAAGATAGAAGGTTGACCATGAACTTGAACAAAACTTCTACACAGTTGCAGCAAAATAGAAGAACAGTGTTTGTGTTTCTACCTGATGCGCTTTATTCTCTTGCGGATACTTCACTAAGGCGATTTGAACACAGCCGTTCATGAACTTTAGAGGTAGGTTTTTGGTGCTCGCTTAGCCCGCTTGTTATGCCTTTCTCCCTTAGGAGAGGCATAAAAAGCGGTAAGAAAAGCACCTTTAACCTACCCTTAAGAACTGTTCAAAAGTCATCGTAGGACAGTTGCCGCACAGCTTCTTGAATATCAAGTCCACTCTGGCGGATGTAAGTCGCCCACCTTCATCGACCAAGTCAGCGTCTAACGCCATCTTCTGGAACTTCATGCTCTTCATGAGGGATCGGGAACCTGGCGTGGTCAAGGTGGAAGCAGCTGGCGGGATCAATTTTCCACTCAAGTGAGTCTATCATTGGCTAAAGCACACCAACACCTAGACTATACGATGACCACACCCTGCTACCTCAAAAAGGAAGTAACGAAGTGCAACGCTAACGAAGTGGTAGATGAATGACATTTGCCCCCATAAAGAAGTTCTTGCCCAAGTGAAAAAATCACTTGTAGATCGATGGTGCACTAGAAGAAACAAATATCGAGACCACAAGTTGTCCTAGTACTACCAACTGCTAGACTATACGTGATGACACATACCAACTCCTAGACTATACATTTCGAATGTGCCCTTGTTGCGTAGAAGTCAAAAATTTCGCTAAGAGTGTGTTCGATGGTCTCCACGGATATCGGCTGGCGTTCGTCCCCAACATCAGGCGCCAATGCGCCAGGCGAAGCAACCACCATATTCTTTTTGATTTTGATAAGTCTTCAAGGTTATTGTAAATTAGAAGTTGTCTCTTTATGTTTCTTTCTTCGCAGTAGTTGAGGTTCTTCGCGGCGTAGTGTCTTTGTCTTCAGAGCTTCAGAGTACAAAAAGGTTTTAGTATTCCCAAGTCAGACCCAACGGATTTTTACTAGCGTTGCATCTTCAGGTTGGGCTCTCTTTTCAGGATTTTGAGTTTTTTCTGTGTGACTAATGGCACCAGGCGGTGCAACACCAGATGACTTTATGTTTATCCATCGTGATTCGTGACCGATTCAAGTAAAGCCGTGTCCAGCGACTTCATTCTCGCGCTGCCGGATAGTGTATGAGGAACACTCATGATCCCATGCTGAATTATTGCAGCTTTCGAACAGCAGGTCACGCTTCCAACTCTTTGCTATTCTATCTCTGTACACGAAATCAAACAAAAAGCTATTTTCTGTTCAAAGGCATGTCTTTAATGGGTGATTGGTCTCTATCTTGTCACACATGCACAAATTAATATGAAACATAAGAAGAATCTCGTCGTGCAGCCTTGCTTGTTCTATGAATAAAAATTACCATCTGGATCGATGCGCTCGGTGTCGCTGGGAAGATAAGAAAAAAATGTACTGAAGTCGAATCATACGGAGACGGAGTAATCTTAACTACATTGGTCTCCACTACCTGTGGTGCATGAAAGTCGTGCTGGATAGAAATAGGAAAAGTTGAAAACGGGAATATCTAGAAAAGTAGACCTATGCTGATCATCAACATACTCCACTCTGACCTATGCTGTTCATCAACACACCTACAACTACTAGTACCCTTAGCCTTGCTCAAGTATATACCAGTTTATACACCGGTTTATCTCGCAACAAGCCTCTTCCCAACACGATATCCAACGCTTTTTGCCCATACTCATTCGCAAACGATACAAACCGGGATCGGTCTATTCTATCAGGGACCTGCGAGTCAAAGAATGCCGCCATCTCCTCTCTCCTTCGCTGAATCACATCTTGGTAGAGAATCAAGATTTGCTTGTCGTTGTCTCCATGATCAAGTTGTTCTCTTGAATGGCTAGAAGATGAAGCAGCACTAGTTGTCGTAAGAGAGGTTTGAAGAAATGAGACTGCTGGAGGTGGCGCATTATTCACATTGGGATTGCCCTGTCCCTGCTGAAAGCTGCTCATCATGGGTACTATAGGAGACGGAGAGGCGGCTGCATTGTAATAGAAGATGGGTTGTGCTGCAGCTCCAGCTTGTTGTTGTAATGCAGGTGTTGTCACTGTCGGACTCACTTGAGGGAGAGTGTTGTAAAACACTCCTGCTGTTGTGCCCATTGCCGGTGTCGGATAAAACATCATCTGTCCTCCGCCACCTGGCATTCCATATGACACTCCTGGCGTCGATTGCTGTCCACCTACAAAAAACATCGGTTGCTGCATCATGAAAGGATTAATACCAGCCCCGTTCGTCATGGGTTGAGCAGCACTAGGCTGCATATTGGTTGCTTGCATGAAGAAACCTCCACTTGCTGGATTTATGGTCTGTGCGGGGGTAGCAAAAAAACCTCCTACTCCATTAGGAGCTGCTACAAAGCCAGGTGGAGGTACTTGTTGAAACTGCGCTTGTTGCTGGGGTATGAACATTTGCGGTTGAAAAGTGGTTCTGGCTTCGGCAGCAACCGATTCCATCCCTGAAGGACTCCTTTGTTGCTGCATACTATCTCTATCTGTATCTGATCTTCTTCTACCTCGTTCTACTATTGTCGGTCCAGCAACTCGTGAGTTTTGATCTCCAGATGATGACGTAGACCTCTGCATTCTTGTTCTTGTGTTTGCTTCTGATGCAGAATCTTCTCGTTGGTCACTAGTAGATGAGGAAGTAGAGTCTTCACCTGATCTTGAATCGTCGGTAGGAACTTCTTGCAGCCCTTCGTCACCTGGAAAAATGCCTCCTACTGACACGAGAGTTGGGACAATGACAACCTCATCTTGACCATCGCCATTTGTATGTTGTTCTTCTTCTCCCTTGTTCTCTACTTCTTTCTTCGAGGACGAAGCAGCTTTCTTTCTTCTTCTCTCAACAAGCACTGTACCAGCGGGTGCTTCAGTACCAGACAAAATATCAACTGTCAGCATCCTTCTGTCTTGCTCCTTCCATAGCTGTAGGTAGAATTGCCTGAGCACTTCCCGAACTAGGTTCTTGGAGACGCCGAAACGTTGAGGCGTTTTCATCAGCATTCGGATGAAGGCATCACCTGAAGAGGCAGACGTGTTCTTGTACGATGACGATGAGGCAAAACAAAATAAGAAAATCCACCTGCCTACGTAGGTAGAGAATGAGAATGTCAACATAAGTAGTCATCCACCACATTGAGAATGATAATTATGATGTAAAAAATATCATATCCCCAGCTAAACATTGAGAATGATTATGCCGTACTAAATGTCCAAAAAATACCTTGATTCTGAGGATGATCCAACAGCAATTGCATAATCTTTTCCCGCATCTCTTTTGGTGGATTGGACAGATCAAGATTCTCGATCTCCAACTGGTCCTCCAGATGCCCAACTGCGCGATCATCACTGCAAAATCCTAACTGGCCCGTTGCCGCATCAGAGGAGGTTGTTGGATAATCGAGATTTGATTGCGATTGCTTTGGTCCATCTTGGGTGGAGACCTGTGATGAAGAAAGCAGAGTGGCGGGGAAAAGTAGCACAACAACTCTCAGACCAGGAGAGCAAAATCTGCGATTTCGAATATATGACTTGCTACGCCTCCACTCAACAAATTCATCTTTCTCACATCTAGAAGTAGTACCGCTATCCAGCGGCCCTCGTTCTTCTGCGATCCAACTTCCTGCAAGAGCAGACTGCCTGTTCGACTTGCGCTTCTCCCATGAGCGCGCTCTCTCGACGTTCGGCTGCGTTGTAGAAACGACTTGCCTGAGGTTGAGGTGGCGTAGTCAGCTGAGGGATTGTCTCCAGCTTCCACGTCCAGTGGTTCTGGTTGGGAACTATTAGAGGCTCTTCTTGAAGAGCAGTAGATTTTGCAAGCGACAAAAGATGAGATAAGAACGGTTATTAGGCTTGAGAGATGAAGTCGTGCCAGAAGGTCGTTTAATGGAGAGAGTAGATGTAGAGGGTGAGAGAAGAGATAATATTCCTTAAGGCAGTCTGCACTGAACTTTGTGCGAGATTAGTTGTATTGTCTTGTACTTACATAATACTTCATCCATAAACCTGCTGCGAAATGCCACGTACTTCTGAAAGAAAAACGCCACTTGTTTACGCAATTCAGCTACCTTCTCGGGTCTACGATCAAACACGGCGTCTTTGTCAGTGCTTTCGGGTTCAGCCGCGGAGGCACATATTGAAAAGGAGTGGAAAGCAGGGGAGAAGCAATATTAACTTTTCAGGGGAGAATGGAAATCGTATCATAATTACTAGGTTAGGTTAGGTGTGGGTCCACTAGATAAACCAGCAGACTTCAGTGGCTACTGAAGAGCCCTGATGTTTCATTCAAAGTTAATCCTAGTCTTGCTGAATTCTCAACCCCATAAGTCCTTCATCTCCGCAAAAGCCACCTTTGTCCTATTATTCGGCGCTCGCCACCACCCGGTCGAGGTCCTCTCCCAGTGAAACAGGGTATCGTCCGCCAAAGCCGCCTGTTCTTCCATTAGAGCAGCTGTCCGCCATTCATGATCTTTCAAGTAACGTGTATCCTTGAAAAGTGATAAGTGAACAGGCCAACAGTTGGCTTAGTGGTTTAGGCGTTGGCCTGTTCATTTATCAAAAAGTATCGGAGAGCAGCAGTATGTATCTATTCCTTTCCCTTACTAGGATTATACAACTCCTCCTCCATCCGTTTCGTCAGCGAATAGCTCTGGTATTTGGTAGCCTGATTTTGATCATAAGGAAAACAAGAAGAGAATCCTTGTGATCAAATTCAGGCTACCAAATACCGGAACCATTCATCAATCAAGGATGCTTTCATCATCAAGGATCAATGCAGCGTCCAAAAATGTATCAGTATCTATTTTAAATTAGGTACAGCCATAATTCTTTCTGCTTCTTCTGTAGGAGTAGAATCTTCTTCGTTTCCTCAGATTCGAAGAAGTCCTGTCCAGAATTCTGAAACAACGACAAGTAAGCTTGCATTCCTAGGATGAATTCTCCTACGTCCCCACCAAGGGAAGAGTAGAGGACGAGGGCAGAATTCCTTGGAGATGAAGTTGGTTGTAGAGACTTCTGTTTCTGTAGAGGTCGTGTCTTCTGCTCGTCGTGGTGGTCCATAATTCTTGTACTACTTCTACTAGGTGTACTAGAGGAGGACCGAAACAGCTTTCGTGCCGTTCGTCCGTCTAGGCAATGGAGCGAGAACGGGAGTGCAGGTGTTTGCTGGCTGTTTATTTCGCTGGTAGGTCGTGTAGCACGACTGGCGAAGATGATTAGAAGATGATAGAAAGTAAGAAACAACCAGTGTGCTTGCATGAAAATGTAGGAAGCGATGACTTCAATGAATAGCAATACGGGGGAATGTAGGAAGCGATGACTTCAATGGCCGCAAAAGCAATACCACTCTACTTCTAGTTAAAAAAAATGGACAACTTTCGAAGAACGAAGCCTTAATAACGAAATAGGCGCATACACCAGCGTTGACTGTTTCTGCAACAAGACAGAAGTTGCTGCACACTGAGCGGCCCGTTCACTCCTCCAGGGTGAGAAAAGATGGACTACTTCTGCTTTACTCAAGACGTTCTGAGGGTCCACACTTGTTGACAACGTTCGATCCTCGCCTACTCTTGTCACTTCCAGGTTTGAAACTAGTGTCCCTTCGGGTGGGGAGACGCGGTTTATTGCTTGTAGTTCTTGTTGCTCCTGCTGCTTGACTACTTTGACTCCTCCTGTAACGCGCTCTTCTCTTGAAGAACTTGGATCTCCTTCAACATCTTGATCTTCTTCGTAATCCAACTCTCTCGGTCTCCTGCTTGGTCTCCTGCTTTTTTCTCGTCTAGGTTGTACAGCTTCTTTTTCTTCTCTCACCATTGCTTCCGGTGCTGCAAAAAGCTGCTCCCATGTTGGCCAGGCTGCTACAATTAAAGGTCAGCAGTCAGCGGTTCCTGATTCTGAAAGAAAAGGGCCCCACGCCTCTCCCGTTGTTTTCCCTTCATTTCCCCCTGTTCTCATAAGGGGTCGCCTCTTCGATCTCAGTGACCAACCCCAATGACCGTTGAATGTTGAGCCTTAATACAAGAGCAGGAGATCCTCCTCCACACAGGACGACTGCTATGTGGAACATCAAGGCTTTCCTCGGCAGGAGCAGGAGTTCTTGGCCTTTCATCTTGTAGAGGCCTTCGAGAGGCTATGTTGACTAGGATATCAACTACGACAACATTCTTCTTGTTGGTTCTATATGCATAGAGGTGGTAGCCAATCACGACGATCGGGTGATAGTTGTACTTTTTGTACTTAGAAGACTTCTAGAAAGATGAAATTTTCTGGTACATCCTATTTTCTTTTTGTTTCCCCAGCTTTCGTCAGTTTTCATTCTTGTCACTTTCAATTACAGACACACAGATGAATAGGTTGTCTTGCGATTTTTCTTTTCTTGCTGCGTTTGAAAAAGTCATCGTGCAGCACGACGTGGACGTGGTCCAGCTCCTTAGCCATACAACTATTGCTTTGTTGAGCTTGAGATTATCCAAGAACAACCGTAGTAAGTGGCGCATTTCGATTTCCTCTACAAGGATCCAGTGTATGGGTTTTTGTGCAGAGTGGTCATGGTCATGGTTACAGCCTCCAGTGTCCTCTTTTCTAAATACCTACATTATGTTTCTGATTCTATTCAAGCATTCATAATGCCATGTTGCTTCTACATATGCCAGCAAATATGCGATATTCATCTTCCCTGACACCTTGGCTTTCAATCAGTCAAATGCATTTGATATAATCCATTTTACACCTCAAGTAGCTCTTGCTCTCCTTTACCACAAGTAGCTCTCCTTAACCTCAAGTAGCCAACGAAAATTTTAGGAACTGTGCAAACATTGGCCTTATATCAGCGCAATTTATATATAAGGTTTCACAGCTCGCATGGCATGGAGCGCATGGATCACATGGAGTAGCATGGAGCTAAAGGGGGAGCTTCTTGCGCCCCTTAAAGCTCTGCGCTCCATGCGCTCCATGCTACTCCATGCACTCCATGCACCATGCGTGCTATAAACTACTCTGTTATATATTTAGTAAGTAGCGATATAAGTGCATTTATTGCATTTATGCAACGCTTTTTCCATCAACGAGTTATGCATTGATTTAGTATCTTCTACTCAATTTCTTCATTTTCACACGTAATTAAAAGAATCTTAAGCGGCCTCTTGCGTCACATTCTTATGTAAGTCAGTCCCCTTCGGTTATCTCCGTCTTCAACGCCAGCAATCCGAGTGTAGTACATGGGCTCGCTGTCAGGCACATCCATTCCATGATAAAACTCAATTCTCGCCTCTTCACTGCTTTCAAATTCGATAGGTAATCGAGCAGCTTCCAAGAATGAGTGAAGCATCGACGGCGGAGCTGAAGATGGCGATGTTTCAGTTTTTGAAAGAAAAGGCACAATTTTTCCATTTTCCTTGATTCAAATTGGAAGTGTAGCTAATATGCTTTGTGCTACACGGCCAACACGGGTGAACACAGTCTGCAGCTGATTGGGTCGTGGCGGATACAAAGGCACGCAAAATAGAAGGAAAGAAACAGCCAAGCGAATGCGGGAAGCAACAACACGCGCGGCAACCTTTTCTAGATCAGCACGGGGGCAAAGAATAAACAGAAGGACGGCCCGCCCGAGACTGAAACTTAGCGAGCCCGCGCAAGATTATCGGCCACCCTTCTGCTATAAGATGATGCACCGCGCGGCCGCGGCGCCCTCACCCCCTACCCACACCGCCAGCAACCTAAGACAAGAAAGAGAGACCAAAGCCACTAGCGTAGCCGCAAAAAACATTATCAAAGTACGAGGCGCACCCCCCCTTCCCGGGTCCGCTCCACGCACATCCTTCGGCCCTGCCTGGGAATCTCCCGCCTTGGTCGGGCCCAGCCAGCCCGCCATCGCGGCGCCGGCCCCGCCCCTAGCACAGGCCGCCTGCAGTAGTCTGCTACCGCTAGACCGTCCCGCTGCTCTTTTGGCGAAATGCGGCGAGCCCGTCCGCTGTCGTGGCGCGTCAGCGCGCGCACACCTCCACTCTCTGGGCCTTTTCCTTTATAGTGTGACAGACCTCCAAGGCCACCCCTGATCCCTGTCCCCTCGACGTCGACACACTTTCACGCGAAGGCCGCTAGCGGCGTGAGGTGAGCCGGGTGCAGCATACCGAGAGCCCACATTCGCAGAAATGACCAGCATCACCCGGCTGGTCCAAGTTGATAAACGACGCCGCTTGGCCATCCGCCTAGGGAAATTGCGGCGCAGCGCGCACGCTGTGGCGTGGGGGGCCAGGCGCGGCCACTGGTCCGCGTCGGGCGCAGTCACAGGTCCGCGGGCGCCCCTGCCCACCCGTCGCACGCGCTGCACGCTGAGACACTCAACCGTGGCCGTTTTGACTCAAGGCACCACGCTGCGCACAGCCCATGCTGCTCATATTTGTTTGGATTCGAGCCACCGCGATAGCGCCAGCGCTATCAGGCGGCACTAGCCCAGCCCCATGCACGGCAAGCCGCGCCTTCCCACTGGCAGGGCCCAGCGCCTTAGCCATCGCTCCGCCGTCCTTCGTTGCGAGTGCCTGCAACTCGGGGGGAGCGCGGTGCTTCGGCCCGCTGCCGTCGATTCTCTGCTATACCAGTACCGCGCGCGGTCGAGTTCTGGGCCTTCGCATACTTTTTGCGCGCGAACACAAAGGCGCCAGCGAGCTGAGTAACCCCCCATACGCAGCACCCTACTACACAACGCCAGAGGCACTCCGATGAACAAAGGGCAGGCCTTCTCAATACACAACGGCAGCGGCCGGCAGCGGCACGAATCTCCCGTAGACGCCCTCAAACAGCCGCGCAGCGCGGAGAGGCGTATGCGCGGCCCTCTAAATGCATGGGGGGGCTGCTAGGTGCCGCGCGCTGCGTTGGCGGCCTTAAGTGAGCAAAACAACAACGGCGGGCCCCGTTTAAAAAACAAAACAGCGAAGGGGCAGGGGGGACACAATACCGGGGCGCCGCAGCGGTCCCAAGTCTGACGGAAGCAGGACCACACACGCAGCCTCCTCGCCAACGTTTCCAGCCTTTCTGCCTCCTCCCCACCGAATGCCGGAGAAGTGACGGCGGACGAGGGGCCCAGCCTGAGCCCTCGATGTTGAGAGAAAAAGAAGAAAAGGGCAAACTACAAATTAGAAATACCGTCTGCCCTCTTGCTCATTTTCAGTTCGCGCATGCTGCGCAACGACTCCAGTTTCACCAAGCTCATCTCATCCTTCAGTTTCGCCGTGGCGCCTGGCTTCGCAAGCTCCTGGACCTCAGTCTCCAGAAAGTAGTCTCCCAATCCAGGTCCAAAATTCCCGAAATAAAGCATATGGTGTAGCCAATGGCGTCTAGGGCCTGGAATCACACCAGGCCAAAAATCCAATGCAGCGTGGGTGTGAACTCCATCCCACTCTACAAGGAATAACCACGTCCAAACCGTGAGCCAGTTTGCGGAGAGGGGATTAGAGAGGAGGGAGACGGCTGAATGGAAGTAAGCACTTCTCTGTTGTAAGTAGTTTAGTTCTTTGACAAAGACCATGAATCTTCTTCCTAAGCTTAAAAATCAAGAAAGTTTTACTTCTTCGAAATCACAAAGACCAAGCAAAACATCTGTCGTGTCTCCTGTCGTCCATATGGATCCATGAGTCCATAAATAACAATGGTGGCAGGAAGATCGGGAACCACAGTTCCATGAAGAGATCGATGATGTGCATGTACCAACCCCCGGCTGGCAAACTTCCGCGCTGACTGTGATGTTGCTTATGCCAGAAGTAGAGGTGCGTATGCAACAACCGATGTCCGATAGAGAGTAAGATATCGAAGAGAATCATGTAGATGAGCACGCCAAACAAGACTTCGTAGAGGGGAGCGGCTGGAGTACTCCAAGGTCCCTCCTTTTCGTGGCCCTGATCATGTTTGAAGAAATTCAATTTTTACGCATTGGAAATGGAATTGGACCGTAAATCGACTAGAAGTTGTAGTGAAAAAATCAAAATGACTTGCTTCTCGTCATCAAGCAACTGTAAATGAGATGAATACAGGGATCCGGATCATATTAATCAACAAGGTGCTCAAGAAAGAGTTATTGTATTATACCTCTCCAACCTCTTTTCCTTCCTGAAACCGCCAACACAAGGCCGCGACTCCGAAATACACCACTTGATTTCGCAAACAGTTGGCCCACAGGTCCCAAAAAGTCAGTTTTTCCCCAATGAACTTCGGCAAGCTATACAGCTCACGCATTTCTGCACTTAATCCATGAACTAGAGAAAACTTTTCCAGCACACCAGGAACCGCTTGCAAGGCCATGTACCCAAAAATCAAGAACCATGCCCAACAGAAGGTTGAGGCAACCACTAAGGAAATGCGGTCCCATACTGAAAGGTTGGCGCCGAGGTGGCCGAAGATGGTGGAGAAAATGACGATGAAAGCGGCATAAAACAGGTAATCTTGAAGGAAGGGGAGGAGCCACTCCTGTGGCAATCTCCGGAGCTTGTCGAGGAACGAAACGAAACCCATTTTTGTGGTCAGTCTTTATTCTGTAGTTAGTACACTTGATGGAACTGCAATTATACTGGTGGGAGTGGAAAAAGAAATGACAATATTACACGTACATACAGCTGACGACACTGTAAATCTATCGTTGTTGTTGATCTTTCGGCGTGAAACGAGCGGAAAGTCGTTTCCAGCCGACGCATGCACCAATTATAAGGCACTAGCGCGGCATGGCAGTCTCTTCATGCTCGGGACGCTTCATCCTGCTACTCGGCATAGAAAGACCATCATGGAAACGCACTTCGTGTTCGTGAGTCACTGTTGCATACCTTAAATTTTCAGTTTATATTGAGTCGTCCCTCCAGCTACTAGCTGGACAAATTGTTTCACTCTATACTAAGCTATCAAATAATGCAACAAGTGCAACTCCAACTGCAAGCTTCTGTGATACTTCCCCATCAACCGCTCCTCTCATCCGGGCTCCCACCTGCGTTAAGTAACTGGCTCATTTTCAAGGACGCGCCAGCGTAAACCACGTTGCTTCGTGGACTCTCTAGCAAGTTCCGGACACCCTCTAGCATGGGATGTTCATCTACTGGGTGGTCCCTACCCTCTAGCATTGGATCATGTTCATCTACTGGGTGGTCCGTAGGGACTGGGAGGCTGTTGGGCTTGGGTGGAGGCGAGGGGACCTTAATATTGTGGTGACCACACTTACCAGCACTTGAAGATGATGTACTACTTTTGTTTGTCTTTTGCTTCACCGAGGAAGACGATGGCCCACCTGATGGTGCTGTCGCATTGTTAGTGGAGGATGAAGAAGCTGCTTTTTTAATTGCAGAGGCTGATGCCGTGACTCCTGTTGTACAAGTAGCCGCATTTGCATTTTTGATGGGTGGCAATATCGGATTCTTTCTATTCGTTGTAATCGTCGAAGTAGCAGTCACACGACCTCCAACGATGGTCGCGGCAGTATTCCTACTAGATGTACGAAAACCCGAACCCTGTTGCTTATTCGCGGCAAGGCCAACTGCTGAAGCACCACGCCCACGACCGGATGCTGCAGCTTGTTTTGCTAATGGTGCGACGCCGCCTTTTGAGTTTGTGCCCATCTTTGCAATCGACGCATTCCCTTTCCTTGGTGGCACAGCAGGAGTAGCTATCTCACTGGCCGTGGCCTGTTCATCATGTTCTATTGTTAGATAATAATAAGCCTGAGGAGGCTAATCGTAAGCACCTCTATGTGGCTTTGTACGGTTTCCCGAGGGAGAGAGGAGAAAAGATGAAGAAAGAAAAAGGAAAACTGATACTCGCTTCGCCATAAGCACCTCTATTGTTAGATAAAAAATTTTGAATAGGAGTTAACAAGAGTAAGGGTAGAGAAAGAGATCAATGTATGTTGAATAAAACTGAGGAGATCTTCTACTTTCTCTTCTAGCAAGTCTTCAACGTAATTACGAGCCCTTTCTTAACTCTTCTTCTTAGTTAGTAAGTAATTACTAGCTTAGTTTTGGAATGGAGTTTCGCCCTGACCAGTGTTCCGAAACTGTCGATGGGACTATTTACTAGCTTATTTTTGACTAGCCTTTTCTTAACTCTTCTCCAATCACATCCTTCTGTGGATAGTTGTGTGTCGCTGTGAAGAGTTGTGATAGGTAGCTGCCGAAAGCAGGCGAAAACTGCGACGTCGCACTTCGCATAGGCGAGGACGGTGAGGGGACACCTGTTGAAGATGGCGCTTCGGAAGTGTAAAAGACACCTAGCAAGAGAACAACCATGCGATAACCTTGGTTACATCAACGATGACGTTACCTACTTGATGTTCAGCAAGAAATTATGCAATAAATCGATTATAAAAGCACCAATCATGATACCTAAAGTCGACGCCCCTCCTCCCCCCGTTCCTTCCGCTATTGCTCCCAATGACGTCGAAGGCAAAAAAGCACCAGGACTTGCAAGACCGCCAACCATAGCTAGAGTGGCTCTACCTGCAGGGCTTGTGGTTGCAGATCCCTGGATCATGGGATTGCTATGAATCGTTGGAGATGCCATGTTGATTAGACGAAGACTTTCCTTTGTTTACTCCTACAACTCCGCATTTTTCATTTTCTTAACTAGTACCCTCTATGAAAATCATTTTAGATCTACTACTTAGTCAAAAATCTTAAAATTAAACTGGTGCCTAATTAAAGTTAAACTGCCATAAATTGATACTTCTCCCAGGCACTCCAGCGTCATCCGGAACATCACCACCACGCTCACCGAAAGAGGCCACATCGATGCCTGGAACGCTCTTGCCTGCACTCCTTCCCCTAGGACTCGTATTAAAGGTCATTAGTCAGAAGTGGTCACTGATTATCAAAGTTTCACTGCCAGAAAGTCACCTGTAAAGGGCAACACGACAACGAAAAGGTGGAGGCACCTCTTCGATCTCAGTGACTAACCTCAACTACAGTGACCAATGAAAGTTCCGATATTCCATGTTGACTTCGAACCTCAGTGACCAATGACAGTTGAGCCGTAATCCTAGATTCTTCTTGTACCTGCACCGAAGCGAAGATCCCCACTTGTTCTTGCTCTTGATGAAACGCTGCTGCTTCCTCTATCATCAGAAGCAAGTGGTCAATAGCCAGACCACTTTGCTCTTCCAGCAGTGCATGCCAGACTTGTTCGGCACCGCGCTCTGGAACGATCATGTCACGCACTTCTTCAGCCTCCTCCCAAATGGATTTGGAGTTCGTTCCTCCAGCACCGCTGTATCTAGCGGATGTGGAGGTGCTTGATACGAGTTGGTTGTCGACATTTCCAGGTATTAGAGCAGCTTGCGAAACGACCCAGACCTTTTACGAGGATTATACCAGTGGAAGTACTTGATCCTGTTGTACTCGATGTAGTACTTGATGCTGATGTGCATGATTTCAACTACTGTGCATCCAAACGATCTGACCAGACCCTTGTCTTGCCTTAAATCCAATTCCTGCTGTTTCTGTCGTCTCAAGTGCGCCAAAACTGAGGAAAGCCCTTTTGTCCACAACTCTTGCTGTCTGCGGATGCCCAACCTCGCTCTGTAAAAGCGCTGTAAGCTGATAGCAGCTCCATGATGACGCCGTAGACGATGCAACTCGGAGGATGAAGGGTGGATGGGACGAAAGAAAACACCCACGCAGGACGGGTGCTGGAGTCAACTTAGGTAATAATTGGAATAGGTGTAATTACATTTTCTGCTGCTCTTGAGTGCTGTTCTGTAGTATTTTTGGTGCAGGTAGAGATATCATCATGACCACGACCACCTCAAGATGAACCATTACCATAAAGTAATCGCTTTGTGTCGTTTCCAGTTTGTACTGATAATCGTCGCCGCTTCGACCTCATTTTCTTCTTGCCGCCTAATGAAAAACAACCGCTTCCAGACCCAAATCTTCCGCCTGATCACTCCTCCACGCCAAGTCGCTTGAATCTTACGAGCTGCTGCTACGCGAGCCTCCGATGCTCCTTCTCCAAATAGCAAGACATGGCACTCTTGCCGCAATCGCAGCAGCTGAGCTTGTAACAGGACCTCCTTGTCCAACCTCAAGAGCCGTGTTTGTTCTTCGGCATACCACGGAAGCAGTGTCAACTTAGAGGTAGGTTTTTGGTGCTCGCTTACGCCGCTTGTTGTGCCTTTCTCCCTTAGGAGAGGCATAAAAAGCGGTAAGAAAAGCACCTTTAACCTACCCTTAATCAACTTCAGGTGCTTCCGCACAAAATAGCCACGAACCGCCTTCTGAATCTTCACTGCGTTTTTCACCCTTTCTCGATCCCTCCTTTCCCGTAACACATGGTCTTCCCCATGCTGACGGAGAAAGGATTCCTTCGTACGCGTCCAAAGTCGGATTTGAGCGAGCTTGCGGTCTTGGACTTGCCGCAAAATGGACTCTGTCCGACGAATCTCCACATCTAGAAGATCTAGCTCCCTTTCCTTCTCAGCAATGGAGGCAGTAGATGCAGCGACTGGCGGACAGGAGTGGTGGTGGGGACCGCGTTGGACGCCCATGCTTGAAAATCGACGATGGTTACTAGGATGGAATCAAAAGGGATGTTGACTACAACTCTCCACCGCTTGTGTCACGGACCGCGTACCAAGGTCGGCGGCCTCTTCCGCGTATCAGGTTTTCACCTCTTCACCGCGACATGTTCTTGTAGAACTCTACTATCTTCTTACGTTATTATTTCAGTTGTTCGCAAAAAGAGCATGGAAGAGGAAGAGCTCACAAACACAACCGGCGTTCACGCAGTTGTTACGCAGGATTGAGGGTTTTCTTTTTCACATCTTCACACCCCGAATCATGTGTAAGTAAGTGTAATGCATCGCCAGCCGCCTGCTGACTCAGCGACTTGACTGAGGTCCTCTCTACATTCTTACTCCTTCGAAATACTGATCTTAGAAAGTCCTAGGTTCATCTTATTACAACTCCATCGGAGATATTCAGTATGAGTTTGCTAGTTTGACTTTGTCTTCATCATGTTCATGATTAAGAACTGAAAATGCCATCGTTTTAGAGTTCTTGGATTATGTTGATTAAATTGATATCCAAATGCTAGAAGTACTTCGTGAACAGGACACGTCGATGTCGATGATGATCATGCCACCGCCGCGGAGATCATGACATGTGTTTTGACTATTATTCTACCTGCTGGTCCATCAAGAAACCGTTCATTTATGCACGAAAACTTCGTATTTTTGGCCAAGGTTTCCCCTGCCCTCGTAAACCGCTGAGTACTCGGCACTTCGCGTCAAGGAGCTTGCGTCGACACTAAAGCCGTCCAAGCCTTTCTCCACAATCACTCCCTTACTCACGAATTCGCGAAGCTGGTTGATGGTTGTGTGGGTTATATTTGGAAATCAGTAAGGGGTTGCTGCTGCTAAGTTACAAATGGAGGGACGCGTCATCTCGGAACTATTCAATAGTAAGTACTATGCAGGAGCACATCACAACATTGGGCTGCAACATCTGAATTCCAACAGCAAAACTACTACAAGCCGAAATATTAGTACCTTCGCTCCCTCAAATTCCTTAAAGATCGTATCGAGCATCATCGGACATTGCTCTGAGAGACAGAGAATCCAGTCATACGCGATATCACCGTCTCCCAGCCTGCTTGGTGCGACATTCTCTCCTAGTTGATGGACATTGCCGAAGGGGCCGTTAGAGAGAGAGAGAGGAGTGAATGATTCATCGAGGATAACATTTTCTTTTCAAGAAAGATTCAATCTTTGGTGGCGTGAGGTGGTTCTAAGATAAAGGTTCAGATTCAGATTGATCCAGAAATAGAAAAATACCTCGAATACTTCTACCAACAGATTTTCTTCATCGTAATATTGTGATTTTAAAAATAATTTTCATCGTCCAAGAACCATAATGATCAACTCCACATCGCTGCTGTAATCGTACGCATGCGCCTGGACCCAGCCAGTCTCGTTCAGCCATCGGGATAAATCCCCTGTCCCAGCGCCAAGCTCCACAATCAGATCATTCTTGGCAAAGATCTCCCGCATTGTGGCTCTTACTAGTTCTCGGTCAAAATCCGTCTCTTTGAAAGTTTGGCGACGTAGCAGTTCGACGATGGAGAGGACCTAGTGCTGCTGGAAATTGAGGAAGGTTTTTATCCTTGTGAGGACTGGTGAATGATGTTGACAGAATGTAGTTGAGGACTCGTGAATGATGCTCGTAGTTACTGCTGCATTTAAAGAACAATCAAAATCAAGTTGTAGAATTAGAAATGAACAACAAACTGGAAAAGAAAAACCAATCATCAAAATCACGTTTACCATCATTACCTTAGGTTTCTCGTATTTGTTGTAAGCCACTGCTTCTCTGGCAGCTACACCTTCCTCTGACGCGGTCGTAACGTTTGGCGGGATCCATCCCTCAAAAATCGACTCAGTGGTGTCCAAATCTCCTCTAAAAACTTGGGAGCTTTCCATTAGCCATTGCGTCGCCGCACCACGGTACATTTCTGGGGTGTTCTGCATCATGTACCAGAGGTATTTCAGCTGGTTACTCATCAGCTGATGGACCCTCCGCAGAGAGACGAAAAACAGGAGATGGACCGCAGGTTCGCGAAAGCACTCTTGCCGGAGGACGCCGAGTCCGGAGTTCACAAAGATGAAGGATGGGATGGAGAATGACATGGGTTGGAGGAGGTGGAACAAAGAAGTTGTAGATGAAATATTAGGTTTAGGAGGACAAGTGAGATATTAAACATCTTCAGTCTGTAATCAATGATCGGATCAAGCTTTTTGATGCTTTGTTTTTAGCTCTCCTCTTATTGTTGTTTTTCTAATTGAACACGTGTTACTTGTTTTTGGTGCTTTTTCAGTTATTAGCGCTTAGGTTACTGCGTCCCCCTGCTCGTGCAACTACAAATGTACCTTTTTAGCAAGTGCAGTTAGAAAATGAATCTCAACCCTCGTCATAACATGCACACTCGCACTAACCAGAGAGGCCGCTCGATTCACATGTGACATGATCCAAGGCATTTCTCCAAAGCCTTCGGGTAGTTGAGCTTCGGTCACGTTTGTTAAGGTTGCGCCATCCTTCGCGGGGTCTTCTCCCTCTGTGATTTCGGCTGGCGCTGGAACGGTGGTCATATTTGAATACGTATGAAACAGCTCTTGCTGGATGCGGTCGCGGGAGTTGTACCTTGTTGGAGTTGGAGATTTGAGATTGATGTTGTTTTGTTATTGTTTACGGGATTGTTGTTGTTGTATACAGTTATTAAAGTTAGATTGCTGGATTCTTGGACAAAAGCTAGTACTTGTAACATTACAACGGGTTGTTTCAGCACTTCTTTTGGCTTCATGTTGTAGATCGTGTTGCAGTTGCTTACAAGCGATCATGTCCAAAACCGCATTACTGCATCAAATTCATCAAACGAGAAAGCAAATTACATGAAATTCGCGAAGTCCTCACAATCCCAACTCGTGTTTGCGGCATGCTGAAGTTGCCTGTCCCAGTCTAGGATGTAGTGTCTCATTCCACCTACCATCGCGTCTGCCGTCATACATTGTGGATTGCCTGCGGCTACTGCGGAACGCGACAGATAACTCGCAGAAAGGAGGAGGGACGAGTCAGATTAGAGAGTTTCTTCTTGAAGACGAAGAGTGTGGGGAAAAGTGGGGAAACATTATGTTCCACTTATTATTTCGGGTTCCCAACTTACTGATCATCATGATGTCCAAGCAGATGGCATCAGTATTCCAATTGGCCATAACATGTGGCAAAGAAACAGACTCTTTTATTCTTGCCCCTCATTGTCCGCCTTTCCTGCTTCGGTAGTTTTGCCGGTGGTTCTACTGGCATTTCTTCCGAATCGTTGAACGGAGCAGAGGTTCTTGCTTGTCTCCTCTCGTCCTCGGTAGACAACCTTGGCCCACTAGGCGACAACTCAACCTCTGGCAACCTGTTCGCGGTATGGCCACTTGAAAAACCGCGTTCATGTACCATATCCCCACTCCCGCTACGTCGCTTGTGCATTGAAGAGGACGACGAGGACGCTTGTAAGAACGTAGCCATGGTCTTTTTCATATGATTCGCGACGTCGTGACAATGGGTATCCTGTAAGGTCGTGGTCATGCTTCATTGCGACAATCAATCGCAATCGCGATCCGGATCTTCCTCCAGGATGGCAGATAATTAGAAAAACTCAGGCAAAAAAATCGATCATTCCTCTCTCCTCTCCTCAGAGCAGCGGAGACACAGGAGAGCTGGATCATCTTTTCGATTACGCGAACAAAATGGAAGCTTGCAGCTGTGTGACAGCAGTTTTCTCACTCCGCTCCGTTCTTTCTTTTGTGAGGACAAGTCTTATTTTCAGTTACTGTGCCATTGCTGTACTACGACATCGTTGATTGATTGAAAAATCAAGAGTCTCTTTTTTATTGCCTGAATGGCTGTCGTGTGTCAAGAAGGTCAGAGAGAACCAACTACGTAAGTTTAAGTTTTTTCTTGCTTCTAGTCATATACATATTTATAAAAATCACAAACCCTCTTGCTACATCTTCTACTTCTTCCGCGTCGCCGGAGGACACAGCATCTTATCTACCCAGCGTTGTGGCAGGAAGCGTCGCCACATTCGCTGCGCTACGTTGGCGAAGAAGTTGTGTCGCCCAGCAACTGTGCCGATCGTGAGGAGGATTACGGGAGGTTAGAATGGGGCGTCTACTAAAGTGGGCAAGTGTGCCGATCGTGAGGAGAATTACGGGAGGTTAGAATGGGGCGTCAGTCTACTAAAGTGCTCAAGAGGTGGTCTGAACCTTCTACTTCATATATTCTGAGTCCTCCTTCTAGTGGGGTGCTGCTGATCTCGAAGATCCGTGCGTGTATGTGTATGGGTCCGGTATTTGGTAACTTGAATTCGATCACACGGGTTCTCTTCTGATTTTCCCTTATGATCGAATTCAGGTTACCAAATACCGGAAGCATTCAGTAATTTTTGTCTAACACGACTTCGTCATAAGTGTATATCGGCGAGACCACGGTGAGAGAAAGAACTCGGTAGGAATTTGGTCCATCCTTCAAGCTTCCTTGAACTCCACACTTTGCAAGCGCTGGTCGTACCAAAGTGACGGATGTCGTGCCGGTTATCTGCAAAAAGAGAAATCGATTGCGATTTTCAAATCAATAAAGGTACTTCATCTTCATCCAACATAGAGACACATAAAGACAAGCTAGTTGTACTTGGCGCTCGATTATATCGATCGTTAACATACTAGCTCATTTATAATAGTGCATTTTCTGAATGTCAGACCACGATAATCATCCGTACTTACACCGAGTACAGTCTTAACAATCAGTACCGCAAACACGGTGCACTTTATCAACGCATCCAAGAACCACCCCCGTGACCATCGCTTGTGTTCCTCATGGTCTCGCGTCGTCCACCGCCAGAAGTCGTCGAACCTGTCTGGGAGCATCTTCATCATACCACAAGAGGAAAATTTCCTCCTTGTCAAGAAGGTCTCGGTGCTGCACGTTTGTGATGCTCGAAAGCCCCGCTGCAGTGATGGAACGCAAAAAGCGGATCGACTTGTTACGGATCGCCCTGCTCCAACGTTGAACGACGGTGGCAACGTATTGCGTCTCAAGAAACCCGCGGATCGAGAGGCAAGCGATTGCACCTTGGCAGTCATCATTATTTGGTCAAGTAGCGCTACAACTCAGTCTAAAACTGATTCCACGCACATTACGTAAATGACTATATATATTTCTTATGCTGGGGAGCGGGAGGACACGTAATGGCTACACTCAAAACTACAGCACTCCTGTGTACAAAATCGTACTCCACGAGATACGTGCGAGAGAGTGAGGTTGATCGCAATGGTTATAGTAGTTCTCACTCAACAACCAGGGTCGTCTGGCGTAACTCATTAAAGATAGGAGGCGCGTCTGCTCAGGAATGTTGTTGCCAATCTCGGTCTCTCGCTGTCTCTCTACTTACACTTGCTCGTCGTCTCTTTAGTACAGTGCAACTCCTGAATCGCTGCTGCTTAGATAAGGATGGTCAAGTCGAAAACAAACCTTTCGAGCATTTACCGATTATATGAAAAACACGCGGCGTTCTTCGGCGGGGACCACATTTCAAAGTGTGGCACTCCCGACCTCATCCGCAGCGGCTTTCTTCCATATCAATAATGGATTCCGGTATCCCACGAAGCCTATCAGTCTAGCACAAAGAGAATGCGGTTTTTGAAAAGAGGCTGTGAAGGGAGCAGCCAGCTATTGGGGCGTCATCGTTGGGGCGGCAGAGTATTTGCGACCTCATCTACAACGTGTAAGCTACACGAGTGACCACATGCTTTTGTGACATAGTCGCACATCTTCTAGGAAATACAACATATGCACAATGCCTGCAAAACTTCTACAACTTTGATTTTCTTGTTTCTTTTGACAATTGAATGAACAACAACGATTTCATACCCATCTTGTGATGAAGATGGTGATGAAGCAGCAACTTTTATTTCTAAGAATGTGAAAGGTAGTCAATCATGATCCACCTTATGTTGGAGATCCTGGAGTCGAGGATTTTCTATCATGGATGATATTTTTCTAGTATTTTTGGTCAACATGTAGTTCCTCCAACTTCTTTGATTACAACTCGTCCTTAGCAGGCTCCATTGGAAGTTCGCCGGATTTTTCGATAACCAGCTTGGCGGCTGGCTCACCAGAGGGAGAGCCTTTGCCCTCGATCTTCTTCACGACGTCCTGTCCCTCCAGGACCTCGCCAAAAACCACATGCTTTCCGTCCAACCACGGGGTCTTCACCTGTGTGGGTGATGTTGGGAACAATTCTCTTTTTTAAGTTACTTCTAAACACGAAGACAATGTCGTGAAGCATTACAAGGGCAATACAATACAATACAACTCTCGCACGAAGTTCAGTGCAGACTGCCTTAAGGGCGTCATAGATGGTACAGTACAAAACTCTTTTTTAAGTCACTTCTTAATTTGATCTACTTACTAATCTTTTGGTTTGATCTACTCATACTCGACTAGCAGAAAGCACATAGTAGAAGGTCACTTCTGGGCAGTTACAGGATCCCACTCTTCGTCTCAAATCAACAACAAAGTCTACAACAGCGACACGACCTACAGGATTGCCCACTATAAGTAGAGTATGAGTATGTCGTGTAGATTGGGACGCATAGTACAGAGTATGTTGTTGGGAGAGGATCATTCTAGTACGCGTAGTACAGGAAGAGCATCAGGTCATTTTGATCTTCAAGAGAAGGAATTAGAAAATCATAGAAGGAAAGAGCCAAGTAGAGGGATCAATCAAAAATCATGTAGAGGCAAACTCCTAAGTAGAGTTCTTATTAATTGGGGTTGGAAACTCCGTAAAAGTAAGGGGAACCGATTGCCACTTAGAGTGAAGTAGCTTTCATTAGAAAGTAATCAGCTAAGAATAAACGACGTGATTGTGTAAAAGTTACCGTGGTGATGAAGAACTGGCTTCCATTCGTTGCTGGTCCCGCGTTAGCCATTGAGAGGAGGTAGGGACGCTTGTGCTTATGTTTGAAACTCTCGTCATCGAACTTCTCGCCGTAGATGGACTCCCCACCAGTTCCATCTCCGTTGGTAAAATCACCACCCTGGATCATAAACTGCGGAATAACACGGTGGAAGGAAGAGCCTTGGTAGTGCAAGGGCTTGCCCATCTTGCCGGTTCCTTTCTCACCTGTGGGGTCGTTGGGGAACGAAGATGAGAACGGATGATCATGTTGTAGATATCACGGAGCGAGATGTGAGGTGGAGAGAAATAAATCAGCTGCATTAAGCAAAATTCGTAGCTAAGAACTCCTGTTGTTCAAAAGGAAGAGAACAAGATCATAGAAAAAGAATGTTGACGTTGTAACCCTACTTAACACGACATATTACCAACCTATAGTACGCAGTACCTGTGCACAATGCTCGGAAGTTCTCTGCGGTCTTTGGTACGGATTTTCCGTAGAGACCCATCACTATTCTTCCCGCATCTTCACCGCCAATTTTTACGTCGAAGAATACCTGATGGAAATTATCAAAGAGTTTCAAAAGAAATGAACAGGAAGGCCCATCAACATTTAAAATCTGAAAAACAACCCTTACCCTAACAAATGATGATAGACGGATCAACGTTTCTTGTTAGGAATGTCTTGCTCGGGCAAGTTCTGTTAGGGGTTTGTCTGCTCCATAGACAACATGAAAGGGTTCTGTTAGGGGTTTGTCTCGAGCAGATTGCCCTGGAGCAGTTCCAGCCTGTCGATGAAAAAATCGAATGACAACCATAACGAAACATCGAGTATACCACGTTGTATAAGAAGTACCTTGTTCGTAATTTTTGGGCCTTTCTTCTTTTCTGAACCCTTAGCAGACTTGGGCTTGTTAGCGACGACGGAGCTGGCGCCCAGCAGGAAAAGCACCTTGGACACGATATATCTCATCTTTGAAATGTTCTACACCGAGTGCGCAGAGGATGCCACTCTAGAATGCTAGCTAATACGCTAATACCTAGCAACAAGAATGCTAGCTACGCCTAGATGTGAGCTAAGTTCACGCTGTTGTGCTGCTTGTGGTTATGGGTAGATTCAAAAGTATTTATGTAGTCGGGTCCAATCCCTCATGATAGAGGTACAACCAGCGCACAACATCAGGACGGACAGGAGTTTACAGTGGCAGCGCCCGTGATGAAGATAATGTCGACGAGTAGAAATTTGACATTTAGTCACTTGCACATAGAGCAGTTGTTGAGTTAGTCTCTCGGCTTGTTGATATAATCAGCATCTATCGGGATGGTTGCGCGCCTGGTTCAGATGTTGGAACCGAGATGATTGACTCGTTCAGAGTTACTTTTTCTTGATGATCCTATTTCCACCGCAGGGATGTTTGTTATCCATGATCGTACCTCTAAGCCATTATGATCGGAACATCAACAGGATCTTCCACGATGAATTAACACACCGGCAAACACACTGTGATCTGGTATACAGTTGCATACCACAGTCAGCTGCAACTTTTGTTTGTCGCACAAAAGCAACATGGTCGACAACTTTATTCTCCCGCGTGAGGACTGTGGGCGACAGCCGCGTTCAAATCGAAATCAGAGGTAATATCATCGCTGATTCTAATTAATCGGTAGCGCTATGAATGTGCTTTCATGGTGGTGGGAATTGGGGGTTACGTGTTCCATGTGTTTCTGCCGTCGATGTTGTTCTTCTTGTTCTATGATCTTCTCCCCCTTTTAAGGACAACTTTCTGGTTGATGCGTCTGATCATAGTTGCAGGCAGCTGGTGAATAGGCTCCCCTAGGCTCTAGTAGTTCTGGTTGTGGTGAATAGGCTCCCCTAGGCTCTAGTAGTTCTGGTTGTGGTGAATAGGCTCCCGTAGGCTCTAGTAGTTCTGGTTGTGGTCAATAGGCTCCCCTAGGCTCTAGTAGTTCTGGTTCTGGTAGCTCTGGTAGGCCTGGTTGTGGTCTTAATGCTATTAGATGCAGACCACAGCCGGAACCTACAAATACTGGCTATTACGAAGATTTCTTGTCCGCGCCTCAGCACTTTGGTGCATCGATCAGTGGTTATTTGGGTATCATTGTCGGGTCATCCTCATGCTGGTCGTGTAGTGCCACTACATTTCCCAAGGCTAAGATCTTCTTTCAATGTGGACGAGCAATGAATAAACCGGCAAAACCATCAGATGCAACCGCAGCTTCTTTTCCTACCGTCCAGTAGTATACCCAATCGTCAGGCATAGACATAAGAGCAGGGGCACGATCGTCTTCACAGGAACCAGAGATGTAGGGGAATCATCCTGCTCTCCTTATTTACACAACAACCTCTTTATCCGCGGATATGTACAGCACATTGTTGCCTCTAAGGAAACAATCGTTTGAGTGTCGCGCAACACGCGCGCCAGCACTTGAGTATTCGGTGCTTCCAGGCGCCAGAACAACGTTCATGTACCTAGTAGATATTTTTCATCAGTCGACCGAGTGAATAAACTAGTTGTAGTTGTAAATGCAATATGCTTATATCTGTAATAAATAGTTGCTGTTGTAAAAATATGCATATTTTTTGTAACTGCTCTTTAATACAACGCTTACTTGTAACTAGTATGTACTACTCTTTCTTCAAGTTCAACGTCGAGTCATTGATTCAAGCTACATTGTCCTAGCAGCTCTAACCACCAGCGATCCTTACCCATCCAAACACACCAAGCTCCCACGAAAGTCGGCTCCGCTGTTGAGCTTCACGACTACTGGCTTCCCAACCACGCCTTGCGTGAAGTCCAAGGGACTCCGTCTTGACGCCATGGTTTTAGTCTGGTTGTGGTTCTCTGAGTTTGATGTCTCTGGTAGATCTTCTAGCAAAGAAAAATAATTCTTCTAGTTGTTTCTACTAGAAAATGCAGCTGCACAATGACGCTGCAGAAAATCTAATCGAAGATAAACAAAAACCTCCAAGCTTGTGGTCGTGGTACTTCTTGCAGTTTGAAAATATACTTAACCATAACCTGTTTCAAAAGCACGAAGAGAAATGACGGTCTGCAAAGCCAAAGGTGAAGCTATTTTCTACTCACCTTGCGTTTGCTGACGATTAGAAACGATGGCGTAAATCTACTCGGCAATCTGCCTAAGATTTCCCTGCTGATGACAAATAGAAATTGAAATACCAAGAACATAATCATTTGATCAGCGGATCTCTTTTCCATGCCGACGACGAGGACCACATCTAGAACTAGATCAACAGATTCAATACGAATTACTGATGTTCTACTTCGCTTACTATTTGATTCAACAGAGCGGCGTCTTCGTGGTCACGAAACTTGTTTCGCGGAGTGTCGCACGAAACTTGTTTCGCGGAGTGTTAGCGACAAGGACCTCCACAAGCAGGACCGAGTCGGTCAACAATTTCCCATTCTTTCAAATCTCCCCATAGAGAGGGCAGCTATCATTTTCTCTGAGTTGGAAACAACCATCTATAATCCACCGTAGCAGATCTGCTTTGAAATTTCAATTTTCCAAAATCTCTGTCAAGAATTGCTTGAGTCAGATTCTGATTCTCGGATAAAAATCATAGTCGCCGGAACTGGCGCAGGAGCTACGGTGGCCAACGGCTAGAATTGCTACTTCTAAATTGTTCATCTTGGAGGATTTGACTGACAGACTCTACTACGCAACAACGGATCATATTGTTATCCAGATCATATTGTTATCCAGATCATCTTTAGTAGTTGTACTAGGTGTAATATATTTCTATCTTTGATGAGGAAAAAATTATAGAACCACTCGCGGCATAGCATGGGTACTAGTACTATTGATTTGGAAAACGAGTTGAGTAGTTCATAAACAACAAAATATGTTGCCCTGCTCTGGAAAAGGTTGGTTCCATGTAGTTGCTATCGCTTTGGTTACCTTCTACAAATTTGATGTTAGCATCTTTACCTTGTGAAAAAAAAAAGCTGTGGTCCGCTTGCCGATCCGTTTATACGCAACAAAAAATGACTCTGAAAATTTTGAGTTTGCTGTCATAATCATTACGATCGTCATAGTATGGAAGAGTTGTTCCCCAGATGTGTGAGGACTAACTATTCTCTGCTGCTTTTGCAGTCGAGTCTCATATTGATATAATAGAGGACATTTATTTAATCCACCACCTCCCCAACTTTCTGCTGGGCATTACCATTTCCGAACCCCGAAAGGCAACAGCTACCGTTTCCCAACCCCTCGTGACATGATGTTGTCCAGGATACTCCCACTCGGCCTCGGACGCGCATAATGATGCTGCGGGGAATGATCTGGCGTTGACCAGGTGGCGCCAGGTGACATTGCGCCGGGAGATGAAAGGGAAAGGGGGGAAGGGATAGAAGATAGGATATTGGGGGTGTGGCTGGGGTGCGGCGCACATGCCCAGAAATCACAGTCACAAGAACAGACGAAGGGGGTTAATATGGCGGGCGGTATACTAAAAATATAGTATGACCCACATTTTTTCCAGGATGCTGCCCGACGAAATATTTATAACTACTTTCTCTTGACTGAACGAGATTTACCTGCACGAATCCAGTATGTACTCCCTTCGCAGTGATGATATTACGAGGAAAGCTACTGAAGACCACTACTAAACACCAATTCCGCCATACATCTCTTCCCATGGCTGAAGATTCGATGGCTTTTCGCCGCATCAACAGATCGTACAACAGCATCGGTTCTTCTTAACGCTCTCCGCAATTCAACATCTCAAAATGCTGCATCCTTAAAAAGTGTGCCAGAGTTGTACCGTAGTGAGATACTGATACTCCCGCATACGACGTTTCAAGGATGCAGTCAAAGATGCATTAGCTACTTACAGCCTTAATCTTCAGTAAGGTCTTTGAAGCTGGGCAAAGTCTTCATCTTCGTCTCATTGTGGACGATAAATTTTAGAGGTAGGTTTTTGGTGCTCGCGGGTTCCCCCGCTTGTTATGCCTTTCTCTCTCCCTTAGGATGAGAGAGGCATAAAAAGCGGTAAGAAAAGCACCTTTAACCTACCCTTAAAAATTCCAGGCAAATATCTTTCAGTCCATCCGCTCTGTGCTTCTTCGCTGTCAGCAATATTGGCACTACGTTGTCGAAATCTATGCCCTTCCGTATTAGGTCCTCACAAAGGGCTTTGAGACGTTGTAGCAGATACCTTTCGGCGCCAATGAGCAGCTCAACTGCGGTGTCCGTGGTCAAATGGTCAGGAATGATGTCCGTGTACAGATACTCCAGCAAAGTGACGAAGGCTTCGTAGGAGATGTCTGGTATCTCGATTGCCTCCTCAGGCTTCATGGTCTCGCGCATACCTGATGATGAAAATATTACGGGGATGAAGAGGACACGTAGTAGACTACACAGCTAGTAGTACAGTGAAATCACTGTAAAATTATAGTCTTTTTTAAGTGGTTGTGGTTCAAGTTCATGGTGCACGTGTGGTGGGTCATGGTGCACGTCTAGATATTATTTAGCACAGAAAACAGCAGGCGAGCTTGAATTGCAGTCTACATCATAGAAAACCTTCATCCAGCAAATAAATTTCCAATAATTACCTCCATAAAAGAGCGCCCTGAAGTGATCACTTCTTGCAGCTAGATGGGACCGCGTCGCATACACAGGCATGCCTTCTACTTTGAAAGTGACGTCTCCTAGTATCGGGTTGTTTACGATGGACCGCAAGTCTTCGACTAGGTGGGATGGTGGTATCGACACGGGTTCAAATTTGAATTCGTAGAAATCGTTGAGGACCGTTGTCCCGTTGTAACCACCGAAAACGTAGAGACTATTCCCGCTCACAGCGGCTACTTCCGTTAGAACCGGGCTGGTGATGCTGATGCATCAAGTAAGTACTTTATTTGGCAGAAGAAGATAAGGTGGTAGAAGATAAACAAGGTTTTCTAACAAGAGGAATTATACGAACAATAGCCATAGCGTCTCCTGTGCTATAATGATCAACAAAATCTAGAATCTACAACCGCTCCTTTCGTGTAGTTCGAAATTTATATAAAAAACACATATTCAAACACATCAAACTTGTAGTTCTACTGTTGAATATAAAAATTTACTAAAATCGTCCCATAACAAACTCGATCTCCCAGTCGGAGGATCCTCTGCTTGAATGGAAAACCATGTTTGGATATCGAAGCGGAACTCATAGAGGTCGTTCAACCGGTCGTGGCCACTATAACCACCGAAAAGAAATAGGGAATCAGCATAGACGACAGCTGCGTGGAAATACCTGTACTAGTTTAAGGAGGTTATAACGGATGGTTATCTTGTCAAAATAACCTCCCTTAATAAGGAGCTTATTTTGTCTCTCTGCATTTTTGGAGCTAGTGTCGGATGCCTACATCGATTATACTTACTTATTCTTATTGGAAAAACTGAAATAAGCGAGTAACTCCTTAAAACAAGAGTAACTACTTAAAACAAGAGGAATGTGAAGATCAAGACTCTCTTATATATATTTCAGTCAATAACTACTCGCATACTTTGAGTATTCGAGTACATCGAGTAGATCAACAACAAAATTCCTTTACCTCGGCGCCGGCACGTGTCCGCATGCTCGTATGCTGCTCCAGGTTCTAGTTGGCATGCGGAATTGATGGAAATCGTTCATTAAAGGTCAACACAACACAACTATCTTCAGACTATCACTGGTCAAGACTTGGTTCCCTTTTGAAAACTGATCCGTGGTGGAGCCAATGATTATACCTATTCTTGAGGTGTTAGACTACTACTACTCTCTACTTCTCTTTGCACTTCCTGATGTGATTCCCTTTTCGCTGATCCGTGGTCGAGTGGGTTCCCTCCCTTCAAAGTGGAATTCCGGTGCCTTCATCAAAGTGGAATCCACTCAGCATAGTCCATCCCGGAAAGTGATGTACTAGCCTTAAGTTCATCCTATGAACGCCGTCATAGCCACCGAAGAGGTAGATGCTCTCCTGATGCGTCGCCCAAGCGGGACAGCTTCTCCCTGTCGGCACGTAGCCATCTTCTTGCGTCCGCGACCATCGCTTCTGAGCTAAAGAGAACTCCGACATATCGTTGAGCCACGTACTGCCATCGTAGCCGCCGAAAATGAAGATGTCCTGTTGGTTGGAGGCGAACGAGAAGATCGCGTACAACATAACTCGATAACTTTAAAATATATATCTTGTGTTCTCGAATCGAGAACGTGGTAGAAGACAATTGATTCTTGATTTTTGATTGGGGGCCAATAACGACGCTGGGGGGAGGAGATTTTCGACGAGCGGCATCATCTTGAAATCATACTCTTTTTCTCGTGGCCGTCTGATGGCAAATTTAGTAAAAAAACAATCGTAGTTCACATTCACAATGAATTAGACAGAGTTCGTCAGTGACGACAAACATTACCTCATCCGCATGGCTTGCGCTGACATAGCCAAAGCGCATGCTAGGGACGTGCCCGTCACACCCGCCGGGCACTCGTTCCCAGGTCTTGGCTTTGAAGTCGAAAGCCCAAAAATCGTTGAGCCAAGTGAACCCGGAATAGCCGCCGAAGACGTACCTAAAGAGGATGTGGATGACGAATGTTATTGCCGTAATTCGACACCCGATTGGTCGATCCATGATTCACGTCCTCGACAGGCGGGTCATAATGCATTCGCTTGTCCTAAACATCGGATCGAAACACTGACAAGGATCAAGGAAGATCAAGCCCACTATCCAAGTAGTGGTACATCTTCACCAAGTTCACTATCACTATCCAAATAGGAGTACATCTTCCCCTTGACCACAAGCGCTGAGTTATTTTCCCTAGGCATTGGCTTCTTCTCCCCTCTTGGTGCGACCTTCGACCACCGCCGTTTCCCCAAGTCGAACTGCTGTTAGAGCGGGCGAGCTAGGAGATGTTGCTGCACAGTTTGTTCAGGATTTCACTACACCAGGGAGAGCAGAGGAATCTAGATCTACACACCTCCACAACTTTTCGACGGATTGATTGATTGATTGCTGTACCCACTCATGGAGTAACGCATCTTATTAATTAGAGGTGCAAGTTTTTCTAGTAGGGAGAGCGACGATGAACGATGTTGCTGAACATGTTGATCTTCTACAGGGAGAGCAGGAGAATGAATGCAGAGAACCTACAGATACCAACCAAGCTCATAACTCCATATATCATCCAGCCTGCCTCCTCCTCCTCCGTAGCCGGCGAAGAGCCACAGATACTTGCCATAGGGCACACAGCTTGCGCCCGACCTCTCTGGTGGTCGAAGAGGTCCTCCCGATGTAGGGTCGTCATAATCTTCCCTATGAAATTGGTCGTTTTGATTGTCGTATGCTGATTTCTTAGAGTCAGATCAGTGGGCGACTGATGATGATGTATCACGCTGTTGATCATGCGTTCTTGCCGAGCATTGTTCTTGACAAGACCACGATAACAATCTTCAGGTATCATCAGCAACGTGCATGGATGAACTCTACCTCATCTTGTGGGTGGAGCCAAACGAACTAGGAAAAGAAAAAGGACGGATAGTAGGTAAAGGATAGAGAAGTGCAGATATTTTAGTAATGGCCATGCTAAGTAGGATCCATCAATATTGTTTCTTGTTCTTCTTCTTTGAGTATATCTTCACATTGCATTTCTCTGGACGTGTACATCGACTCGTCAACAACACATCATGCTCATGCCATACTAGACGATGACGCCCTCGTGCTCCCTCTTGACGGCGTCGACCCACACGGCGCTCTCTGTTAGCGCTAGTTTTTCACTAATCCAGGCTGAGTGAGATGCCCTGCGCTCCCCTTAGGTTCTTCTCCCTTAAGAACTCAAGTAGGGATGAGCCTTCGCTCTCTCAGACAGGATCATGCGCCCGCTCCCCATGGGAAGGTGATAAACTAGCCTTAATGTTGGTGTAGGGCCTTCGGTTCGATCTCTCTCCATCTTCTGATATCAGCGTTCGTTCGTACGCTACAAGTCTCATCAAAGTCATGCGGGCCTGCGGCATACTCCATACTCTCCTTTGATATGCTTGAAGTCTCTTTGTGGTTGTCGCTCCTGAGAGTGCTATGTATATCGTGGACGGTAGATTTCCTAGAGCTCGCTCTTCGTATCCCTAGCTTGAGGTCGGCTTCGCGCGCTTGGACCTGACAAATGTCACTGTCTATCTCTATGATGTCCGGCGTCTCGACGCTTTGGTTGATTCCGATTAATATCTTCCTGTTCTTACTCGGATAGTTGGTGTAGTTGGACTCGTGGCTATAATTTTTACTTTTAAAAATAGAAGCGTTGTCCTCAAGTGATGTTTTTTCGGATGGCTTCTGACTCTGCGTGTGGGTTTGGACGTACAGGCTCTTGTGGAATAGGTCGTCGCGTCTTCCTGATTCTCAGCTACAAGTCGCAGAATATAATTCGGACAGGTACAGCTACATCCATGATGATGATCTACGATATGGCATCGTACGATTCGGCTTAGAACGACGCACCGTGACCTAGTAAAGCTCGTTCCTTATCGACTTCTTGCCGTTATGCCCCATGATACCGCGGAGCGACCCGCGCGCTACCAAGCGTCATGACGCCTCCTCGCTAGCAACGAGGAGAACCACCACTCTTTGATCGGCAACTCCACACGTCATCATGTTAGTAGTTGAAGATGTTCTTATCGGTGAAAATAAGTTGTATGTACGGGTGGAGCCAAGCTAACTAGGAAAAAGGTAAGGTTATGTATGTAAATAAAAATACGTACTTAGGTTGTACGTAGTAGAGGTAGATCATTCAATAGTAGAGCAGTTTATAAGGGTTCCAGGTCTGGGATGGCATGGATCGAATGGCACGAATGGCACGGATGGGGGGGGCGCAATCCGTGACCGCGATCGAGCTCGCCATTCGTCCCATTCGTGGACCAAATAGACCTTCGAGAGCGGGGCGCCCTTCGGGCGCCCTGCGTTGCTCCCTCCACTAGGTTGCCACTTCCTGCGCGACGCTCTATGCCGACCGCCAAGAACCCCGCGGGCGCAGGGCGCCCTTCGGGCGCCAAGCCCTGCACTCAGCCAAACGCAGACACCCCTTACACAGTTCCACTAGATACCAAGGCCGCCTCCCCGCCACGGGCGGGGCGCCATGCTTCGGCGCCACCTCTTCCCTTCTTCGTCGTCACGGCTACCGCAAGGCACGCGGCTACGCCTGTTTTTGAGCTGGACCCCGATGCCGCTCCGGTGGTCTCGCAGCATTTTCTTCCCGGAAGTCCGTGGGGGTTACGCAAATCCGTCCGGATTTGTATGACCCCCACGGAATTCCGGGAAAAAACGAGGCCCACGCGGCGCCTTGCGTGAAGTTCTGCACTCCTCAGGAGCGGCTTCCGCTGTTTCCCTAGCCCGCTCCCTTGCCATTTTCAAAACGGCCGAGGAGCCTGCCGGGGACTCGCGCCTCCCTCTCCTCGCTCGCCGCCGGCTTTGTCGACCGATGTGGCTCCTCTCACGCATGGGCAGAATCAGTTACGCACGACCTACGCACTCGATAAGCGGACGAGACCAGGGGCGCCAGCTAGCGGAACCCTGTCAACCTGTGCCATTCGTGCCATTCGTGACACATTTGGGGCGTGTTGGGGTGTGCCATTCATGCCATCCGTGCCATTCGTCCCATGCGCCATTCGTGCTATAAACTGCTCTACAATAGCAAACAACTAAAATTCAACTTCAGCGCTTCAAGAAGTTTCTGTTCGGGAACTGCAGTTGGGAGAGTCCTGGATTGCGTTTCGACAACACGCGTACTTCTGAGCGCGAGGACTTCGGTGTCGGAGTCAGAACAACGTCGAAATTTTAATTCGATCATCTTAGTTTATTTCACTCAGAAGTCGTGGAGAAAAAAGGCTACATTTTTCACCCGCCAACGTCGAGAACGACAGATCATGAGTCCAAAAATGACTAGTTAGTACTACTGCTATGCATGCTATACAATGACATGTTATAATGCTCAAAACGTGACTGGCTTCTTCGACAAGACATGAATATTGCCCAAAGGGAATATCACCCATTTCTATTTCGGACCCCCTTCCCTTCATCCCTTTCGTCTTTCCCAAGAGGATCTAAAAATCTCTTGTTCTAATGTTCTTCATCCTGAAGAACCTTCTAGTTGTTCTGGTTCTACTAGTTCTAACGCTAATCCACTTCATCTTCCAGCACTTTTCATCTTTCTCCACACATTATTAACGCTACAACCTCCTTCGTATTTTCAAGTGCAAAATCTATCTCGCACCAGCGGTTCCACCTGTTGTTATCTTCGTACCAACCAGGAAGCCAACGTTGACCCTCTTCAGCAGGTCACAACAGTAAAACCGCACATCGGTCACGCCTAGGTTGTCAGCTTCTAGAGAGCCAACACGAGTCTGGACGCCGCAGGAGTATGAAAAAGGAAATGGGAGGACAAGAGGAGGTTACAGTGCACAACGAACAAGCACTAGCATCAGAGTTCTGCTTATGAGTGTATTCATTTTCTCTCGAGTAGAACAATTTAAGATGAATCGACTCCAATGATAAACAAAAGAGTCATCGAACTTATTCATAAAATCGCTTCGTGCGGTCCCTTACTAGCGCCTTCGGCGAATTCGTTCGTTGCAGCGACTGAGCGACACAAACTCTGATTCGACCACCCTCCTTCAGAGACTTGTGGCACTTCTTCGCCGGAAGCGAAGGGGGCGTGGGGATTAGATCTACAACTTGTACCCGGAGGCCAAAGCGATAAGTAGTACGGCAAACCTCCTCTTTAATATAATTTAGGTATAGGTAAAAAAGCCATATCTTCCTAGATGGGAAAAAAACTTGCATCTAAACCCTCAAAAAACCTTTGTCTCCTTAAGCCATAAATTGCACCGAACTTCCTTCCGGCTTCTCCCCGAATCGCATTTCTATCGTCATGCTCGCGTCCAGCTGACTCCTACAGATCAGCCCCACGTCGTTTAGGGCAGAATTGTCCGCGACATGAGGCGAATAAATCATATTGCGACCACGGAAACGGAGATTAGAAAGGTTTTTTTTGAAAGGTAGTTAGGGTGTTAAAGGTAGTTGCGTTGGTCTTGGTGCTAAATTATGTAAAGATGATGATGAAGGACCACAAAGTTGTGAAGATCGAGTATCCGCCATCACGAGCAAAATAATGAGGCAGTCCTCAATAAGAGTTCACCCTCAAAGAATCCTCTGAGTTGAACGAACTTCAAGATTCAAGACGACCATAACACTCACAACCATCCCAGCAGGACAGGTGTTCCATTCAGACCAGACGCCTTCTTTGCCACTAGCACTCTGTAGAAGCGTGCCATCTGCATCGTTACAGCCAAGTTCGATGGAGACGTTAGAAGAGGAACTACGAAAAGGAACAGATGTTCTATTTTTTACAGCCAAGTTCGATGAAGACGTTAGAAGAGGAAAAGGAACAGATGTTATATATTTGTAAAGAAGCAGTGAGGTGGTCAGTTTGCACTAGGTGGAGGGACTTGAAGGAAATCTAAAGCTTTTGGGACTCGTATAGGTATGATAGATGTGATTGTCGTGAACATCATGATGAACAGCCACATTAACTGGTTCTGGTAAGTTTGAGAGACAAGTGCCGAGAACTTAGAGGCTTGAGCCTAGGTCAGGTTAGGTTGTGAATCCTGCACATCAAGGCCCCCCGGCACCTGGCTTGATTCCGAGGGTGTATACGCGACCTGAGTAAAGTCAGCGACGAACACCGAGGCTTTTTCTTGTGATTGTCGTTAACATCATGATGAACTACAGCCACATTATAACTGGTTCCGGTAAGTTTGAGGGACAAGGAAGTGTCGAGAACTTAGAGACTTGAGTCTTCTACCACTCCAACAGCGAAGATACAGGCCATAATGTTAATCCCCGAATTGTCAGCATTTTCACTCGTTCCGAAGAGCTGGATTCTTGCTTTCGTCACCGCGCCACCCTGAGGGCAAAGACTGAGTGCGCCCCAGCTACCCACAGGAACAGGGCAAGCCAAGCTTAGAACAAAGAGATGAAATCCACCTTCTGCAGGAGCATTTTGATGCTTCTTTTCTAAGAGAAATCCACCATCTGCAGGAGTATTTATAGGATAGGATAGGATAGGATGCCGCTAGGATAGGATAGGATAGGATAGGATAGGATAGGATGCTCCGCCTCCACACTTGGTGGGGCCGCAAGCTTTAGCAGATCGCCCCAAGGAGGACGCGTGGGTGATAGGGGTTGACCACCCGCGTAGTATTTTGATGCTTCTTTTCACTAACAAGAGAAACCACACTCGAAGATATTTTTAGTTGGGGAACAAGATGTTAGTTGGGCTGCAGCCGTAACAAGGAGACGTGGGAAATAACGTCCGTTCGCGTCCTACGATGTAGATCGGTGTCAAAACCAGCACCGACTAGTTTTTGGTAGGCAGCGGGAGGCCTGGTATCAGTTTTCGTTCTCGTTATGAGAAGGTGGAAAAAAAGAAGAACGAAAGGTGTAAAAAGTAGTTCAATGTTGTAGTTCAATGCTGGTGTGGTACTTTAGAACTTACTTCTTCTCTGACAAGAAACAGTAACAAATTAGGAGGGATAGATACATAGTCTCCCCTCCAGGGTTCTTGTGTAGATTCCAGAGTTCTTGGGTCTCATCTGCCGATTTGCCTTTGTTTGTCTGCACCACATTCTGAAATTCGTTCCAGGAAATCATCTGATCTGAGTCGCCGTCTGCCGTCTTAAAAGCAGCCACTCGATCTTGGGCGGCTTGACGGCGCTTTTGGGGTATGAAGAGGGACGAGAGGGAATTGCGTTTGTTGGGTTTGGAGCAGACGAAAAGGAGTTTTTTTTGGATTTCTTTTTCATATCGTCATCATGCAGTTATAGTAGGTTAAAGTTAATACGTAATGTAAGCACAACGAAAGCGATCTTTTTCTCCTTCTTGTTGAGGTACTGACTCTTACTACAATTGATTGATTGATTCATTTACCTATTCGTCAGGTACTATAGGGGCTACTTCTAGTTTAGGGGAGGGGGGTTACTTCTAGTTTAGGGGAGGGGGGTTACTTCTAGTTTAGAACAAAGCTCAGCCAAAAGGATCCCTGCTACCTTTTTCCTGGGGAGGGGGGTTACTTCTAGTTCTTTCTTTCTCATATCATATCGTCATCATGCAGCTGGTCGAAAAAGCGAGAGTATTCTTTGTCCACTTGATCGGCAGCTGCCGCTTCAGCAGAACCATCGAATGGAGATTTCAACGGGTAATTGGAAGTGACCTGTTCTTTGAAGGGAAGTCTTCAGTCTAGTAGATAAAAGTCTTCGGTAGTAGATATTAAAGATTGTGATTCAGAGGTTGTAGTGATCGGTAGAGGATGATGATGATGATGATGATGATGCTGATTGTGGTGGAAGTCGAAGTGAGGACCTGGTGGTTGCTAAGAGAAATTGACGCTCGAGAGAAGATGATGATTGTAATTCTTGAGACAAAGTCCAATCAAAGGACTTACCGAATCGATCCCTTTCAGTTTTCTGACTCCTGCCGCTCCAAGTCCAGGGCCATCCTTTCGCAGGATATCGTTCTTAGCTATGATCGTTCGGTCATCTAACTTCGTTTCCATAGTGCTACGACATACATCTTTCCCATTTTCACGAGGAAACGTATGAGGATGCTCATTTGGCCGTAACACGTCGATCGCTGAAGGAATCTGGTCGTGTTGAGAGTGGAGTGGAATAAAGAACAGAGAAGTTGTAAAAAGTAGTTGTCAGGTTCAGGAGCTGGAGAAGACTTTCAAGCACCAGCACGAACAAAACGATAAGTTCTTCGTACTACTACTACAAGTACAACTAGGACTACTAGCAGTAGCACAGACACAATCTTCACGACATCACGAACTCTATCCAAAACTAAAGATAAGAACTGACGACATTGATGACTGGTAAGTTCTACCGACACAGTTTTATCCAAAGGAGCCGTTGGATGAAGGTCTGCTGCTACTCCAGTCTTATCTATCGTCCCTGGTTTCCACGGATTTGTTGCTGCATCGTTGAAAGCTTGGGGACCGGAGGATTAGATGAGAATCAGCTTTTCTTGCTATTTAGAAACAAACGGACACGCTTAAAGTTAAACCCACATAGGGAAAACTAGGGAGCCATAATATCCCCTAATTTTCCCTAAATTTTGACTTCATCTAGCTTTAGATTGACGCCTTGATGTTTTTGGTGGGAGCAAAGGAAATCCTAGTGAGCAACGATTCCCTTATGGAGGTAATGCTAATGATTACTAGTAGTGCGGTCGTGCCGGTGAAAATAGTACTAATAGCCCGGACATAATAAAAAGGATACTGAAATCCTGGGCTTTGGATGGATTTTTCCCCACCTGTACTCGTAAACAAATCCATCTCCATCAGGTCTTCGACACCAGACAAATGCTTGTCCAGTTTCAAATCGGAGGTTAGAAGAGAAAAATCTTAATTTTGAGCGAAGATAAGCTAGTAGATAGATAGATAGATGTGCCCACTCGTGGGGTGTAAGATCTTTTAATTAGAGGCTGCATCTCCGCCACTTTTTACTTCTTCGCCTTCATCTTGCATCTTTTTTCGCTTGTTCGAGAAACAGCTGACTCCGTAGCTCCTCCACAAGGAACTGTGGACGACGAGCAGTAGCTACTCTTCAACAACTCAAGAGTAGCTACTGCTGCTGCTCGTCTTCCACAGTTCTAATAATATAGGACGAAACGAATCTATTTTTCATCAGAAAACTATAATTTCTGAAGCCGTAAATCGATGATGTTCTTGTTGTTCTTTTTTGAGACGGTGGCAGCGTTCTTGTTCTTGGTACTAGTACGGGTGTGTTGCGCTTGCTTTTCACATCCATGGACCTTTTGCTGGTTTTTAGAAGAGAAAACTACGTCGAGAAATGCAAATGGCTGACGACCATGATACTATCTTCAGAGAACGGTTGCGGCAGTAGTAGTGCCAAGCACCTTACTCCCAGTAATTACTTAGAAGTGAGCAACTAGTCTAGTCTATATCTTCCCTGTATCTAAATCTATTTCTATTTGTAATCCCAACTAAAAATTCGAGAACATCTTCATCTTCTTCTTAAGGTTGCTTTTTGATTTTGCCAGCAATAACACAGGCATATTCGAGGACTTTTTCTTCATTTTCTTGAAGGTCAAACCCTGCTTCTCCTGAGCAGTGTTCATTCTCGCATGCTGTTCGAGCTGGTTTTAAAGGGAGTTTTTCACTATGCCTCCTTAAGAGCAGGGTTCACCTTGTTTTGTCCCCACCTATAATTTGCTCCTTTATTTATTCATGTGCCCCACCCTGGCCTTATCTTCTATTCTTTTTGTATGCTAAGACCGCCGAAAGGGTGATCCCAGTTTAACTTTGACTCTTGGCTAATGCGCAGCCAATCAAATGATCTCGGAGCCAACGGGCAGTATTCAACGAACTAGCGGGTTAAAAGGGAGGACTCCACTTAATAGCCGCGCAGTCCAGCACACGGGATAGTGAAAAACTAAGCTTAAATTAAGTTGCGACCCTCCGCAATTGCTGTCGCAGTGGCAACAGCAGTGGCGAGAACAAGTGCTACTCGTGTTGACATCATGGCTGCTCCAATTCCACGTCCTCTCCACAGCATCCTCGTCCACTAGAGGCGACCCCGCTCGGGGCGGCCGTGGGAGTGGACGCTTCAACACGAGTGGTCACGCGTTGAGACGCGGATGGAGAATAGTCGTAGTCTTCTGGAGTCCATGTTCTTCTTCCTCTTCTCTTTCTCCTGCTCTAAGACTACTTAGTGAGTGGACCAGACAGGAACGACGTGAAACTCAATGGACAGGTACGGACTTAGCTTTTGATGAGGAAGATTATATTAAGTACCATTATTGTGTAGCTCGCACGCGACCCTCCCGCCGCACACGTGTCAGACGAATAATGGACTCGGAGATGAGACAAGTGTTGAGGCACTCTTTTTCGTCCATTCTCCTACTTAATAGCTTCCCTCATCATTGCCTTCACAAGAAAATCTTCCCACGGAGTGTGGGGGGGTCTAGGATAGGATAAGAGTTGACTCGCCGTCAACAGTTTGACCTGTATCCTCGAGCGTTTCTCTCAGCCTCTTTTTTGAGCTTGACATTTCTTTTCTAAAAACATGATGATCGATGAGGGAAGTCATCAACGCTCTTGGACCATTTCTTGTTTCGAATAGAAGGTTTCAAATAGATGCAACTTTCGCAAAAGATGGAGTTCAAAACCCTAGTCCTTGGCTCAGGGCTGCTAGGCTTGCTAAACCCTAGTGATCTGCTCAGTAAGAGTCGTCGTTGATCTAAAAACCCTAGAAGTGATCTGCTCAGTAAGAGTCGTCGTTGTAGTTGTATCAGGGTCGTTGTAGTTTTTTGGGGTTTTTTCCCAACACTTTTTGTTTTTCGCCACAACTGCTCAATCACCTCAAATACTCCGAATGTTGATCACTTTATGTTTATCATGCATGATAGGAGAGGACGAAAAATCAAATAGACATTTGATGTAACATCGTGCTCACTTCTCACCAATATGCTGCTCATGGATGTACTGTTCTTATTTAGACACAGAGACTCCGAATAGAGATTCCGCCCAGGCAGATTATTCTCGTTTTTGAAGTCGAGATAGAAGATTGATCATCTTTTGAAATATATTCAATGTCAATCTTGATCTTCATCTTAATTATACCAGAAAAATTTATAACTTCTGGCGGCGTGCATGGCATGGAGTGATTGACATGTTTTTAAACTAGTTACTACTAATTGACATGTTCAACTAGTCTACGGTGACTTCTTAACCCACATTTTCATCATTTCAGGATCATTAAGTAGTTGCTCTCTGGCTAGCTGTAGCATGTCTTCTGCCCATCGTGCCTCCGCTTCCGCTTGTTGTTGCATTGTTGACGCCGCATCGGGCCTCGGCCGTATCATTACCTCTTCGATAGCCTCGTCTTGAGAAATACCGCATTGCTCACTGAGGCTGCGAGTGGTAGGATCATCAGCAGCAAAGCTGGGAGTAATGAGTCTTACTGCCTCTTCCAGCCAGTCTTTTTTTTTTACCTCGGGTGGTCATGTTGGTATGTAATTAAATAAAAAAACAAAATGAAAATTTTGCGCTAAATACATAACAAACATAGGAAGATAGGTCGGAATTAGGTTGGGTTAGGGATCCTTCATCAATGAAGATAGGGCTTATGCAATAAGACCTGTCTTTTCAAACTGACCATTTGATCAGCGTTGCAAAACTCCCTTTTTTTTCCGTCTTGTAACACCACATGAAGAACCTCGCACCAAGCGGTAAGCGCACCCACGCATATCACAGAAGCTGCATCTACTTCAAGAGACGTCGTCGGCGCGTTATCTTGGTGAATGAAAAAAGAAAGAGAATGTAGTTATGAAATTTTTGGATGGATCAGGATCTAGCAATATACAAAATTCAACTTGATTTAGAGCTAGGGTCTTGGTGCTCGTGGACCCCGCTTTTTCTGCCTTTCTCCCTTAGGAAAGGCATAAAAAGCGGGAACAAAAGCACCTTTACCCTACCCTTAATTGATGAATGATCATTGATTGATTGATTGATTGATGTGTCTGGCGTCATTCATGATTGATTGATTGATTATGATTGATGTGCCTGGCGTTATTCATTCATTCATTTACCTAGCGTGAGGTATGAGTTCACGACTTAATTAGAATGCACCAGAAAAGCAAGAAGAGACGAAAGCAGTTTTCTTTGTCTACATCCTCGAATCTTCTTTGACGTCCTTCTAGGGTTACCAACTTCTTTGACGTCCTTCTAGGGATAAATTTGAAATATATATTACATTTATATCAATAAATCGCAAACTGAATGTATATTAAGAGCAACCTAAAACTTGTTTAGAAGTGCCATCCTTCATCTCATCCTGCTCACGAGCAGGGGCATCTTCCATCACCTGCGTCGACTTCGCAGGAGCACCTTCCATCACCTGCGTCGACTTCGACTTCGCAGGAGCACCTTCCATCACCTGCGTCGACTTCGACTTCGCAGGAGCACCTTCCATCACCTGCGTCGACTTCGACTTCGCAGGAGCACCTTCCATCACCTGCGTCGACTTCGACTTCGCAGGAGCACCTTCCATCACCTGCGTCGACTCCGCAGGAGCAGGAGCACCTTCCATCTGTTCCTGCCCAGTATTACTAGACGTAGAGCTAGGGTCAAGCGCTGTGGAAGCAGATGCAGCGACGACAGGCGAAGGTGATGCACCAGATGAGGCCGTCGATGCAGATGAGACAGTTGAAGAAGTACTGCTCTTCGGTGAATCGGCATGATCAGCACCAGCGTTCTGATTAATTGAAGAAGTACTGCTTATGGGTGCTTCTTAGGCGGGCTTCTGAGCAGAGCCGCCACAGCTGGGGCAAGAAACCTGATTTTCGAGAAAACTGGCAGAACCTCTGAGGTTGTAGCGAGCCTTTCTTGCGAGACCACCTGTGCTGGCGGCCACAGTGGTCGCACACAATTTTTTTCATCTTTGATGGCACTATCTGGTTGCTCGACGTTATCCTCGTTGCAGCAGTACTAGGTTACGACCAACACTGCTTATATTTGGTCGTTATTTATTATAGTAGCAGGTAGTTGTAGGTTAGTACGACCAACACGAAGAAACTACTATTTATATAGTGCTTGTACTACTATGATCGTTATTTATAGTGCTTGTACTACTAATAGGGTGCTCCTTATATTATATTTATATAATAGTCTGAACAATACAGACGAAGTGGACGAGGACTTACTTATATGCGAATAGTACATTGAATCTCCATACTACATGAAGGGGAGAAATAGTATCGGATACCGATACAGATTGGCTACAACGGCTCTCGTAATGTAAGGCTTGCGAACCGACATACTTAAGTATGATGTGTCTCTGCTACTCTCCGACAAGATTTCTATTTGACCGACACGATCACCGAGGACGTCGCGTCGTGACTGACATGATGAATCCTTAGGCATACGCGAATAGCCGCCTTCTCATAATTCATGCACTCCTTTGCCTTTCATTCATCACTCGCAAAAATTCTGCGTTGACTTTTTTTTTCTTGAGTTAGGAAATTGACTCCACCATGTGGGACTTGTACACACAAAGTTTTAATATCGTGACAACTGCTCTTCGTGCGACTATTGAATGTAGGCTGTTCTTGGTCTCCTCTCCGGCTAACTCCACACGATCCGCTTGGCAACTTAGACTTTCTCTCTCGTGTAGTTTCAATCATGCCTTTTTTGGGAGAGGAGCACAATCAAGAGGATGACCGACCCACAACCTCTCTGCCCACGACAAAAGCAATATCATACTCAGTGTTATAACGGATGGACATGAACGTCAAAAATACTTCTCTTTATTTTCCACTCTTGTTTTCAGTCCATTCACACTGCATTTTCCTTCACACTACTAAACAGCTACACTGACTAATTTAACGGCTCCTTCTTATGCTGCAATCGAAACGTGAAAGCGACAGAGGACGAGAGTTTTCGTATTACATCTCATCATAATTGGTCCAGCCTAGTGCTATACGATGGAACAAGAGCCTAATCCTAAACAGCTCTCACCTTTTGTAATTTAGATGTCATGTGTACGTCCCTGATCATAGTGCTGTGGTCCAGAACAATATTTACATTTAGTAGAACCAGCACGACATTATCTAATATATGATGAAGTAGTACGAGAACCTACATATAAAACTGATACAAGAACCTCTTCTTTCCATCTATTTTTTTCATACATCATAGTTCTCGAGTTCTTGATGAATTATTCGGAGATTTTATTTGCATACAACTACTGATTGATCAGAGGAAACCGAAATTGTTTAAGAAGTTGAAGGTGCTGTGAAGAGCTGCATGCTGCGAGAATGATACTGAGAAGTCTCTTCCTCCTTTTTTGTGTTCAAACGTAGTACTCTAGCATTCCCTAACAAGTATATTTTCAGATCGCCTACATCATATTACTCCAGATCAGATCCTTATCCGGTGCAGATAGGTGTTGATGAAGATCGCCGATAATTATATTTCTAAGACAGACGAGTGTTCACTTTTGTGACAGCTTAGGAGTAGCGCTATGCTTGTTACAATCTTCTATGATCAAGCTACTTACTGCACAAATTTCATTTTAGTCGCTTGCTGTACAATCAAGTTAATTTCGTGAAGATGGGATGACTCGTGATGAAGTGACAAGGAATACCAGGACAACTAAAAGCTGCTATAGCTTTTGAATACTTAAGTCCACGCGCTAGATAGAAGACTAATTTAGTCTTAGATTAATCGACACTTCAACATAGGAATCGGATTTTTAATAGGTCGAATATTAGATTGTAATAAATGGAGCTCTAGTACCAACTAGCAAAAAACGCAAGCAAAGTAAGAGACAAATACATATTATAAATATGCTCCAGGGTGCAAGGCAGCGGCCCCCCCTAGCGTAAGGGGGGGGGCGCGTGGATCTCCGGGCCCCTTTTGGAGGCGTCTGCCGGGGGTGGCAAGCTTCCAAAGGGGTCCAAGTAGGAGCCTCCTCCGCTCCCTTCCAGCTGCCTGCGTGTACCATAGCCCTACAGGCTCCCTGTGTGCTGGCCCCTCGCCCCCGCAGCAGTTTGCCGGGCGTGGAAGGCCCCCGAAGGCCGCAAAAGGCACAAGGCTGGACCCCCTGAGCCGTGTGGCCTGTATCCTCCGGGCCCTTGGCGATCGGCCTGCCGGTTCTTGCCGCGCGTTTGATGAGGGCAACCCAGCAAAAGGAGCCAGGCCTCGAGACCGTGGCCGCCATCGTCCTACCCCGAAGGCCTCCAGCCTGCGAGGGTCGGCAGGGGCCAGGACGTCTGTCAGGGATCTGCAGAGAGGCGCAAGGGGCCGCCCGCTCCAAGTTTTGCCGCCGTCCACCCCGAGAATCCGCAGAAAAGAGCGCGGAAAAGAGCGCGCAAGCGCCACCACGGGGCCACCCACAAGGAGGGGGCCGTGCGTCCCTGTAAGTCCTATCAATCATATTTACATGAGCGTAGCAGAAGCAGTGCCTGGTAGTCCGACACATTAAATTTTTTGGTCCTAGATGCAGGAGAGGCGTGGCACCACACAGGTGCGCGGGGTTGCGCAGGTGCGTGGCACTGCGCGGGCGCGTGGTACCTACTGCACGGGCGCGTGACACTGCGCAGGCGCGTGGGTGGTACCGCGCGGGATTGCGCAAGCGCGTGGCTTGCGCAGGCGCGTTGTATTGCGCGGGCGCATAGGATTCAACTGCGCAAGCGCGTCATACTGCGTGGGCGCGTGGGATTCATTGCGCCGGCGCGTGGTTTGCGCGAGAGCATGAGACTGCGCCGGCGCGTCCGTGGTGTTGCGCAGGCGCATGGGGTTGCACAGGGAGGCGCGTGGCACTGCGCGGGCACGCGGCATGCGCGGACGCGCTCCACCGAGAATTCGCGCGCCAATCTATCGGCGCAGGGAGCTGCCCGCGGCCGTCCGCGCTGTATTGGCCTCACCTCAGGCGCGCTCTTGGCCTGGGCTGAGCTACTGCCAGGCTGATCACATTGCGCGCGCCTGTGTATTGGCGCGAAGAGGCAGAGCTCGATGCCATTGCATTGGAGAGAAAGGCGCGGGGGCGAAGCTGGCCGCGTCGATGGCCGCTGGCACTCCTTTGGCCAAGTGTACGGCCGAGTGAGCAACAGCAATCAAAATATTGCCAAAGATCTTCGTTACTGAGTAAGAGTTGCCACATGAGCATTACCTTTTGAGAACATAAATCATCTACATAATCAGAGTTGTCGTAACCTAGCTATGTTTCATGGTTTTCATGCTTCGACTTCGTAGTAGTTGGTCATCATCTCCTTATAATAATCTCCAGAAGAGTTGATGTGTAGAACTGAAGTCTGATTTCCTACAATTATTTTCAAAGCAAACTGCCCTTCGCGTGCGGTTCGTCTTGTGCTGTCCCTCCTCTTGTGCTGTCCCTCCTCTCCTGACGTGGAAACTTGTGCCTCCTCTGCTCTTCCCTGACTTCACCAAATATTAGATGCTCGGGAAAAAATTGCTCAATCTTTGGGATGATGGGGGAGAATCGAATAGTTCTTGATTGACATTGAGATTGCACTTCTATGAAAGATGTTCTAGAAAAAAAAATACTCGTGCACTACTCTGAGGACCTACTACAGCAAAACTACACTACTTCATCTACCCCACACGATGATTGACGACAAGGCAAATCAATGGCGTCTTCAAATTAGAAGCATTTTAGAAGTGCTGGAACTTTTAGGAAGGAGGTCTCAATTTAATTCTTTTAGGAGACATCAATTTACAAATTCAAATTCATCTTTTAGAAAGAAATCATAATTAGCATTTTTCCAACCAGCACCTCCATAGCTTTTGTGGTGCTGGAGCCTACCAGAATCTACTTAACTCTAGTACTCCCACGACAGCGACAACAATGATGTTCATCTTAATAACCCTCTCTCTCTTTGCAGCAACTCTTTGCGAGCTCCTTCGACGCAGGCTTAATGGCTCCTATCTGCTCCGACGTTAGCTTGGTATCTTGCAGCCAGTATTTACTTACCTCGAGAGTGTGACGATTTATTGAAATTTTCAAGAGGAGGAGATGAATATGATGATGATATAGTACGATGATGGTATTATTATACGATGAGGGAGCGACGATGATGAGGGGTAAATATAGAAGTTGAATTTCGAAGATTTTGCGGAGGAGGAATGGTTCTTGTTGATGTAGTCGTAAGAACAATATAATTTCTAGAAGTTGTGAACAAGAACTCCAGAAGTATCATCTTGTTGCGCGGGTACTTCCACTGGTTAAATTTCAGCAAACTATAATATACTAGAGTATTTTATAAGGGTGCCAGATCCGGGATGGGGTGGATCGGAAGGATCGGATGGACTTCCCACCATTTCAAAGAGAATCGGAAGACTTAGGGGGGTCCACCCGATCCATCCAAGTCCATCCGAGATCCGTCCTATAAATCATTCTAATATACGTTACAGGGACACACGCCCCCCCCCCTGTGGTTGGCTCTGTGGTGGCGCTTGCGCGCTCTTTTGTTTCCGCGCTCTGTTTCGCGGGTTCTCGGGGTGAAAGCAAGGCGTCAAGGCTCGGAGCGGCATGTTCCCAAAAGGCGCCCTGGCCTCTGCCGACCCTCGCAGGCCGGAGGGCTCCGGGGAAGAAGACCGCCGAAGGCGGCCACGGTCTCGCGGCCTGGCCCCTTTTGCTGGGTTGTCCTCATCAAATGCGCGCCAAGATCCAGCAGCCCGATGACCAAGGGCCCGGAGGGTACAAGCAACACGGCTCAAGGGGTCCAGCCTTGCGCCTTTTGCCGCTTTCGGAGCCCTTCCACGCCCGGCGCCCTGCTGCTGCGGCAAGGGGCAAGCACAAAGGAAGTCCGTAGGGTACATGCAGGCAGCCAGAGGGGAGCAGAGGAGGGTCTTTGGACCCCTTTCGAAGCATTCCACCCCCGGCAGACGCCTCCAAGAGGGGTCCAGGGATCCACGCCCCCCCCCGCGCTCGGCGGATGGGCGCTGCCCTGCAGCCCGAAACATAAATCTTCACTATTTATCGAAGATATTATCATCGAAAAAAATATTGCCCATCTTGCTGATGTCCTAGTCAGTTCGGGTTGGGCCCACGGCTTCCCTGAATCTTCTTTGAGTTCTACGAATTTCGCTGATGTGGAAGCTGTGAGGGCGCTCCGCTGCTTCGCCGCCAGCTCTCCTGAGGTCCTGTCTCTCCGCGTTTCCTTCTGTCGGCCTCTTCATCTACATGGTCTAGTTGAATTTTCTGCGTGTTTCGCGCTTATCATCCTGCCCACCAATCGCTCCGCTTGATGTCTTACCAAATGGCCCAGGTATCTCAGCCGCAGAGCCCTCGCCCGCAGTCTCGTCGATAGTCACTTTTGGGCCCAGCTGTGCCGGGGTGCTTTCGGTTGTCCTCCTCTCTCTTTTCGTGATCCCCAGGCACAGCCGCAGCCTCCTATTCCAGAAGGTTCCCAGCGCAGCGCCCCCCCCTGGTTGGTTCTGCGCTGGTCTTGGTGCCCAAGTCTCAGCCCCCCAAGCAACTACCGGGCAAGCGAACGAGTTCAAAGCCTTGGCCTTCAGCTTTGCCTCGGCCTTGCTGCTGCAGAGTATTTTGTTGACCTCGCCAGCCTTATTCTGTGCCTTCTTGATTCTCCACATTATCAAAGAAATTACAATACACAAGTAGCCGAGCGCATTTTTACTACCGTGGTTGGACTTGGAGCCAAATTGGGAAGGAGCGGCTTGTCGGTTGCAGAAGATCGAACGGAGTTCTCCTCGCAGAAAGTAGCGACTTCTTGCGACACATCTTGATCTTTAGAGGTTACAGAATTACATTCCTTGACTTCTCTCCTATTGGAGAAGAGGCCAAGGATGTTGGTGAAGGAAAAGGATGTAATGTGGGAACCCTTAATTTTTTTGCTGCTGTACTCTATCCAGTCCCGCACCGCATCCTTGCACAGCATCTCGTGATGTGATGGTCTATTCGTGTTCCGTATATGACTTATTAGACCTCTCCCCAATTCATCCCTGTGGGAGGAAATCCCTCAAGAATAGCCTAGGCCTCAGTATCTCGTCTCATCTTATCTTAGGAGGCATGGTGTAGCTGTTCTTGAGGGGTGGACCCTTCTATAGACGACATGGATTAGGGGAAGCCTTAAACCTCCACAGCAGGCATCCGCGACATAAGCGAAGAGCCCACTCGGGCCCCGCTTGTTGTACGTTTCAAGAATCCTCTTAGACCAGTTTTCACGCACCTGAGCAAGAAAATAGTCAATATATTAGATGAAAGGCCCGACGATGATGATGCTGATGATGATTGTGCCTATACTGCAGGCGGTTGTGGATCCAGGTTGTTTTCGTTTTATCCCTTGCACTGTGCTTCTTCTTGGACTTATCTGCGAAGACACTATAATTATCAAAGACGCTCCTAGTGAAAAAAGCAAGTAACTGATCAGAATAACCGAGATACTGATGAGAAGGAAGAGTAGCCTTGGCGTTAAGCTACCTCCCTTATTTCAGTCAGTAACTCGGGTATTTTGAGTTTTCGAATAGTCAAAAAACCAAAATCCAAACTGTTCCTGTCACCTTCCCCACCTCGTCACCTTCCTTTTAACACCATGCTAATGTTTGTTTTTTCTTCCACTACCCTAACCCTATTGTCAGACGAGAGTTGTGGAATCAGTATCAAAAAAAGAATTATCAATTCATTCACTCACACGACAAACACCTCACCCTCTTAAAAATAACTTCATCCGATTCCGAGTAGCCTACTTACTTAAAATCCGTGCACTACACATTATTTATTAGTACATATACAACGGTATGCAGTAACTTGTTGTACCTCCAGCTCAACAGGCGGATCGGAACGCCCCTTGCAAATCCCTTTTCCTCTGGGTAAAAAATGTTTGTTCCATTTCTTTACCACCTTCGCGCAGGTCGTTTCAGTGTTATAGCATTGAGAAATATAATAGCATGGAAAAATATGATAGCAATAAACAGCGAGAACATTTGTCACATACTGGAGGAACTGGAACATGCGTCCTCACATGCTATTAGAGGACAAAAATGTAGTGTGTAGTGCATCCTAGCTAAATTACTAAGTGGCCAATCACGACGAGTCAAGTTTGAATACCACGGTCGTTGTCAACGAACGTATTCATATGTTGACTCGTCGACATCAATATCAAATACTAGTAAGTGATATGTTCGTGATGTTATTCGTCTTCCCCTGTTGTAGGTAAGTATATTAGCAAAAACGCTTCTACAGTTATGCCTTAAGCGGGACAACATACGTTGTCTCTTATGAAATCGAGCGTACGATCGGCCAGCAAATCCATGTCCCCCTTGTCCTTGAAACTTTTCGTAACTGCTTCGCGGGAAGGAACCACCTAAAAAGCGATAAATTAAGAAGCACGATACTTAAGCACACCTAGAACTTGATTGATTGATTGATTGATTGTTACGTAACCGTAAGTACACCTAGGTATAGGTTGATTGAACAACAAGCTGCATAATACCTAAGTCCACGTAGGTTGAAAAAAAAAACGATAAATCAAGAACGCCTGGTGCTTCCCTAAGTACACCTAGAAGGTTGGGAAAAAGATATAACAAACTGAATGGTTCTGGAATTTGGTAAGAACCTGATTTTGATCACACGGAAAAGCAAGAAGAGTAGCACCCTACGTGAGCTCGAAATCAGGTTACCGAATAGTGAACTATTATTCCAGTAACGGTAGTTCAGATTCACTGTCGTGAATACCTGTCGAATACTAGTGAAAACCTGTGAATACGACAACCACGAGAGTAGTACCTAAATTAAAGAGTGCTTCTAGATGAGGTGTCTCAAAAATCAATGTAGTCTTCAGATAAGGATGTCAAGCCACACCGTCTCCTCGATGAATGCATCAAATTTAAAATCGATACTTAAGTATTTATTAGACTATAACAGCCCAGCAACGAGACAGACACTGCCAAGTTCGCAGTATCACCTCTACCTTGACTTTTCTCTACATTGATCCTCCACTTATGTTATCAAGCAGTCGCACAAATGAATCAGCCGATCAACGATCCATGAAGCCGATCCAAATGACACCAAAAGGCCCTTGCCACCATTTGTTCGTAGATGATCTAGATCGTAGTCGTCTCAGACTAAGGAACCGGCTTGGCCGCGTTCCTACATGATCGCGCCTCTTAACTATGGCGCATTCGTAGTGGTTTCATGCCCATACGACCGTTTGATATCGTACTTCATGATGACCAAAACTTGTGTCCTGTCCCTTACACTTGTGACGATGGTGCTCCATCATGATATCCATGATTCTGCATTCCCTCGGACACAGCCCTGGCATGCAACATCAGCTCCTTGATATCATATATTATAAGTATGTGCTCTATCGCCACCTCAGTGATATGAATTTAGTTTCTACTATAAAAAATAATTACCCATTCGGCATTGATCATGCTCGTCTTGCAGGCCAACTTGCGATTATTCCAAAGCTCCTCACACGTCTGAGGCTTGTCTTCCTCTCCTCGTCCTGGTTGTTTTCGTTCGGGTTTAGTTACTAGTACTACCCCCGATTCTTCCGTAAATGGTAATATGAAAATGACTTTTTCAACAGATTCCATGTCTCTAGTAGAGATGACTCTAGAACTAGAAAGATGTAGATCATCTAGAAAAGAACTCTAGACGATGCATGTCTAAAAAAACTTTTTGGAAAAGCAAGAAAAGTTAGAAGAGTACCCACACGAGTTTCAGGACGTTCTTTGTTGGAGGACGTCTTCTCACGACCATGATCGCGCGACTTCTGTTAGAGATGCTCGTCCTATTGAAGAAAATCCATGATCCTTATACATAGACACATCCGAAGATCGTTCATTCTGGATGCGTCCTATGCATCCGTGTATATAGACCATACATCCCAAGACTCTGAATCTGAATGAAGATTTCGGATGGTTCGTCAAATAGAAATGCATTTTTAAGAGGGGAAAGAGCTTCGGCCATACCTAGACGGGGCAGCCTGCTTCTCCGGCTTCGGCTCCGGCTTCGGCTCCGGCTTCGGCTCCCGCTCCCGCTCCTCCGGCTTCTCCAGCTCCGCCGGCTCCGGCTTCGGCTTCGGCTTCGGCTTCCGCTTCGCCGGCTTCGGCTCCTTCGGCTCCTTCGCCTTCACGTCCGCCTTCGCCTTCGCCTTCGCCTCCGCCTCCGCCACCGCCTTCGCCTCCTCCTCCGCCTTCGCCTCCGCCTCCGCCACCGCCTTCGCCTCCGCCTTCACCTTATCCTCCGCCTCCGCCTTCGCCTTCGCCTCCGCCTCCGCCTTCACCTTATCCTCCGCCTCCGCCTTCGCCTCCGCCACCGCCTTCGCCTTATCCTCCGCCCCCGCCTCCGGCGGCTTCGGCTTGTTCGGCTCCGCCGGCTTCGGCTTCGGCTCATTAGAGCATCATCTAGATGACATGGAGCAACTGCGTAGATGTACATCTTGACGAAGAGCAACTGCGTAGATGCGACGAGTAAGTCTACTCCCTCAACATTCACCTCTTTCCCCTCAGTAGAGAGTACCCCAAGATGAATCCGAGGTCCCGTAGAGAGTACCCGAAGATGAATGATCCATCTTGTTCGTCAAGATCGATGGGACCACCCATTACACCACGCAACTATTAAAAATTCAAGATGTTGAGACCCATTCCACCTCCACGCAACTATATATATAAAATAGCCGTAATCTCATCATCACCTCCACAACTGGGATCATCGTCATCGCCACACTTCTGCAGGAAAGTAGCAGAGCCTCTCAGATGTACATGCTGATCACCACCAGCACCATGTTGGTGAGAATGTGCGACAGTCTCGGGACCAGTCGCCACGACCGTAGTATTAGAGGTGTAGAAGCAATGACCACGAGAGTAGTGGTACTAGAAGTAATTGACTATCGCGAAGCGAGTGTCAGTTTTCCTTTTTCGTCCTTTTTCTCCTCTCTCTCTGCTCTGGAAATCCGTACGAAGCCACACTATTCGGCGATCATCTAGGAGGAGTAGTAGGAGGAGTAGGCGCACTAGTAGGAGAAGTAGTAGGAGTAGTAGAGCGGTTTGCTCATTCTGGGGGTGAGTCAAACAAGAGGAAGAAGGTTCTCAGATGTTTCCTCAGAGGTTTTGTCGCAGTAATTGTACACGTGTCATGACGAAGACGACTACAGCTAGAGAATAGTATGAGTATGTAATACTGATGGCTACAGCTAGAGAAGACACTCTTTTTTTTTTAGTCGCCAACGCCTTAACAGTCGTCGCAAGCAGCCGCCTCAGCAGGGTCTTGTTGTTTTTGGAACCGCCACGTCCGCGATGACCGGCACGTCCGCGATGACCGGCACGTCCGCGCCGACCGGCACGTCCGCGCCGACCGGCACGCCCGCGACGCGAAGTGGACATTTATTCTTTGCCTCCTACTTCGAAGTCTAAAAAACTTAGCGTTTTTTATCAATATCTGTTGCTCGTCAAACACAAAATTTGACTACATCTTCATATGCTTCCTGATGTTTTAGTAAATTATGGAGTTTTAGGATTGACATTTCTAGAAAAGTTGTAGAATTCCTTCGTGCTGTACTGGATCACAGATAGGACCAAAGTACTAGCATTCGAGATGGACCATGGCCTTTTTTTTTTTGTTACCTGTGTCGACAATTTCCCATTCCCGCACTACGAACATTGTATAATTACTCTGCTGCGGGAAGCCTGAAGCACGACGGCCAGGCACTAAAGCTACGCAAACGATTAAGCACGATATCCTCAACGAGAACTACGGATACTCCTACTCGCGCATCGCAGACCTAAAATTCTTGAAGCACTCGTCTCAGCAGGTGTCCTCTCTTCTCTTCTCAAAATTCTTTTTTTCACGTCTCCGATATCTACTTCAACATACCAAAAGTATCTCCTTCGCGACTACGAAGATCCCCTCCGTCGCGACTACGAAGATCCTCTCCGTCTCTTGTTCCTACAAGCAAGGGGATCGTTGTGTCAACCGACAATCGAGCAAACGTGAATGTGAAAACGAACGAAAATCACACGACGAACCTGAATGTAGTTAATATAATGTCTTCTATGTTCAACATTGTTGCCTAGAGGAACAAAGATATAATGAACTTCGCGACCTCCCCTACCTCTACTTCTTCTTCATCTTCAGTTACTCTTGTGTAATAAATTCTTGTTGCACGACGCAAAAATGCTCGCCCCTGTTGCTAAATTCAGCTTCTCGATGAGAATATCATCAATACATAGGGGATTTTCCTTCTCCTCGGTCTTTCTGCAGGTCTTCTAGTACAACCAGCACAGCGATTGAGAGCTAGCCCTGCACTAGAACATAGATAACCTAAACGAGTACGAGTACAAGGGGAAGATAGCAATAAATTGTGGCAGAGCCCACCTAACTAGAAAAAAAAAGTAAAGACCAGAGGAAGATAGAAAAGAGAAGAGGGCAATTATGATCAGGTTATTATCCTCATATCTGCTAAAACTAAGAGGAAGATAGCAATGAATACAAGTACTTAATACTCGTAGTTCAGCAACATCTTCTTGTAGCAGATGCTCAGATGTTCACCTTCAACCAGAAGAAGCGCAGAAGATGGGGTCACGACCTCTTATGTAGATTGTGGAAGATTGTTGGAGGTGTGGTCAAAAGTTATGTGATGTCCCTGCATGTGTGGTGAAAAGTTAAGTTATGTAGTGTCCCTACATGTACATGCTTCCACCCCAAATACTATATACATACTACAGGGAAGCGTAAGACCGTATGCCAATGACCACAAGTCTTGAAGCAGAAGCTCTAGCCGAAGATGTTCCCCAAGCACTCTAGATCTAAGTCCTAGGGCTGAAGTTTTTAGGTGCTGAAGATGTTGTTTCCCGACTAGATCTAAGTCAGAGTGCTGACTAAATCATATATCTCCTCACTGCTGCTCCTGACTAAGACGCCTTACATTTTCTCAATGCCTTAGATCTAGGAACTACCGCATAATCTACTCCTAATATAACGGTATTATATCTTGTACTTCTCAATGCCTTTCTTGTTCATCACGCAAACGTGGTCCAGGTCCCGGAAGTGCTCGTTGTAGTCGAGACAAAGTTAGAGGGACAGTGGAGAGAAAAAATGTTGACCGGTTTAGAGGGAGAATGAAGTCCAATATCCCAATTCTATGGAGACCACGTCTAGACCTCGCTCCCTAGAAAGAGAAAAAACCAAAGTACTTGATAAAGACAAAGAAAATGAATGAATCATTTTGTTCAAGTGCTCTCACTTCAAGAACTTTTCTACATCTACCATGTTAGTATGAAGACTCAACAGGAGACTCGCCTTAACAATACCCCACAATAAAGACGTCTGGGACAGAAAAGCCTACCCAGTCTCCTAGGAATCCACAGCTCTTCGGTGTCCTCTTTTCCAGCAAGGAAGCAATCTTAATCGACTTGGGAGCGAAGTCCTTTAGGTGGTCACCTAAAGAGTTTGAGAAGAAAAGTCCTGTAGGTGATCACCTGTTGAGTTTGGGAGGGATCACGACAGCAAAAGCATAGATCAACAATTATCTTCCTCCTAAAAACAGCAAAGAAGCCAAAAATGTATGATACACTTTTTCCCCACCTGTGTACTAAGCAAATTACGTTAGTACAGAATTTCGTCAGTGTATTTCCCGTATCGATGATGTCTTCCACTATGAGCACATGCTTTCCAGTTATTAGAGCTCAACGCATTTGTTCATTACAATACAACGCAACTAATCTCGCACTTTTTTTTTTGTATCGCGAGCGAGTTCCGTGAAGAACCTGCGTACATATTTTCCGCGTAGCTAGTACCGGCGTAGGGGGGAGTTCTTAATCTCCTTAACAACTACGCTAAAAAAGTTCAGTGCAGACTGCCTCAAGGGCGTCATAGATGGCATACACGATTTCTTCAGAATCCCAAGAAGGAGGACTGCCGGAGACTCCCAAACTACTCACTAAGTGACGAAATAGGGATCACTAATATCCAAAACAGCGCAGAAATAGTCATTGGCTTCGGTGTCTCAAACATTGGTGTTTCGTTCCACATCCACTTAAAGAATGAAAACAAATGACCTGTAGATGAAATGGATTCTTTTGAGCCTTAAAGAGAGAGTCGTCAAATCGTCACTCTGTACGTGCAATTTTCCCGTCGATTCCGTATTGTGGTAGCTCTTAAGCCGCACGTAATGCTCCATATAGGGAGCTTTGGATTAGAAGAATTAAGGGTAGAAGTTTTGGATAGAGTTTTAGAGAATAAGACGAGCTCTGGATTAGAGTTTCAGAGAATAAGAGCTTTGGATTAGAGTTTCAGAGAATAAGAGCTTTGGATAGAGTTTTAGAGAATAAGAGCTCTGGATTAGAGTTTCAGAGAATAAGAGCTTTGGATTAGAGTTTCAGAGAATAAGAGCTTTGGATAGAGTTTTAGAGAATAAGAGCTCTGGATTAGAGTTTCAGAGAATAAGAGCTTTGGATTAGAGTTTCAGAGAATAAGAGCTTTGGATAGAGTTTTAGAGAATAAGAGCTCTGGATTAGAGTTTCAGAGAATAAGAGCTTTGGATTAGAGTTTCAGAGAATAAGAGCTTTGGATAGAGTTTTAGAGAATAAGAGCTCTGGATTAGAGTTTCAGAGAATAAGAGCTTTGGATTAGAGTTTCAGAGAATAAGAGCTTTGGATAGAGTTTTAGAGAATAAGAGCTCTGGATTAGAGTTTCAGAGAATAAGAGCTTTGGATTAGAGTTTCAGAGAATAAGAGCTTTGGATAGAGTTTTAGAGAATAAGAGCTCTGGATTAGAGTTTCAGAGAATAAGAGCTTTGGATTAGAGTTTCAGAGAATAAGAGCTTTGGATAGAGTTTTAGAGAATAAGAGCTCTGGATTAGAGTTTCAGAGAATAAGAGCTTTGGATTAGAGTTTCAGAGAATAAGAGCTTTGGATAGAGTTTTAGAGAATAAGAGCTCTGGATTAGAGTTTCAGAGAATAAGAGCTTTGGATTAGAGTTTCAGAGAATAAGAGCTTTGGATAGAGTTTTAGAGAATAAGAGCTCTGGATTAGAGTTTCAGAGAATAAGAGCTTTGGATTAGAGTTTTAGAGAATAAGAGCTATGGATTAGAGTTTCAGAGAATAAGAGCTTTGGATTAGAGTTTTAGAGAATAAGAGCTCTGGATTAGAGTTTCAGAGAATAAGAGCTTTGGATTAGAGTTCCCTTGAGCTGATAAGCGTTGAAGCGGATGAGAGGACAGTGCTCGAACGAAATGAAGAAATGCTACATTCTAGACGTAGAATACCTGTCGCAGATAATCAGCGTACTGTCAGTCATTGGATCATCAATCAATCATAAAAAGTAGGCGGGAGGGGAGATAATAAGATGAATAAGTCGTGTACTCATTTGAAAAACATGAACACTTCTAGGTTTTGGTGTTAGCAGCAGGTGAGTGTCGTGGATCATTCTTCTATTTCAGGACAGTCGTGCACAGTCAACTTCATCGAGCTGTAGTAACTCTCTCTCTCTCTGTATAAGAAAAATTTTGATCTTGTTCTTATCTTGACGAATAAGCCTTATGCTAATTATATATGAAGGAGGATACTTTCTTTGAGTCGTATCCTCGCAACTACAGGAGTTCTGAACTGTTGCATTTTTCTCCAGTTCTTCTTTTTCATAACTATGATACTGCGAGCTCTCGCAGTGTGCAGCCTGGGAATACTTGTGGATCCTGTCAAATATTTCCAGCAATTTGGAAAAAAATCCTCTTGAACCCTTCAGCACGCAGAGAATATGCAGCTCTTCGTCGCCGTAGCTGTAGAAAGAATAATGATAATCTATGTATCACATAAAAATATTAGAAGGAGTCATATAATCTATTTGATTACGCATAACATTTACCATGATACTTACTTTACTCATAATTATATCTATCACCAGTTATATGACAGGCTTAACTACGCGTTACTTTCACAACGACAACGCGCTATAGATGCATGCTGGTTGGATTATTCTAGTACTACTGCTCTATTGAAGTTCTGTTTTGTAGCGTGGTGTTGCTAAAATAACGCGTTAAGGCTGCCATAAGTTATTGTATTGAATTAGTAGAAATGGTCCTCTGGTATAATATCGAATACGCTTTCCTCATGTCTATTGCCAATTTTTCGATCCTGTCGTTTAAAAGCCCCTTCGGCAGCAGCACGTAGTCCAGGGAATCGTGATAGTGGTTGGGTATCAGGAGCATGAAAGGGGAATGGGCGGGACGAGACCTGGCACAACTACATGTACTAGTTCTTCAAGAAGTTGGTTCCACCGAGCCAGATGCTGACTCTGATACCTCCTGACCTTCTTGCTTTTGAATAGGAAAAAGAAACAAAGATCAAAGGGTGAAACGCATTCCCTATAATCTTTTTCAAAACCGACACCGAGCTATCGTTTTACGACAGACGCATCGCTCCACCAACTAGAAATTGAAAAGGATAAAGAAAAAGATAGTCCAAAAAGATAAGAAAAAAGATGAGATGTGTGATTAGTCCTTAGACTAGATGTACTAGTTCTTCAAGAAGTTGGTTCTACCTGTACTCTTACTCAACAGCAGTAGGCCTCCAGCTTGTTCAACTTGTACTCTTACTACTAGTAATCGAGCCTTAAGAGAGTAGTAGATAGTTACTAATAGTAACCTCTAGCTAGTAAACTGTTCAACGAACTGTGCAATTACTACTACTACTACTAGTGCAGCAGTAGGTCATGATAAGTATGTGTTAAGCTTAGTGCAATTACTAGTTGCAATTACAACTAGTAAGTACTACTACTAGTGCAGCAGTCATAAGTATGTGTTCCTTGCTGAAACTCCAATCGTCGCCGATCCAAAGTGGATTTCCACGGTTCAAGCCTTTGCCCACATAATCATGCGAAGTTGAGGATGTCGCCTTGCCGTTCGCAGAGGACGCCTCTTCATGGCAGACAGAAGGCCTTTTACGGCTCACTGAAGCTGCCGTTGCTTCATCTGGAATGACCATTTTTGGTGCAGATGATGATGAAGTTGCAGATGATGAGATTTGTATCAGTGATAGACGTCGAGGTAGGAGTTGTAGTCGTTGACTCATCAAAACCGTAGACTTATTACTTGTAAGTAAAGGTCATCTAACTTTGTTTCAACTTCAAGAGTGTGAAGATTGAAGAACTTCTAGTACTTGTTACTTAAGATGAAAAAAGTTTGAGCGTGAACTTGTACAAACAAGCTAGTACAACAACTTTGAATATCATCCGTGTGTATCCAATCGTAAGTTCTTGAAAAGAGTTCACATCCCTGAGTCGTCGATCCTCGTTGGTCTCTTTTTCAAGAAGTAGAGAAAGAGCCAAAGACGTTCTCCTTGCCTAAAGAGCCAAGGACGTTCTCCTTGCCTTTGCAAATCTGGTCTCAAGTTGATTGACTCACTGAGATGGAGTGACTGGTTGACTGATGGAGTGACTGGTTGATTGATTGATTGATGGAGTGACTGGTTGATTGATTGATTGATGGAGTGACTGGTTGATTGATTGATTGATTGATTGATGGAGTGACTGGTTGACTGATGGAGTGACTGGTTGATTGATTGGCTGATATCCTGATTCAGTCCAGTTCATTTGGATCTGTGGCATGCTTGTAAGTAAAAACCAACCTCCGACTCCAATCTTATAAGTTCTTGAAAAGAATTCACTTTTTTAGAGTGCGCGAACAAAACGTGAACATCAAGGCCTCCTTTATACAGAAGCGTTGTCGCCAAGGCAAAGGTACTTGTTGATGTTGTGAACGAATATGAAGAAGAACAAAGTCACTGGTCAAAGGCCATGGATGTTTAGAAGTACCGATATATAGAAGATATCTATTATCTTCTGGATCGATACTTGCTTGTATTTGTAATTTGCAATCTGAAAATGGTGTCCTTGTTAAAGTCGTCTCTGTTTGCTGTATTAATCTGATAGGCTTTCAGAAGGTGATTAGCTTGAGCTTGACAAGTCGTTGCAGATGATGCTTGTTTTTTCTATTGTGAGGAAAAAATTCAATAGCAGGTTGACCTAACTGTAACTGTCCTCGTACAGCTACTAGTACTACAGATACAGAAGAAATTAAGATCAATACTTGTTCAACAATTTGGATTTCTACTCGTTAACTTACGGATATCATCTTTAGCTACTCCTATCGCGGCTAATGACTTTCCTTCACTTCCACCCAGAATCACGAGTAGTTTAGATTTAATACAAAAATTATGTTTACTTTATTACTTATTGTACTTGATTCTGTTTTTGTATCCCTGATCAAGACACTGTTGCAGTTGTCGTGTATTTTTCAGGTGCCTCGCTAGAAAAGCTGCCCTACTTTGGCTCCCATCGTCTTCATCGTCTTCATGCTTGTTGCTATTCGATCTTTCAGCTAGCGGATCACCACCTTTTTTCCCCAAGACAGACGCAGGAATTTTCAGGGTGTAGTCAAAAGTTGTGCTGGTACTAGAGCAGGCTGCTTTACTTTTACTAGTCGAAGACGTAGATTTTCGAGCCTTCGGTGAGCTTGGGGAGTCAGAAGTTGTTGCAGCAGTCGCCAGGCCAGCAGCTTCGATGTCTCTCGGGAGCATCAATAGACGGTGACAGAGTTGGTGCATTAGAGGGAATAAGTTGTTAGTTCCTTCTGCAGGAGATATTTATTTTTGATCTCAAAAAGTAGTTCTTATTAAACAATGAAGTCTTGTTCTCGTCCTACTCCGTGGGGGCCAAGTAAACAATGAAGTCTTCTACTACTCCGTGGCCAAATTTCAAGATCAAGAGAAGAAAACATTCTTGATCAACATAATTTCAACAGCACCGCAACTCTTGCTACGATCGCCTCACCACCCCCTCCACCTGAAGATAGAAACCACAGAGGCGCGCCTGTATGTTCTAGTATAGCGGTCAATTCGCGTGCCTCAACCCAGTCTCGCCACGAAAGCGCCAGACTTTTTCTTAAAACCGCTTTTTTCCGATCATCGTCGCGTCTATCCTGATTTTTAGCCAACAATTCCTGCGCAGCTTCTAGGTCTTTGTCGTCGTGGCCGGAAGTTAGATCATACGAAGATAGAATTATACGGTTGTTCGTCCCCAGTTAGATATGAAGATGAAATTATATTTATATAGAGTTAGATACGAACAAGATGAAAAAATTTATTGAATTTGTAATCCAAAGTCTTGTCATGTGTGTATCCCTGATTGTACTGTCCCTGTATTTGATTTTTTTTTTTTTGCGTTAGGACTATATGCCAACGCCCTTTGTTCAATCAATACTCTATTTAAATACTATTAAAAATCCCCGAACACTCTTCGCCTTTAATGTGAACACTAAAGGACCCCTAAGACGCCTTTAATGTGAATGCTAAAGGACTCACCTCTCCTTTAATGTGAACACTAAAGGACCCTTAAAGCGCCTTTAATGTAAACACTAAAGGACCCTTAGGGCGCCTTTAATGTGAACACTAAAGGACCCTTAAAGCGCCTTTAATGTAAACACTAAAGGACCCTTAAGGCGCCTTTAAAGTAAACACTGAAGGCCTTCTATGTGGGCAGCAGATGGCCTTGAGGAAGAACAAGAACAGCAACAACAGCAAGGACAACAACAGCAAGAACAGCAAGAACAACAA